TCTTTCAGTAGTTCCCGAATGTTTTGCCAATTGAAATCATCATATATGAAACATTATTCCTTGTAAAATCAAATAGTCTTTCTCCCTTGGCTACTAGAGTTTTCTTATAGGCTTATTATCAAACAAATCAGATAATTAACTGTCAAATGTGATGCAACTAAAAAAGAGCAAAAAGACAACAGTCTATTTACATGACTTTTCTTGGGCAAGAATCATTACAAATATGCCAAAATAATTCACACTGTAAAGAATCTTGTCCATGCATCACCTTTGTCATGTTCCTTAATTTTAACTAGTACTAAACAGGAAAAGACGTGTCACCCCTTACCGACATCTTCTGTGTCTTGTCTCCTGTGCGTACAGACGTGTCTGGGGCAGGGTGAAGATCAAATCACATATACAGACTAACAGGGATCACATTCCTACAGAGTGTAGACAAGTCTGGCACATATTTGTCTTGCTATTTTACTCAAAAATACCCTTAGCACCCTTTGAATAGAAATGAAAATAGTATTTCTAGCATAGGGCCATTGACAGCAAGTAATGAAGCATTGGTGGCAGTAAAATGAGCTGCCTTACTCTTCCAACCATTGTTGATCTAACCAACAAAGGGCGATATTATGAAAACTTGGAAGAAGAATACTCGCAGAAAAACTGTATGCTTGACCTCAGGGCAATATTTTATAGATTTCACAATTGGGGTGAGGAAATCTGACCTGATGCTTAAATGGGGACTTGGTCAGAAACTAGTGACCCTCTACCTCAGTGACCTACCCTCAGACAAAACAGAACGTCCATAACTTCTGAACCTAGACCATCGGCCCCATCAACAGAACTTGGACAAGATATTTCATGGCCTAACTACATGTAAAAACTTTGGTTGGAATGTGTGAAAAGTAAAACAACCAACACCATAGAAAATATGGACCCCCCCCCTCCCCAATTCCTGGACATAAATAGGAAACGATGAATAGATGAAGTTTTAAGGTGAAGTCTTAATAGACAGACAAATATGTTCGAAACATCTCAACATCATGGCAAAGAATTGGACAAAGGGTCAGATATAATTCTTACTAAAGTTATCGAGGAAAATTATATTCAACGAGTTGATCTTTGAGCCCTCAAAAAGTATATGGCTTATGTCAAGATGGCCCATTTGCAATCTCTTATAAGAATCCATGAGAAGCTTCTACTCCATAATTCTAGCAAAACATTTTCTGAAAGAACTTTTGTGTCATGCATTAGAACAACATGCCATGTGCCAAGTTATAATGCATGTGACAGAACACAATGTGAAAAGACTGAACAAGATTTTATACACATATCGTTAAAATAATTCCGTTACACTCTTCAAATAAGTGGGAAAGGGGGGGGGGGAGAAGTAAAATTATTCATGAATCCCTGCTGTACTGGTATATGTCTATTTCTCTGTCTGCCTCCCCACTTAGTTTAAATACTTAATTAGTAAATTATCTAGTACATCTGTCCATTATATAAAGAAATATTTGTTCATTGTTGTTTATATTGTACAAGATCATGATGATCTATGTACCAGCACATAAATAAATTGAATTGAAAATAAATACTTCTGACATTCTAATTCTTGAACTTTTTCCAAAACATAAAGAATACACTGTCTACTGCTATATAGATGAGCTATCACAACAATGGGCAAGAAACAGACTTGCCAGACTATCTTCTAGAAGCATTAGAAAACAGACACAATTCTTCCATTTCCTGGTCACTGGGTTAAAGCATTTTATTTCCCCTCCAAGGAAACTTGGTGAAGTGAGGATGTTCAAACATTCTTTTTCTGGAATCAGTTTCATGGGTAACAATACGGTTTTCATAAGAAAAATCTTTAGTCACCGTTATAATGACATCAGGGTCATTGAACAATTTTTCCTTCCTCATTCAAATCCTCCCTGGGTTTACATGGTTCAAAGCAATATCAATACACTTTTGCAAAGAACATATTTGTGGACAAATGTGATTAGATGTAGCACCATTTAGAAATAGCATGCTGGATTGCTGCTGTAGATTCTTTTAGATCAATCAATACACAACATACTGCATGCAGAGAACATGCAAAGATTTCTGACATCTGATCTCTCTTATGCTATCTGACTAAGAAATAAAAAAGTACATTGGCAAATAATTGTCTGACGGAGTACTACACTTCTGATAACGGAGATGGGTCATTGCACTAAAAATGCAATTTTCTCTTGGATTCACAAAAACTTTTGTCAGATTTCTTAATCTTTCATTCTAAGATTTACTTGCACGCAACTTACTGTATGTCACTACCTGAGCTATCTTCTGTTCTGACCAGTATATGTCTTCGAGCACCTCTAAACCTTCCGCCATGTCTATCCAGATTGACCCTTCACTTTGGTACCCCTCGGCAAACTGATTGATTCCTTTGAGGACCCACTTTGGCATTCAATAAAGATCAAGCATTACAACTGCTGAAAACTGACTGTCTATACACAACAGAGACCTTGTAATAAGATCATCCCTTCCGCTGTATTTATGAAGAGCATCAAAAGCGCTTGCAGTCACGGAAGCCTGTCCACAGGAGAAAAACCTAAGTGTATTGTGTGCCTTTGAGAGATAGGGTAGTATTTCCTGGGATGATCTTCTGACTGTAATAATATGGACAAACCGACTCAATTTAGAATTTCATCCTTTGATGCATTATTGGCTGTTGCCAAGGAAACCATGTGCGTTCTATGGGAGATGCTGTTAAGCTATCTTCAGCACAAGAGTTATCATGGCCTGCATCAAGTACTTATTACAGCATACTGTTCCTGACAGTAGGATTTATATACATCCCAGCAGAGTGGGCTACTAAACTAATTGCTTGTCTACCACTATGACAAGTAAAGACTGTGCCTCTCACACCTATTAATGCAACTTCCAATCACAACTAAGATTTTATAGGATTATGGATGTTGGGCAGTCTTCGATCATCAATCTTGGTCTAAGTTTCATTATGGCCATGCTAAATACTGTTTTCTGTGCAATATATTTCCAATCTGGTTAAACTGTTCATTGGCAAGTCAATCCAGGTCCTGGTAATTTCAATGATATTAAATGAAAATTAATGGAAATCCTGAGCAGATCAGAGGCAGTTTTTTGATAAGCAATCTGTCTGATGAATCTCAGAAATTGTCTTTCTCTGCAGTAATCATAGAAGATGCACCTAATGTGAGTAGAGATGACGAGGAAGCAATTGATCTTGTCATAGTTTATGTCTTGAGAAGTACTTTTGCATGGGACATACACCTTGTAACACTAGTGGTTGACTGAATACAGAATTATTCTCTGTTAGAAATGTTTCATTTACCAATAGAGGATTAGGCCCAACCAGTGTGACTTGCAATTAAGGCAGTGTTATCAATCATGTTGCTGCGGAAGTCCTCTAAGCAACGTGTTTGTCTCCTCATTCTCAAGTACAGTCTACTTAAAACTTTTGCCACTTGGTTCTCTTGTTCACATCTACTCCATCTTCTATCTATGACTGCATCTATAGTCTGACATCAGGGCACCAGGATCATCAGAGGTGTCAGCATTGAGAGACATGTAAAAAGTAATCAGACAGTAGATCATCCCTACCTCATAGCATCGAGCTTGGAACCCAATAATACACTGGTTAAATGTCAACCTAGTCTCATCTGTTGTCACCCACACTGACAAGACACATTTCCAAGCTCAGCTGTTGCTGGATTATCTCTAGATTGAACAACTTACCTTTCAGTTGACATTTGAAAACTAATTTTCTGCAGCAGCATCTAAACTTAATAACTCCCACTTGCTTTCATTCCACAAGGCCTTCTTAATACCCAGCAGACTATTCAAGCCAGAGATGCTCTCAAACGGCATTTCATGCAGTTTCCTTTAAGTACTTACATCTCAATTCATCTGCTGATTTAATGGACAACAGAGAACATGAAATATATCAAAATGAATAAAATTTATAACCCAATTTATAAAAAAATACAATACTTTTGTTCTGGATGCAAGTATGTTTCAGATGTTTCACTTTTATCATGGCAACAAAACACCTAAGAGTGATTGGCCTGTTATCGTTCATCTTATCACTTTGGAAGACAGTTCTCAAGAGGCAATCAATTGGTCAGCACAAGATGGAATTTTCTTTGACAGAAATACCCAGAAAAAAAGGTAAAAAAGCTCTGGGCAACACATAAACTTCCCTTTTTGACAAAAAATATTCTATAACATATATATATGATGGATTTATCTTCTACATAGATAAATTTGCATTTTTCAGGACAAGCAAAGCCCCATTAAACTATGTCTCAATTTTTTTACCAGCAAAAAGAGACTTGCTTAAAGAACGCTGTGTATACACCCAAGCCTAAAACAAACCAGTCACTAAACCTATGACCAAAATAACATTGACCATCATGGGGGAAAACCTACTACTCAAGAACCCTTTGAAGATTGATAACTAGTAGTGTCTTAACAACAAAAGTTAGCAGATCTCTCTAAAAATCTCTCTCTTTTGCCTGCTCATTGCCTTATCAGACAATAATCAATATCATTTTTCTATACTCTGGGGAAATGAAGGCCTCAAAGTGGACAATCAGAAAATGAAAAATATCTTAATTAGACAAATGTATCAGCAAATTTCAGGGAATTTAGAATTAAAAGTTACTAAATTTATGAAGAAACAGGAAAAACATTGAGGATTGTCCACACTGCAATTTTTAAAATGTGCAGATCTGAAAGCAATGGAAATTGATAATGAAAATGTGGAGCATACAATGAAGTTTGCAAACCTGAAAAAGTTTGTAAGTAGATCCAATAACATATCACACACACACACAATACATAACAGTATGAAAAACTGCGCAAACATATATAATCATGAATAAGTGATGACCATAGCAGATACATATAAAATAAAGGCTTACCAAGTTTTTAGGTTTGCTTATGAACACATATAGGGGAAAGTCAAAACAGTTAATGCATACCTGGTATCTCTCTGCCCACACCCGCACCTCGTCCACATCTTCCAGTGCCCCGTCTGCAGCAGTAAGCTCATCAAGTCCAGCCAGGCGCGATTCCGACTGTGCCAAGAAGATAAAATACTGGTCTAGTGCTGTATCGAAGTGTTGCTGTGTAGCCTGAACCGCCTGGAGAGACCTGCCTCGAGTTTCCAGCCTAGAAAGACAGCACGACATCTGTATGTTCTGATAATGTATAAAGTTTGGGTTCAGAGAGGTGGAACAATTTAATATAGGTAATGATCTTATATTGAGGCCCATGATCCCATGGGGGCAAAGATGTTATGTAATCACTATGCTCAATTTACCTTATCAAGGTACAACTTAAATAAGCCTGTCTGAAAATTTTGTTACAAAGATTTTATGAGCTCTTACAGGGTTAAGGTAGCATGGTATAAAAGGATGACACTATTCAATTAAGTGATTAAGTAGCTGCAATAATCAAATGTCTTTTCATTATTCAAATAGAAAGGTGGGGGAAGGAAATAAATTATCTGTAAAGGGAAGACAAGCCTTGCAAGATAATGCTTGGCTCTGAAAAGCACACTCCAATACAGAGGTGATAGCCATGCAACAGTAAGAGCTGACAAAGCACTCAGCTAATTTGTCTAGTATTGGAATCTAATGGACCTGTACTTTAAAGAAATCAATATCAGACCAGGTTAATGAGCCTGCCTTGGAGCAACTACAAGTGGAGATCACAGGCCATCAAAGCAGTCAGGGATTGGGGAATACGGAAGATTGCCACTTGGAACAAATGAAACTTGATTTTTATGAATAAAGGACAGCTAACCAACAGGGGACTATTATCTTTATTAAATAATCATTTAGCCCCTTAGTTAACCCCAAGTCATTTCTTTGTTCCACAGAGAACAATTTATTTAATATTGAAAAAGGAAAAAGAATGTGTAGGCCCATTTCATTGAGTGCTGTAGTTGAGATACAAGATCACATTATACATAAGCCCTACTGTACCAATGCCAGTAATTCATCTCTTTTTATAAATGAAAAAAGCCAGACCTTTTAATTTGATAATTTCCATGATTTTTTTTCAACAAGCTAATTCCCTCTCTGCTTTTCATGCTTTATTGACCCAGCATTACATATACAGCTGTTTTTAGCTCTGTGCTGCTTGAACTGAAAAAAACCCATTAGATCTCAGACCACCCACATATTATTTCCATTAATATTTCTGACCAGCTTTTTCGAAGGTAAATTTGTGCTGTTTTACAAGACGAAGTTCCTGCAGGTAATAACTTACAGGCTCATTACCTGTTCTTTCCCCAGATGTCATAAATACAGAATGGTTTATGCCACTAGCTGCAATTCTTTTATACCTCATATTACCCTTTGGATTTGTAGACAAAGAAGGAACTAAAATCTCACTTTATTCATCTATGCCTGATTTTAATGGTCTTAATACCCCTTAATTATTTTTTCAAGAAAAGAGGCGTTTCAAAATAATATTGCAGTTATAAACAAAGGAACCCAATCAAAAAGTAAATGAGTGCAGTGCGATAATATTAAAATAATATTAAAATGAAAAAACTAGATGTGTATCATATAACTTTGGCCTTAAGGCAATGAGTCAAGTGTTTTGAAGCTGATTGCAACTTCTTGCTGCTAGTCAGGACAGTCAATGCAATTGTACAGATTGTTCTTTCAACTATTTTCAGAACATGTATCCTTCAGCCATAACATCCAATTTTTTTCAGATGCTATTATCTCATAATAATGTTATCATCACCAAAACATGGGAAATCAGACAACTCACGCTATCTTGTTATCTGCCTTTTGGGAAGAATGTCTACAATAAAATCCAAATCAGAAGAAGGCATCTGTCACCCTCCTGCCACCTAGTGGTGGTTTGACAACTGCTTGTGGACATTTTTTCTTGCTTTGAAATTAATTTGAATGTCCCAGTGACATATCCTTTAAGGTGACCACACTAACACATGAAAGCATCTAACTTGTTTTTATATGTTAAACTCAACAGATATCACCTTAAAAGATATGTAAATTAAGGGTCACAGAAGACTAGTTAGCAGTCCACACTCACCTTGACAGTAAGTGCTGCCACCTTGCATTGATTCTGTCAATATTCATTTTTATCTTATTTGTGTTGTCTTTGCTGTAGTCCTCCACAAGTTTGTTTGCCATGGAGTTCAAAGTTGTCACACTCTTTTTCCACTGGTCCACTTCACATTCTACTGCCTAAAATAAAAAGATACCAATATGTTATCCTGAAGCTTAATCTGATACAATATAGTAAAATTCAAACTTCCCAACTATTACAAATGACCTTCCTTACATGTTTTCTGGAAAATTGTACAAATGTATACACTCCGTATATGAGTCTAATACCAAGTAAACCATCCTCTGCAGCTGCATATACAGTGGACAAACTTCAATGTAATGTCAAATCATGTTGCCCCTACCAAGGAAAAAAAAAGACTCCAGTTTCAACTGAAACCTTGCTGTCTAGACTTACAGCAACTGTTTGTTTAAACCATTCAGTTCACATGACTCATTTCCTTGGTCTGCTTAACATAATGTTAAATCAAAATGTATTTAAATTCCTTTTTTTCAAAACCACTATTTAATCTTGACATCAACATTGTTCCACTTGGCTTCACTTATGGTGATAAGTGATACTGCTGCATGCCTTCGTGTGTTTTTTTCATTGTCAACGAAAACCCACCTGAATAACCCCCTGTTTGTTACACACACTGTGGTTAGATATCAACACCTGTTTTAAGTATTTCCTCTCAATTCTCAACTGCAACGTGACACTGAACGGCTCTTCTAATCATATTCCAACACTGGAAGATGTGGCTGGTTGTTTAAGTCTTAGAGAATAACAGGCAGCCGGTACAACGTACAACGGGCATTAATCATTAAAACTGTTGCCAGAATAGCAGCAACAATGCATCTTCTCATGAAATGATGGATGAAGGCCCTTCACACATCCAGAATTTCATGTCTCTCCATATCCCATTGTGAATGTACACTGACACTCAGAATATGTGAACTTGTAAACTATCCTTCTCCTTCATTCAACTTCTGGGGTTGCCAACGTAGTAAACTGACTATATCAACTTGTATATTGAGCCCAAAACATGGGGCAAAGGAATCAATTCCCAGCTGGCAACAGATTCAATTCCCAATCCAAAAATACAGACAAATGTTCATCATTACCATCAGAATCATCTTATTACCATCTCCCTCCAAGTAAAACAATCCCAAAGAGGACACCTAACCTGAGAACTACCTAATACATAGCAGTTTCCTCTGAATAATACAATGGTCTTCTGGTGAGTTAGGCAACCAACCTGATGGTGGCCATCCTGACAGGAAAACTACACACATCAAACTCTGAGAGAGCAGCAGGTGGAAAGTGCCACAATTGCTTGCTTTTAGTGATCATCTAACATGAAATATTACCATACGAACTGAGCAACACATGTCGCATTTTTGTTATGTGTGAAAATTGAGTGATATTATTTCTAGATTATTCACTTAAATGCAGGCAAACATTAAGGAGATGGTTGGGAAGGCAACACTAATTGTCTTACTGTAAACTTACACATTTTTGCAAGAACCTGTACTTGGTATTCTACAAACAGTGTAAAATTACTCAAGCTACAAAAGTATATTGTATATCTAAACATAATGCATTTTACCTAAAAATGTTTTAGATGTGTCTAACAAAATAAAATCATCCTTTCATGCAATGCTACATTAATGGCTCCAAACTGGGATAATGGGTTTCATGTGGTTAGTATTTTATAACATCCTGTGGCTTAATCAAAGAAAAGGCATCTCTGCAGCATGAAGTAAATGTTTTGTAAACTCATAGCTTGATGAAACAATGGTTAAAAACTCTGACGAATTCCAAGTAACAACTCTGAGGAGATTACAATAACACTGGACCTCTGATTAAGTAATGGTCATTATCATTTAACAGTTCACAGTGATATTTTAGATGATGGTAACAACTCTAATTAGGTCATGGTAACACAAATAATGATGGTTACACATCTGATTAAGACAATGGAACACGTTTGATGATGGTTACCCTTCTGATAAAGACATGGTAACGCCTCTGATAAAGTCATTCAGAAGCAACACCTGCTACATGTGACATTATTCAGATGGCACCATACATGGACCCTATTTCAATCTACTCATGATAGTATAGTTGGATATCATACATCTTGCTTTGAAATATTAAATATTATGTAGTTAATGCTATTAAATATTATATAGTTAATGTCACACAAACTGTTACAAAATGTCTTTTAATTTTTTTTATTTCATATGTGTTCCCATTAACTGTGATGGCAATGCATTTGCTTGAGCATTTTCTGACATGGCACATTGGTGAAAACTGCATAGGTTGCTGCCAGAAAGGGATTTAATGTTTTCATTACCCCACATCTGCACAGCAATTAATATACAGGTAATGGTATTTATTGACATCCCTAACCTTTCCAAGATAGATGGACTTACCAGGAACTTGTAATTTCTGTCATTCTGAAAATCAAAATTACTGCAGACAGTGCAATGCATAAATCTTCAAGTGGCACTTCTGAAGAACACACAGCTAACAAGAAACTCTACGACTAAATGGAACATTCTCTGTGATATTGATTTTCATCTTTATGTTTGCACTAAATCTTTCCAATTCACAGTTCTATAGTTTGAAAATTGCAATCCCACAAATATCTGCTAAGTGAAATGTAGCAAAAACTTAATCACATTCTTCCCGTGTCCAATATTAAGATTTTTTGCTCAAGTGAAAATAACCAAGATGAGATCAAATGGTTTATATACAACATTAACCTCGGGATAACCAACCAAACAGAAGCAGTTCTGAAAAAGAATCCTGCTCTTTAGGTTGAGAGATACCTATTTATTTTATAAACAGCTCCTGGTCCTTTTTGCCATTAACTCACTCAGAATGCCAGGTGCTAAAGGTGCCTCAGATATGTGAAGGTACATCAATTGTATTTTAAGGCCAAGTAAAAAAAAACTGACTTAACATCTTTTACATTTTTGTTTGCTAGATTCTTAACAGCTAAGATAGTCACATTTTAGGATAATGAGAAAAATTTAAATTTAAAATGAAATTGAACTTTAATCTGGTAAAAAAGACTTCTGAATGTTTAATATCAGTTAATACAAATATGCCAGATGATATCAGACAGAACTGAAAACCAGTCTAGTTATACTGTCAACATTATGTTCATTTTGATCTGTAAGATAAAGTGTTCCTTCAAAATACACCAATTTACCCACCTTACACCCCTTACACCTATGTTTGGAAGGACTTGTACGCTGCATTTTTTCCAGCTCTACAATTCTCCCATCCAACGAGAGTGAATGCTCCGATAATACTGATTACAGCATAGTATCAGATGTGATGTGTCTTCACTTATTACACACACATTGGAGTGGCCAATGGCAGGGAGGAAGACTAATCCCATTATAATATGAAGGCAAACTTATGGCATTCTAAGACGTCTGGAGATGGCCACCAGGGGATGGTAATCTCCATTATCTGGTGCTACAAGTTTACTCCAGGCCCCTCCAACAGACAATGCAGGAATACTAATTACCAATTGTTAGCAGAAATGGGTTCAATTGCCAAGACAACTTTGTCTGTTGGGACAGACACTGATGACATATCAATAAATGTTACAGATGACAGGAGAAAAAAACAAACAACGGGCAAGTCTTGCAGAAAGTATTATTGTAATTCCTTTCATCAGAAGATGGGTGGAATTCCTGTTAAGTACACCCAACCAGTGTACTGTGAAAAAGAATGGCCATTTTAGTGGGTTAAGAATCCATGACGGCATAACTGTGGTGATGCGGGGGCGTGCATTTTCCTATGAAATGGAAATAAGAACAAGACAAGTAACTATTAGTTTTTTAATGCCTACTCTTTTTTTTCAAAGACTACCTGGAAACTACTTCACAATTTTTCACAAAAGGACGGATAGAATACTTGTTGAGTTAATGCAGACGGAAAACATGACTAAGAGATTATTTTGTGGAATTGGAAAATAACCTTTGGGAATCCCATTTCATAACACACAATAATCCTTCCTCGTTTGCCTCAGTTATAAATCTGAACATGAACAATATCAATACTAAAATTGATTCCAGTGTTGGATTAAATATTGACATGCTCTAAGAATGTGTTTAAAGGGGATATGCAAACATGTAAGCCTTGCCAATCTAAGGTCACTTACTCGCCATTCTTTCAGCTTTGCATTAACTTGCAAATATTACACTCCATTATCTTAAAAACTGCTGACTTCTAATAATTCTGTCACGTATGGAACATTTTATACTTCAGTTCTCTAAATGTCTAAAATACAAAAGAGCATTTTGTTCAGAAAATTAAAAACTGCTGTCAACTTGAAGTAACATGTCTCAAAATGCCACAAACCTAAAAAATTCACCCATGAAAGCTTTCAACAACATTTCCAAGAAGAAAAAAAAAGCAGAACCCTGGGTAAATTGAAACAGCTTTTACAAGCATTCTACTGGGTCTTTCCTCTGAGCCTTAACCAAAACTGAAAATTTTCTTCAGTAATCATTTTCTCAAATGCTTCCCAAAGCAAAAGTTCTGGGTGTAGGCCAAGTGATATCTGGTGGTGCCAGGATCTCAAAGGACACCATGCAGAGGCGCTAATCAAACTTAAACTAATTACTAATACACTATTATAGTACACACTGTGTGAATGGTAGTTAATGCTTGAGGGATTTCACCAGTGTGGTTTGTTGGGTACAAATTTGCTTTAAAATATTTTAAAGTGGACATCAACTTTACAGGTCTTCAAATAATGTAAAAATTCAAAATATGACATCTTTCAGTTTTTTAAAGGCTCAAGTCATCCTACTGTAACCTCATTCTTTTAAGATCTCTCTTTCATATATTTTTATCTACTTAATTGCCATTCATTAGACACAGAACAAGGACAGTTTAATTTAAAAAAACAAAAAAAAACAAAAAAAAAACAAAAAAAAAACAAAAAAAACAAAAAAACAGTAATTAAGTCTGAAAACAAGCCACGCTCAATGTTTTATACTTTTGCCCGGTTTCTGACCCAAGTTGACCCTTCTCTGAAAAACCTGCAAAGTAAACATTTTCAAAACAGCCAGACCTTGAGTGTAACCTTACCTTATGATCATTAAGTTGCTTCTCCAGGTCTTCTGGTGGTGGTTCGTCCTCAGGTGTAATGGCCTTTAGGTCCTCCTCCACCTTGTCTGCCCAGCGGTCAAACTCGGCTCTTTTCTCGTCAAACTGCTTACACTCTAATAGCATGTCATCAAGCTGGTTCTTCCTGAAAGTCACTTTGGCATTGGCTTCTTCCCAATGTTCCCTCAGCCGTTCAACTAAAAACAAATTCAACTTTGAGTTAAACAATGAAGTTTTACTGTAATTATCTTATTATTTCTAATTAAAGAGTTGATACATTTTTGCTTTTATATCTAACTTAATTTCTATAACTACATATTACAATTTTTTTATCAAGAAATATTATAAATTATAAATTTAATAAACAGGACATTAAAAAAAATCACAATAGATTTAAAATGATCAAATACAGAATACAAACAATTTCTTTCTTAGAACATTACCTGAGAAACCATCATTGTTGTCTGAGAACAAATTTTTAAAACCTTGCCAAAAATTGGAAACCTTTTCCAAATATTCAGCCATGATAAAAAAAACAGCCTTTCCCCTGATGTTACTGTCTTGGCAAAATTTCTGAACTCAGGCACAGTCCCACTCCGTACAGTCTGCAGGTTATGCAATATGACAACTCAACAGAGGTACAGAATGATGTTAGCCATTATCTCATTACTAGAATTATCATTGTACAGAATGAGCTGGTCCACCAATGAACAACAACCTGGCTGCTGCCTAAATATGCTCTGACATTGATCCTGGCTTACGCTGAAGTGCTAGGAAGAGTGCAACATACTTATGTCCCATAAATAACTATCTATAGCAGTGAGGCAGGGTTCACCCTGATGTAGAATTAATTCAATGAGGCCCCTATTCTGACAGTATCGACTACAAGATATCAATCAAACAGAAACCCAGAAAAACTATTTTCCTTCCTAGCTCCTGAGAAGGATCAAGATAAAACGCTCTGACACAGAATCAATGTAGAAGTAATTTCACACATGGACCTGATGATGAGCCATCTTTGTATATAAGGAGTTGTAAACATAGCCAGCTGAAACTAACACCACAAGGCAAATACTTCAGGAGAATAGAGCCCTTCACTTGTTTTACTTTGAGACTGTTCCCTAAGTATTGATCATTTGGAAATATCTCAAAGGAACACCAACCTTAATTTCCCCTCACACTACAACCTTTGTAATTCCCAGTTATAGAAATTTTATCTGTCCAATGATCACTTTCATAATCTGCTATTGCAGGGGCTGTGTATACAATGACAGCATATTAACCCTAGTTCTTTCATCCTAAGCCCCGTCCTGTGGGAATACAACTGATGGAGGTACGTTAAAATCAATGATTTGAAATAAATTGAGAAGAGTGGGCAGATAAGTGATGTCATTCCAAAGCATGCTGTAAGTCACGTGTGAAGGCTAAATAACAAGAGCGCAATCTGACATGAGCTGTTTTCACACCTAACACACCTTAATGAATGAAGATGAAACAAAACCCTGCAATTTGTGTCTGTGAAATACATAAAGCCAAGTTGACTAGCACTGCTGATTCATAAACCTACAATAATGAGACACTGGAGAAGTCATTATCACAACCTGACACAATCATTTCTCTCATCTAGCACACTGTTATCTCTACCTGTGTAGCATCTCACCTTTTTCCTGTAGCACCTGCTTATCGTTTTCCTCCTCAGTTTGACTCTTCAAGTTCTCTCCTGCTGTGATCAGGTCCTGCAGGTGAGGCTGCTTGCCTTCCAAATCACTGAGAATCGTCTGAAATAATCAGCATTCAACATAATGCAGGAACCTCACTATTCACCTATTCAACTGAATTACAATGATTAGTAACAAAATGCTGGTATGATAGAAGAGTTTAAATAAAGATGATCATTGGTTAAAAGGAAATTAGGTCCATTCAAAACTCATATGCCACATATTCAAGTTTCTAGGGAACCAAGCCATGTTATAACAAACAAGATTAGAACAAACATTAATATAAAAAGTACAAAGCAAGATTGGTACATATACAGACATATAAATGGGGAGGCAAAAATGGATATATGACAGAAACAGACCAATAGAATCTTTGTAATGACAGAAACAGACCAATAGAATCTTTGTAACACATCAAGTGATGGAAAAAGGAGAATTTTAAAAAAACTTATCTTTTTCCAAACAAACAAAAAAAAAACTTTATCTTTGTCTAAACACCAGAGAATGCCAAACCAAAACAATGGAACAAATGCATGCATTCTAAACAGGGTTTACCCTGGTTAATCTGAAGTATCTGTATAATTGCTAACTTAAATTTGTCCTAAAATGCACATTTAATACATTATACTCTACAGATTAGGACAAAATGTTGACATTTCATTGAAAAAAAAAAAAAAACTAAAATAGTGAAGGTCACAACACAGACAGACTCGGATGAACAGAATATATACAGACATCTACAGTGTCTGTATATAAAACCGCAGGGTAATCTAATAACCAGACATCAGTATTTCATGTCAAATCAATCCTTCCTGATTTGATCCAAAACTGATAATCTTGCCATTTCTCCTTATTTGGACTGTGCTCCTTGCCTACAGGGAATCTTTCCCCTTAGTATTAGTTTTATCGATAGGATTTTTATTGGCAACTATGTTTTGTTTGTCTTCCATATTCCATCCGAAGATAATGAAGCTTGTGCTTGTTTTTTTCCCCACCAAAATTTCAAATTTTTGAAGGCAACACATATTTTATTGGTTATTGAGAAATCAAACCACATTTTTTCAGGGCAGAGCATGCAGAAGTACCTTATACCTCCAAAACCAGGTATAAAAGGTTGGTTAAATATCCTATAACAAGTGTGATAGAGGGTCAGGATATATTATGTTAATGAAGGTAAGACAGCTAGCAAAAAAAAAAAAAAAAAAAAAAAAAAAAAAAAAAGCAGTGTATCAGTGGCCTAGGTTCATAAGCAAACCAGCTGAAACAGGACCACAACTGGTTTTCATTCAGAGACTCCCATATTAGCAAGGTATTACACACATTTTGTTAGTCCCCACTTTTATTTGACAATACACTCTCTCTTTTGCTAGCAAACTATAGCCCTTGCAAATCAATCTCTCAAACACATGCAAAGGCTTTCTTTCTTCTTATTTACACAGACACCAGTTCATGCAAAGGCAATTAAATAGTTTTCAAACATTTACTTATACATATTGAACAATCACAGTTGATAACAAAATATGCAAACAAAAATAAGCTAAAAGTAAAGTGACATAAGCAGTGAAAAAGTTTAGAGAGAGTAAAATAGTGAAACAAACATAAGCATGCTTACTAAGCTCTTAAATTAAAATAGAAAAATAGTATGGTGTGAAAGATTTTATAGAATAAGTGATGTATGACCACATTGTGCTAGGTGTGACAGTGTGTTATGATGTGATAATGTGACAGATGTAGCAGGGTGTTCAGCAGCCTGTTCATAGTAGTTTGTTGGGTTTTGACAATGTGTTAGATGTGATAGCATGTTAGATGTAACAATTGCGGAGTTGAAGGCAAGCAGAAACACACCTTGAGTACAAGAATATGCTGGCGTATGTCTCTAACCATAGAGCGTATGGTGTCTACATCATCACAGCTAAGGGAAGTAAGAGGTCGTGAGCTCACACATTCAAATGCTCTCTGTTGAAAAAAATTAAAATTTAAATACTACTTTAGCTACCTAAACTACCTGAGAAAAAAAATACAAGGGTAATAGCATACAAATACAACTAGAAAACTATGACTAGAAAATTACTGTAACATGTGTGACTGGCAGTGTTCACATGCCTGCAGTAAATGGAAAATCCATACCGATTCATTTTATTGTGATTAATGACATAATAAAATCAATTGATCAACAATGCAGCAATTTGCTGCATAACTGTCCTTTGGGATGCTAATATATCTGTTTTCAGTTAGCTGTGTAAACTTCTAAACTGATTTACTCTCTTCATTTAAGTTGAACAGAAAAATGCTTTTCCCTTGGCACAGGCTGTTTTCACCATGGAAGACAGTGGGTTAGTTGGCAATCCATGCAGACATCCAACAAATATCAACTTATGTCCAAATTTTAAAGAAGTGAGCTGCTGTAACATGCTATATGTAACTGTGATGATGTTTTAATAAAAGCAAGTGGTATACTTGTTATGACTAATAAAGGCAGGCAAGGGAATATTCTGTTGAGATCAATATGGGATATTCAGATTAATATTTTTCTGAATGTTTTTCCTGAAACTCTGTTCCTGCCTTTAGTGGTAAACTCAGATACATAAACAACATAGCTGTGTATATTATTAGTGCCAGTGGATTATGAAAAGCAATGTAAAAGTGGCAATAAAAATCATTTTCTTTTACATAACAAAACCGAGCACATGAAACACTACTTTCAACAAATAATTCTAATGATTATTACAATAATGCTACTGACAAACATACACTTAACACATTGCCTCTATATATTAACAGAAACAGACAAATGCAATTTTTTCATATTCAGGAATGACATCAAAATCTTTTCACAAAGTAAAAAAGGATGCCACAAAAAACACTGGACTTAGACACAAGTGAGACTAAGAGCGTGATGATAATCTTACCTTCTGTTTTGAAATCATCTCTTCTATTTCTTCAATATCCCCAACAGTGACAATCTGAGACTTGAGCATTTGCTCCAGTAATGTCAACCAATCCCTTAGCTCTACCACAGACTTGTCAAACTCGGGCCACATCTCGTCATCACTGCTCTTCATCTCTGCTTTCTCTGGAATATTCACCAACAGAAAATGAAGACAAGATATCTTATGAGCTTCCTCCACTTGCTCAGTGTGGTTGGCGAGCATCAGAATGAAAGAAAAATATCTGCCAGTTTATGGTGCTTTAATGCAGATTCCGATATTAAATAAGTGAAGATTCAGCTCAGTATTGATCCACAGTTGAACATGGGGAGTTAAAATATAACTAAGTTCTATCAGTACACTGTCCCAGTGATGCTGAACATAGACAGGAACACAATGGCACATCACTTCATCTAATCAGGCTGTATCTTTATGGCCTAACTTAATTAAATAGCAATCGCCTCCCAAATAAATGGAGAGCTATCATAATGTCTTGATCAACTTCTGTGAGTTGATTGTTCTTCAAATCCATAATTCAAATTCTGTCCATTTTCACAAAATGAAGCTATCTTGTGCTGCAGACACCATAAGCAGCAGGTTTACAATGTATTTCCAACAGGCTCAGTGGCACAAAGCAGACATGTTTTATAAATTCAAGACAATGACAGAAAAAAGGATGTAATATTTTTCATATATTAATTATATTTTTGTCTTTTACTGACTTCCATTTTTTAAAATATATTTTTGCATTGATTCACAAAATGTAACCAAGAACTATTATCAATTTATGTACATCCTTAGGAAAAACAAAAAATAAATGTTCAACAAAATCTTTCCATTTTTTTAAATCACTGAATCAATACATTTTTAATGAAATGCCACTAAATAGCAAGTTACTATTTTCACAGACAGCAGACTGTAACCTAAAAACATTTGTCAAACAATGACAAGAAGATTACCAGTCATGTTAATATAATAATGATTCACTTTGAATACAATGGCTCCACCCTTTTGCACACGATTACTCTTGCAGAGAGGCAAAAAGTAGAAAGTAACAAAATAAAATTCATTACAGTGCATGTCTTGCTTTAAAATGGACAAAAACCTAACTGAGACTATTTATGAGTCAGTGAGACTAATAAATCAAATGTCATGTGACACTGCTCTAAATTTCTCTAAATGTAAGATATAATACCTTTTTTTATGGAAATTATTTTAAAAATTCTATCGGCTTTTCAATAAAAGCCAAGAAGAAATAGCCGGAAAGATTTCTTACCTATTTGGTATACCACTTCAGTGCTGGAGGAAGGGCGGAGATTGGTTGCCATTTCTTTTACTTTCTCCCAATCAGTATTGAGTGTCATAACTTTCTTCTGAATATGTGCTGGTACAGTCAAGTCCATCTTACTGCACTCCTCAAGTAATCCATTAAATGTGTCATTTACATCATCAATGTTTTTCTGCCTGGAATTCAGCGCACTTTGCATTGTCTGAAAGCACATAAGTAGCAAGTCTATACAAATTGCATGAGTAAATGAATAAAATTAACACAGATTCATTAGGTGATTAACACATTATTTTGCAGGAACTAACACCTGGCAGTTACATATGAAAATCATTTTCAATGTAACAGTGTGTAAAGATCAGTGTTACTTGATAATGTTTTTATATATAAGTGCAATGATATAGACCACGCTAACCAAATGGATCCTATTTCTCTTTTCCATGCTAACCAATTTCTCTTTCATAGAGTTCCATAGTTACTTCCTTCTAAAGTCCACCACAATTTGAATCTCTCAAACAGTCACAATTTAACCTTCTTTTTCATCCATCACCATCAACTGCCACAGCCTGGCTACCTTGTCTTACCTGTGGGTCAACAATAACAGAGTCTCTCTCTCCTGGTGACGTGGTACTAGTGGGGTGGAGCTGCTGATCCAGCAGAGCCTTAGTCTCCGAAACCCAAGTCTGCAGGTCCTCCACTTCCTCCTGGAAAGACTTGAGATGCTGCAGACGCTCCTCCAATGCTTTTCTCTTCCCTGGGATGTCACTGGTCACCTGCAGCGTAAAAAAAGATGGACTGACTACTGACATGGTCAATTTGTTGAAAAAATACTTTTCACTTTCCATTCAAGAAAGATAACAGTAAAAAAAAATGCCTAGATAGACAATGTAGATTGGCTGGTTAAATTATGTTTATTCCATGTTTTGGCAGACTCTGTGACAGTAAGGCCTAGTACATGTATAGTTATAAATCTTTTACATGGTGACAGCTGTTGGGAGAGGTTATGCTGGGCCAGCCACCACCTGTAGGAAGGTCATATACACAAAATTATCATAAAAAAATCCCATACAAAAGAAGTCTCTTTTTTAAAGTAGGACATTAAAATGTCATCAACCAAAACAAGCAGATAAATGACTTTGACTTGATGACAACCTGTAATTTGTCTTCATAAAGATATCAGCCATGTCAAACTAGTTGGCGCATGGAAGTAAATATCCATATTGTATTCTAAAGCCCCCTTTAATGTCCTGAAGCTTCAGCACTGTAACTAAAGGTACATTTACTAATTTCTCGCTTTAAGGATTTTTGCTTTCCCTCAATAAAATAAAATTGAATTTTAAGTCCAAAGACTAATAAATGCCATGTGGTGACTTTGGTTCTCTTTATTATGGGTGCATCTAACTGCTCACCTTGTCCCATCTGGCAGTGAGCATAGCAATGTCCTTCCTGATATTGGCAGCATCTTCCTGGGAGGTGGTGGGAGCAGCAACCAGATCGTCTGCTGTGGAGTTCAGCGTCTTCAAACTCTGCTGCCGAGAGGGAATATCTTCCTCACGATCCTGAAAAAAGTCAAATATGGAAACAAATTACCACCAATGTCTGGCACTATTGTCAATCAATTTTTTCAGGCATCCGCAAGGAGTATCCATTAATTTAAAAAGCATGAATCACAGTCACCTTGCACTTCAGAGTTCAATTTTTTGCTGCATAACAAAAGCCTATGGTTCTGTCTTCTCAAACACACACCGAGGTCGACAGACCTAGCACAGAGGTCCCTTATTATTCACAGCAAGACACTCAAATGGTGGCAGCGTCCTGAAAAGGTTGTACATCTTGCTGCTTAGTATTCTAAACAAAACCCCACGTCTATTTTACTCCCTATTTTTCAGTGTAGATCGTCTCTGAAAATCCGTTACCATGGACTATATAGAGAAGTTGACTGTATCTCCTGGATATACGTGAGTAATACACAGGTCTAATACCTGGGAGCAGGATCAAAATTGCGTGAGAACTTTCACCAATTTTACTGTGTCCTCAGGGTTTATTCTAGCATTAACAGTCATTAGAGCGGAGATATACAAGACCCTACAGTATTACTGCCTTGCAGCTGTTTGGAGAATACATATACCATACCACTACACAGTAATAATTTTGTTTATGTGATAATAGTTCACTTTAAGTGCCATACTAATGTAACTTCTCATAGCAAATGCATTTAAAGATTTATATTTCCAACAAAACAAACAAACATGCTCAATTTATCAAATCAATTTAGGGGAATCTTCCCACTGCAACTGCTCCTTCAAAACCAATTTAAAAACAAGTCATTTCTAGCAATGTCAGAAGGAAAAATAAATTGTCAAGATTGTCCAGATATCACAATCTCTCATCCCTCTATTATAACAGATTACCAACTTTTAACCTCCCTGAATCACTACGAATTGCACTAAATGCCTTAGCATGTTAATCCACCTTGGGGATGATTTCATGTCTATGGGTTTTTGTATCTTCTAACTGAAGTTTCATCCCTTATTTACGCATGTACCCTTGGTTTTACTTCAATTCTACTCAAAACTCTGGTTTAATTTAAAATCTAATTGTGTCAAATTATCTATGTTTTTAAACCTGGATTTACATCTCAGTGAAGTCAAGTTTTAGCTGGATTACAGAAGAGCTTTTGGTAAAACTGTCGATATAAACAAGCTTTTAGAGTTAATCTGAGGTTTAATCCTTGTTTAACCTCATCCTTCTTTGACACAATCAAGTTAACCTATCCTGATCTTTATCATTAATACCAACCCTACAATGCCATTTTGTATTATATTCAATGCTGTTAGTAGATATTACCTTGACTTTTTCTAATAAATCTTCCAAATATTGTTCGTCTGCTATCCTGACAGTGGTGTTCAAGATGGTCTCCGTTTCATCCAACCAGAAGAACAACTCGTCCATCTCTTCACTAAAAACACTGGTCTCCATTGCCTCAGCCTCAAACCTACAAGTTTAAATAATGGAATTTAGAAAAGCGTTTAACTAAACCAAATACTAATAGCTTAATCCAGAGTACCAATACCTGAGCTATTTCAATTCTGTATAATACATAACAAATCTACAGGTATCAATTTTGCAATTCATAAAGAAATGTGGAAAAAAATTAATGTAATCAATTTTAAGTGAAATTACATTACATTATATAAACAACAAAGTCAAAGTTTTTAATTATTTAAGACTGTAAAAACTTCTTTACTAAAAATGATTTACAACAGACAATAAAATAGGTAATGTGTTTAGCTGAAATAGTTTCTAGATGTGCAAATAATGGTATTTTTGCAATAGCATCCAACAAAGTCATAGTTACACATACACATGGCAAATTATAAATGCAAGTAACTATCTCTATTAATAATATGGGTAAGGCCTTCCCAGGGAGCTGTCCAGCTGTCATTTGGACAGTCAGTTTCCTTATATTTTCAATGACAGCTTATAAAATGTTGAGATTATTTTGATGTACCCAGATTATTTTATGCTCCACAGTTGTGTAAAAGTAGAAGAAAAACACCCTTTGAGGATCAAATAGCAATATAAAATAAAGGTGAAAGTGAAAATATATTGCTTTTGTGTGTGGCTGCTTTTTTCAACTGCTAAAATTGTCAGGTCAAGTTATATGGTTTGCAACAATTTAGGGGGGTGGGGAGAGATGAGTAAGTTAAGGTTCTATGAAGACAGTGTAAGTGAACTGATGAATCTGATTAAATATTTTGTCACCTTCTCTGCAACTTTTTAGGAGTGATATAAAAGTGATTAGACACATGTCAAAATTTGCCGAATCCTTGGTACCTTCCTTTTGTCAGCTACCCCTTCAGTGCTACACAGATAGTTGACCTATTTCTTTACACTTGAGTGAACGTTTGGATTTCTTGTCAAGGGCAAATAAAGATTTTTGGCTTTATTTGGTCATCAACTTGACATTGAAGTTGTAGTCTGTGCTGCTCTTTTGGTTATATGCTAATGATGTAATTCTACGCTGTATAGTTTCAGAAAGGGAAACAATGCTGCATTGAAAGCAGAAATCATTCCATTTTCACATCACAGTGTAAATCATAAATGTGGGAGTATATATGTATATTTGTGTCAACATGACATGCATATTGCAACACAGTTTGTGTTTTTATTCTCTTTGGTTTACTGTGTTAGATTTTGGTAAATGTGATAAGGGTTTCTTAAAGGTTTTCATACTTTTACACAATACTGATATATTGGAATTTTGAAAAACATTTCAGTAGATAAAACCAACTAAAAATTGCTAAATTATAATTGGAAGATTGTTTAAGAAATTAAAATATGTATAAAATATCATTATATTTATATTTATTACTATTCAATATGTAAAATGAAAGAAAAGAGATTAATGAAAATTATTAATACCCCCTTGTCCATACACTGTTACTAATGTATAGTAAGCTTATGTCAGTTTACGGGATAATGTGAATGAGCACAAGGAGAAAAATCACACTGGCCCTAAATAATAATGTGTGCTGCTGCAATAAACTGTTTTGAAATCTGTAAGAAAAAAATACATTAACAGTAGCCACAGTGTGTAAGACAATACTTGCCTGTCTTTCCTATCTGAGATATCAGTGAAGACAGCCTGCCAACGCCTATTGAGCTGTTCCAGTTTTTCCGCCAGAAGGCCAGCTTCAGGAGAGGAGGACTGCTGGACGATCTCCTGGCTTGACGTGTGCAGGTTGTGGATGGTGGCCTGGTGAAGCTTCACCTGCTCTTCTAACTCCTACAAAAACATAAGAGGATGTTCCCGTCACAGTGGACAGCAGTGCATATGTTTACATAAACATGGTACCTAGCCTAAGTTGTAATAATTCAATATCTCCACCTAACTCGAATCTGTATGGTCAGTGACTTGTTAACCAATGAGTGTCATATACCAGTAATACCTGTTAATCTGGTATAGAACCACGGGAGGTTCAGTTGCATACTTATCCACAGGTACCAGCCATGGCATACATTGCACACAAGATTGGAAACTGACATTACCATTTTTTCTCCTGGTTCACCTACCATGAAACTTGCCCAAGCTCTTTTTACAGCCTGCATCCTGGTTTCATTTTACATTGTGAGCCTAAATATACCAGTTCAGTTTCTACATCAGTAGGGCAAGATTAAATTAACACATTGACAAGTTGAGGCGAACACTGTCACAACGATGCATATCAAATGATACAATGTTCTTTTTTTCTCAAAAGCTGGAGAATAAGGCAGCGGAGGTGGCTCACCATATGACAGCCTACATGTATTTATATGACCTGCATCTACACCACACATGCTCATATTTCACTGAAATAGATAACTGTTTAAATAAAAAATACAGATCATGACTCAGCCTAAGTAAACACTACAACAACCGTACCCTTTTCCAGTAATGAAGAAATTGCAGAGCTTAAAGTCTGTCACCTTTTTTGTGCATGTAAGACAAGGTAAAATCTTGCATAATGTGAAGCTGCCTAGCTGCTGGGTAACCTAATAGTAGGGTTAATACTTGACTTTATCCTGATCATTTAATCCTAATTAATACTTCACCTCATATAACACTGCAGAAAGAAACCTACCTTATATCTCATGGTGAAATTCAAATACACGCACAATGACAGATCAAATACTTCAACAGTGCATGCATGCCTCGGCTTAAAAGCAAGTCAATGTTATTTGCCTGCAATTCTCCTTTTGATAAAATCCAGGAAATACCACAACTGTGAAGGCCTTAGGAACTGAGATAAAGTGGGTTTTCTTTTTTTCCAGTCTATTTTATCAATGCTGAGTTTTGTTTTCCCACACCTCTGCATGCAATGGGCTGATAAGCTGACACATACATAGCCGCCTTCATTACCAGCACAACTACATACACAAGGGGGCTCTAATAGACCTGGCTGCTGCATATCATCTACAGGGTGACATACAGTAGTACAGGCTGGAATGTTGGCTACAGACATGAAACAAGGCTGATGTACAGTGTATCACAACCCTCTCATCCCCTTATGACAGGGCCTACACCACTTGATTATTATCACTACCTGCTACTGGTATTTCAGCACTAACTTGCTGTTGTGTCTAAATGTACAGTATGGAAGATGCATGATCTTATTCTAAACTGGCTAAGAAATGGGCTCATACATAAATCATGCTTTTTGTCTTGCTTAAATAAATGCTCTGCTATACCTAGCTTTATTCCAATTATGTATTCTGCTTCATGGACTTTCCTTAGTGTGACTTAGTGCGACTATCATGGCGACAGGTGCTTGTCACCATAGAAGATACTACCCATTTAAACAATGCAACTTGTTAACTGGGCTGTCCCAGCTGATTAACCCACCTGAGCTGAAGTGTCCATAATGACAGGCTATACAAATGTTACTTTAAACAGCAAACATATCCACTCCATTCAAAAGAAAAAGTTGCTGCATGTAATCTACACCAGATGTTTCCATTCCCAGTATTGCTACCCTGTGGTCAAGCCAACTTTGTGTGCTCGGCTGTGTGCACTTTTAAAATATCATGTCTGCAGTCCTGCTTGTTTTGGTGCACCAATCAATCCATCTTGTGCCTTGTCATTAATGTCAATGGTTAAGACAGACAGAGATGGCCTTCATATCAATGGGCAGCAGCACACTAATCCATGAGAACTCTAGTCTGGGTCCAGAGTGGATGCCCATTACATTAACCCACACTAAATAATCAACTAAACCACCCTGTTCAATAAGTTCATCAATGAAATCATGGTCACGCAGAACTTTATTTGTTCTCAATTAGATGTCCGCTAATATGGCAGCTCTTTCACATACAATCAATGCAAAGAAGCGCACAAATATGGTGCTCATCAAGACAACTGCACCAATGAAAGGGGCTTAATTGTTCACAATAGTACATGTAGCATACTTGATCAATGGGAAAGCCTGACACCTTCATGTACTAGTTTGTGTAACAGCCAGCATCATTAGTAGCAACTTACCAGCCATAAAATGAGCTCTTCACAGATTCACATTGGTAATGATTTGAAAATGTAATAATAACAACCTTTACAGTACATTTTTTTGTTGTCTTTTCATTTTCTAAAGATATTTTGTTCTTCTTAAAGGCAAACAAGGCTTTTAAATAATTGGAATAATTAAGCAATGATATAAATTCCAATGCTCTTATCTATATGTAGTGGCCATTCAGAATAGATGAACTGAGGACTAACTGATCTGCCGACTAAATACGGCCGGCCCCACTTCAAAAGCGATGCCGCTGATTCCTGATGGTCACCCTGCCTCCACCCTCTCAGAGGTTTAATTGCTAAGTCCCTGCACTGACAGCACACATGGAGGCAGGGAGACCATCATGGAATTAGCAGCATCCGTTTGAAGTGCAGTCAGCCATATTTAGTTGGTGGATCAGTTAGTACTCGGATCATCTATTCTAAATGGGGCCAGAGATTAACTGACTAAATTCAACTACAAAAATAGGTGTTAAAATGTACAGGGTACATCATAGCTTGTAATATAATTACGTAACACAGCCTGAAATATTTATGAAAAACCAGCATTGAAACAGCTGTAATGTACGCAATAATGAACACAGCTAAAGGTAAAATATTTAAGTTACGGTATAAATAAGTACATACAGCATTGTTGTATCTAATTCAATTTAGAGAGCTTTTATCACTACACCCACATATAAGGATATACTATAAAAATTGATCTTAAATGTACAGCATAGGGTTACTATCTAAACAGGGTTATACTGTATCTATAGTCCTTGAATAGAATGAAATGATTAGAAAATCAGAATTTTACAAGTCTTGGGAATAACAGCAATCTCATCAAAATTGCTGGTACATCTATGAAAAAAAAAAGAACAACACAAAGATGGCTGATTTGTCTCTGGGCCAAGGCATCAGTCTTCCATTAATTTTCATTTTGTTCTTACTCATACGGTTCACAATTCCCAAGATAACACAAATTTTATGCAGCTCAGCTCCAGTTACACCCTAATTATCATACTTCTGGTTATTGTGAATCAGCAAATTGATGACTTATGTATGAATGTTTCCCACTTCATTCACTTCAAATCAAATCAAATCACTAGATGTTGATTTGTGATTTGTTGATGTGTGTTCCAAAAATAGTACTAAGGAAATAAAACATTGATAAAAAGGGAAGAGTAGTGGTAAGTGTCATCTTCATCTATAGATATTGTAAATAAGCTACAATGTGTTTAACTTTTACCAGTTAAAAATTACCATGTTTAAAGCCTTTCCCCACTATTAAAGGACATACCTTCTGCTGTGCTTTTGCCTTCTCCAGATCGATGTTGCCCTCGCTAGTCCTGGTCTCAGCCAGCGTCTTCTCTGCCTCTGTCAGCCACGACGCCAGCTCTTTCATGTCACAGTGGAACTGACGCCACTGGTCAGCAGTTTCAGTCCAGTGACTGGATGAAAATAGAATCAGTCATTTAAAATAAAATAAATGATTTTTTTCATTCATTCATTTCCATTAAATTGTCACTGAAAAACCTGCAGCAAAACTACCTTTAATTTTCTTATACATTATATAGTATTACTTATTTCCAATTTATAATTATTCACCATTTTTTAAAAACAGAACTAAACATATTTGATAAACATATTTACTCAAGTATGCAAATTGCTCTAAAGCACATGAAACATGAATGTACTTAGGTGCTTAACCCACCAAACCTCTTGACAACCCTCAATTTAAGTCCCCAGAACATGAGTATTCTAGTTCTTATCCAAGTAAACATGAAAACACTCTGGTCTTTACCATATATACACCTCTCCTTAAGTAGATTAATGTGCTGATAACATCACAAACATTACATTAATAAATTGACATACAATTCACCAAAAGACAGCATTAAACTATATTACTATAAAAGAAAGACATCTTTTCATTTGTTGAATACCTGTCTTTGTAAACAGTTTCCTGGTACATAATTTCTATATCACTAAAAGTCAATAAAACAGTGCAAATGGGGGTGTCACCTTCCCACGTTTAAAAGACACAAGATATGGGGCATTTCACTATATTATGACTTAGTGAGATTTCTGACCTTATTGGCCATATTGCAAAAGTCGAGTTTAGTTAGGTCATTTTCACGATGTACCTGCTTAAACCCCCGTTTTTGTANGAGTGATATAGATGAGCAATTCATTAAACAGTGACAAAATGTCAGCAACTTCATTCGCACTGCTTCGCATCATCTTCTTAGGTAAATTGGACCCTTTCTCTTAAATCACTGTGCGACACCCACCATCTCCAAAGTGTATGACAAAATAGTAGCAATATATCCCCATCCATAATTCCTATATCACCAGAAGCATCAACTTGGCCATATTCTCTTTGTTTGGGCCAAGGCATCAGTCCACATTCAAGTGGGTAAAAGAAATCTAAGCCTCCTGGTCACCTTTCTAGCCGTTTGACCACCCTACATGGACATGGTAGCCGTGTATTCTTGTTCCATATTTCATATTTTGCCCCTCGGCAAAAACATTTCCTTTGTCACTAGCTCTAACTGTCATTAAAGAAATCACCTTTTAACTCAAATCCATCTGCAGAGTGCTCCTGTGTGTGATCATGCCCCTGGCTCTGATGTGATTTTGTTTAGCTAAAGATCTTAATTAAATTGTGATTAATTAAATGAGGTTTTGTCAAAGAAATGATAGACAGCTGTGGAGAAGTCAAGCTGTAGCCAGACTTTCCATTACACCTCAATTTATTCTGATTTGCACAAGCAATATCAATCATTATTATGTAATAATAAGAAAGTACTGTAAAAGCACACTCCACCTACAGCCTCAGTGTTGTGCAAAGCATGCTATCCAAAATCATCAGTTATCTAAGCAAATATGAGTTCAGAGAAAGTATGACAGTGTCATCAATCACTCTGAGAGACTGTTTCATAAATACTTTGACCATAAGGCCCAAGTGAATGGACTGTACGTCCAACAAGCCCCTCTACTGTGCATATCCACAGACTTAGGGCATGGCGTATTCACCTTATTACTATGAATTTTTCTAATAAAAGCAATAAAACAAGTATAAAAAAGCAGTTTTACTCAATGACATCTAGTAATCTAACAAAATTTTCATGTTGTAAAGTAAACAGAGCATTTTAACTGCTCAATCAAACCAAATCATACTTTCAACAATCATGATATGAGCTTTATTGAAAACATAATTGATGGCAATTTTTATTTGAAAAAAAATCTCCTAGTTGTATGTGTAGATGTATAGTTGACTTTCAGGTTAAGGTACTCAAATACTTTCAGATGCACCTTTATGCTAATGATGATTTTATCTCTTAACTCAGTGCCAAATTAAACAAGATATCTTTGTATTCATAATTGTCATCTGCCCCCTATGTATAATTATTAAATGGCTGGAATTTTCTTAAGACATGGGTTGGACCGGTACATTGTAAATACCAGGATACATGTACTTTTCATGAAAACAATTTCTAGTTAATATTCATATTTCATTTAAAACTATTTCTAGTAATTATTTCTAATTGTTCATCAAGTTAATTGGCCATTTTTACATTTTTATAGTTGTGAGATTAACCTATACCAAGAACCTGCATAATTACACTGCTTATGTTCCCATGAACTGGAGAGAAATTATTCTGAGGAAAACAAGGGTCATTCTATCAAATTTCTATATATGTGACTATAGCAGTAAATAAATTATTTTCTTACCCGTATTTTTCTTTGTATTCCTTATTCACTCTGGCCCAATCTTGCCGCAGTTTCTCCATGATCTTCTTAATCCTTGTAGCCTCCTCATGGTCACTGGCATCAAGCACGCCATCCTTCTGCTCCTCTGCCGCTACCACTGACGGCTCCAACATCTCCAGGGACCCCTGCACTGCCTGGAATAGAAGACATAAGCTGTACTAACATAGCACACTTCCCAGAAAAAAAGCTATGGAATCTGTCTAATGTGTAGGCATTATGCTGACAGTGAATAATGCTGAGGTTGGATATTTGTATACACTCAGTTTGTGTTCATCAGGCTACATGAGATGGACAGTCCTTCTAAATCCCTGGAATTCCCAGAATAAATACAATTTTTTTGTTCTTTTTTCAGCAAAAATAAAAAAAACACTGCAGTAAATAAAACAGTGGTCATGTTACCAAACAAGATACTCCAAAGATTAGTTAGGCATCTGTATTTCTGCCTGCAAGCCCAAGATTCTTCTCCAGGAGGAGTGCTATCTTGGTTATCTTGTGCACTCCCTTTTCTCAATGTTTAACACTGGTCCCATACATCTACCTGTAGGCACCTCTTATCATACCATCACACTCTGTTACATGGCCACTAACATCACTTACAGCCTGCACTGAAATTCCCCAGGGGAGAGGGGGAGCACACTGATTGCTAGATATGTGAGAAAATCCAGATATATTTCCCTGAAGCCACTAACATGTAATCCAGCATGTTAAAAAATACTCCTTTGAATATTTCACAAAGATATTTGAATTTTGCATGGGTAAACAGTGAGTTGTGCACAAGACATTCACCGAGGAAGGCACAAGGTGAAGCTTTGCATGTCCCAGGTCCATTCACAGTGTAATAGGAAGATAAATAGACAAGATAACACCTGGGCTGGGGTGATGGCAAATGCACACCTTTACTGGGGAGACAAGCTGGTGTCAATTGGGTTTTTGTTTCCTCCTTAATCAGCGTTATCACTGCCGGACAATACCAGAGTGTGGGCAGTGACGTCAGAGGGACTCGATGATCACACAGTGTCTTACCATGTCAAGGCCTGTGACATTACCAGTGACATTTGATGTCACACAGCAGAGCACATGTACAAATACAATTACCCTGCAGTGCAAACATATTACAACAATGTCATATTGCATGCTAGGGTATTACAACCTTTGTTATTCTGTCTCATTTAACACCTTTGTCCTCTAATATCAAATATTCTTACAAAACTATGATAATAAAGTGGAAAAGTTTTAATAGTTTAATGACAGTAATAAATTAATGTCATCTACAAGGTCATGGTAACAACGTTTTACCACCACCCTGAATTTTTCATCCTCCAAACTCTAAAAGTCATTTCACAGCCAACCACCATGGTATGCACTGGGTTCGATTTCTGAAGGACAACAATCTTCATGTCAAGAAGATTTATGCAGAAATGTGCTGATAACATCAAGAAAAGAATACCGCAGCCCTACGAAATGAATAAAACCAACCACCTAAAGAGTTTCTGTTTCAAAAATATGCATGTGATGTCTTTGGAAGAGATATTATGTGTGGGGCATGTGGTATGAGAGGAAGACAAAATGTGAGTGGTACTCCTCTCTCCTTTTTCAATGGCAAATTTCAAAAGTATACAGCTAACCTTAACTACATGATGCAATTGCTTTGTATGGCAGATTTGGAAATCGACTCAGATGAAAATAAGAAATAAAATATTTTTGAGCAGAAACATCAACCTGTAATCTCCACCCTCTTGACTCAAAATATTTTCTTCAAAATCAATGCTATCTCATATGTTTTCTCTCTAAGGGAAACTAGATCAAAATGGAGAAAAACAATCCTTTTTGCCCAGCTGTACTCTAAGGCTATTAGTTTTTCAGGCCTGGGACATNCAGCCGCCTTCATTACCAGCACAACTACATACACAAGGGGGCTCTAATGGACCTGGCTGCTGCATATCATCTACAGGGTGACATACAGTAGTACAGGCTGGAATGTTGGCTACAGACATGAAACAAGACATGAAACAGGTAGTGATCATAATCAAGTGGTGTAGGCTCTTATGACAGAGCCTACACCACTTGATTATGATCACTACCTGCTACTGGTATATCAGCACTAACTTGCTGTTGTGTCTAAATGTACAGTATGGACAATGTGTGATCTTATTCTAAACTGGCTAAGAAATGGGCTCATACATAAATCATGCTTTTTGTCTTGCTTAAATAAATGCTCTGCTATACCTAGCTTTATTCCAATTAAGTAGTTTGCTTCATAGACTTGCCTTAGTGTGACTTAGTGCGACTATCATGGCGACAGGTGCTTGTCACCATAGAAGATACTACCCATTTAAACAATGCAACTTGTTAACTGGGCTGTCCCGGCTGATTAACCCACCTGAGATGAAGTGTCCATAATGACAGGCTATACAAATGTTACTTTAAACAGCAAACATATCCACTCCATTCAAAAGAAAAAGTTGCTGCATGTAATCTACACCAGATGTTTCCATTCCCAGTATTGCTACCCTGTGGTCAAGCCAACTTTGTGTGCTCGGCTGTGTGCACTTTTAAAATATCATGTCTGCAGTCCTGCTTGTTTTGGTGCACCAATCAATCCATCTTGTGCCTTGTCATTAATGTCAATGGTTAAGACAGACAGAGATGGCCTTCATATCAATGGGCAGCAGCACACTAATCCATGAGAACTCTAGTCTGGGTCCAGAGTGGATGCCCATTACATTAACCCACACTAAATAATCAACTAAACCACCCGGTTCAATAAGTTCATCAATGAAATCATGGTCACGCAGAACTTTATTTGTTCTCAATTAGATGTCCGCTAATATGGCAGCTCTTTCACATACAATCAATGCAAAGAAGCGCACAAATATGGTGCTCATCAAGACAACTGCACCAATGAAAGGGGCTTAATTGTTCACAATAGTACATGTAGCATACTTGATCAATGGGAAAGCCTGACACCTTCATGTACTAGTTTGTGTAACAGCCAGCATCATTAGTAGCAACTTACCAGCTATAAAATGAGCTCTTCACAGATTCACATTGGTAATGATTTGAAAATGTCATAGCAACCTTTACAGTACATTTTTTTTTGTTGTCTTTTCATTTTCTAAAGATATTTTGTTCTTCTTAAAGGCAAACAAGGCTTTTAAATAATTGGAATAATTAAGCAATGATATAAATTCCAATGCTCATAAGTGAAATTTTCTTATCTATATGTAGGGGCCATTCAGAGCAGATGATCCGAGGACTAACTGATCTGCCGACTAAATACGGCCGGCCCCACTTCAAAAGCGATGCCGCTGATTCCTGATGGTCACCCCGCCTCCACCCTCTCAGAGGTTTAATTGCTAAGTCCCTGCACTGACAGCACACATGGAGGCAGGGAGACCATCATGGAATTAGCAGCATCCGTTTGAAGTGCGGTCAGCCATATTTAGTTGGTGGATCAGTTAGTACTCGGATCATCTATTCTAAATGGGGCCAGAGATTAACTGACTAAATTCAACTACAAAAATAGGTGTTAAAATGTACAGGGTACATCTAAGCTTGTAATATAATTACGTAACACAGCCTGAAATATTTATGAAAAACCAGCATTGAAACAGCTATAATGTACGCAATAATGAACACAGCTAAAGGTAAAATATTTAAGTTACGGTATAAATAAGTACATACAGCATTGTTGTATCTAATTCAATTTAGAGAGCCTTTATCACTACACCCACATATAAGGATATACTATAAAAATTGATCTTAAATGTACAGCATAGGGTTACTATCTAAACAGGGTTATACTGTATCTATAGTCCTTGAATAGAATGAAATGATTAGAAAATCAGAAATTTACAAGTCTTGGGAATAACAGCAATCTCGTCAAAATTGCTGGTACATCTATGAAAAAAAAAAGAACAACACAAAGATGGCTGATTTGTCTCTGGGCCAAGGCATCAGTCTTCCATTAATTTTCATTTTGTTCTTACTCATACGGTTCACAATTCCCAAGATAACACAAATTTTATGCAGCTCAGCTCCAGTTACACCCTAATTATCATACTTCTGGTTATTGTGAATCAGCAAATTGATGACTTATGTATGAATGTTTCCCACTTCATTCACTTCAAATCAAATCAAATCACTAGATGTTGATTTGTGATTTGTTGATGTGTTCCAAAAATAGTACAAAGGAAATAAAACATTGATAAAAAGGGAAGAGTAGTGGTAAGTGTCATCTTCATCTATAGATATTGTAAATAAGCTACAATGTGTTTAACTTTTACCAGTTAAAAATTACCATGTTTAAAGCCTTTCCCCACTATTAAAGGACATACCTTCTGCTGTGCTTTTGCCTTCTCCAGATCGATGTTGCCCTCGCTAGTCCTGGTCTCAGCCAGCGTCTTCTCTGCCTCTGTCAGCCACGACGCCAGCTCTTTCATGTCACAGTGGAACTGACGCCACTGGTCAGCAGTTTCAGTCCAGTGACTGGATGAAAATAGAATCAGTCATTTAAAATAACATAAATGATTTTTTTCATTCATTCATTTCCATTAAATTGTCACTGAAAAACCTGCAGCAAAACTACCTTTAATTTTCTTATACATTATATAGTATTAGTTGCTTCCAATTTATAATTATTCAACATTTTTTAAAAACAGAACTAAACATATTTGATAAACATATTTACTCAAGTATGCAAATTGCTCTAAAGCACATGAAACATGAATGTACTTAGGTGCTTAACCCACCAAACCTCTTGACAACCCTCAATTTAAGCCCCCAGAACATGAGTATTCTAGTTCTTATCCAAGTAAACATGAAAACACTCTGGTCTTTACCATATATACACCTCTCCTTAAGTAGATGAATGTGCTGATAACATCACAAACATTACATTAATAAATTGCCATACAATTCACCAAAAGACAGCATTAAACTATATTACTATAAAAGAAAGACATTTTTTCATTTGTTGAATACCTGTCTTTGTAAACAGTTTCCTGGTACATAATTTCTATATAGATGAGCAATTCATTAAACAGTGACAAAATGTCAGCAACTTCATTCGCACTGCTTCGCATCATCTTCTTAGGGAAATTGGACCCTTTCTCTTAAATCACTGTGCGACACCCACCATCTCCAAAGTGTATGACAAAATAGTAGCAATATATCCCCATCCATAATTCCTATATCACCAGAAGCATCAACTTGGCCATATTCTCTTTGTTTGGGCCAAGGTATCAGTCCACATTCAAGTGGGTGAAAGAAATCTAAGCCCACTGGTCACCTTTCTAGCCGTTTGACCACCCTACATGGACATGGTAGCCGCGTATTCTTGTTCCATATTTCATATTTTGCCCCTCGGCAAAAACATTTCCTTTGTCACTAGCTCTAACTGTCATTAAAGAAATCACCTTTTAACTCAAATCCATCTGCGGAGTGCTCCTGTGTGTGATCATGCCCCTGGCTCTGAAGTGATTTTGTTTAGCTAAAGATCTTAATTAAATTGTGATTAATTAAATGAGGTTTTGTCAAAGAAATGATAGACAGCTGTGGAGAAGTCAAGCTGTAGCCAGACTTTCCATTACACCTCAATTTATTCTGATTTGCACAAGCAATATCAATCATTATTATGTAATAATAAGAAAGTACTGTAAAAGCACACTCCACCTACAGCCTCAGTGTTGTGCAAAGCATGCTATCCAAAATCATCAGTTATCTAAGCAAATATGAGTTCAGAGAAAGTATGACAGTGTCATCCATCACTCTGGGAGACTGTTTCATAAATACTTTGACCATAAGGCCCAAAGTGAATGGACTGTACGTCCAACAAGCCCCTCTACTGGACATATCCACAGACTTAAGGCATGGCGTATTCACATTATTACTATGAATTTTTCTAATAAAAGCAATTAAACAAGTATAAAAATACAAAGCAGTTTTACTCAATGACACCTAGTAATCTAACAAAATTTACATGTTGTAAAGTAAACAGAGCATTTTAACTGCTCAATCAAACCAAATCATACTTTCAACAATCATGATATGAGCTTTATTGAAAACATAATTGATGGCAATTTTTATTTGAAAAAAAATCTCCTAGTTGTATGTGTTGATGTATAGTTGACTTTCAGGTTAAGGTACTCAAATACTTTCAGATGCACCTTTATGCTAATGATGATTTTATCTCTTAACTCAGTGCCAAATTAAACAAGATATCTTTGTATTCATAATTGTCATCTGCCCCCTGTGTATAATTATTAAATGGCTGGAATTTTCTTAAGACATGGGTTGGACCGGTACATTGTAAATACCAGAATACATGTGCTTTTCATGAAAACAATTTCTAGTTAATATTCATATTTCATTAAAACTATTTCTAGTAATTATTTCTAATTGTTCATCAAGTTAATTGGCCATTTTGACATTTTTATAGTTGTTAGATTAACCTATACCAAGAACCTGCATAATTACACTGCTAATGCTCCCATGAACTGGAGAGAAATTATTCTGAGGAAAACAAGGGTCATTCTATCAAATTTCTATATATATGACTATAGCAGTAAATAAATTATTTTCTTACCCGTATTTTTCTTTGTATTCCTTATTCACTCTGGCCCAATCTTGACGCAGTTTCTCCATGATCTTCTTAATCCTTGTAGCCTCCTCATGGTCACTGGCATCAAGCACGCCATCCTTCTGCTCCTCTGCCGCTACCACTGACGGCTCTAACATCTCCAGGGACCCCTGCACTGCCTGGAATAGAAGACATGAGCTGTACTAACATAGCACACTTCCCAGAAAAAAAGCTATGGAATCTGACTAATGTGAAGGCATTATGCTGACTGTGAATAATGCTGAGGTTGGATATTTGTATACACTCAGTTTGCGTTCATCAGGCTATATGAGATGGACAGTCCTTCTAAATCCCTGGAATTCCCAGAATAAATACAATTTTTTGTTCTTTTTTTCAGCAAAAATAAAAAAAACACTGCAGTAAATAAAACAGTGGTCATGTTACCAAACAAGATACTCCAAAGATTAGCTAGGCATCTGTATTTCTGCCTGCAAGCCCAAGATTCTTCTCCAGGAGGAGTGCTATCTTGGTTATCTTGTGCATTCCCTTTTCTCAATGTTTAACACTGGTCCCATACATCTACCTGTAGGCACCTCTTATCATACCATCACACTCTGCTACATGGCCACTAACTTCACTTACAGCCTGCACTGAAATTCCCCAGGGGAGAAGGGGAGCACACTGATTGCTAGATATGTGATAAAATCCAGATATATTTCCCTGAAGCCACTAACATGTAATCCAGCATGTTAAAAAATATTCCTTTGAATATTTCACAAAGATATTTGAATTTTGCATGGGTAAACAGTGAGTTGTGCACAAGACATTCACCGAGGAAGGCACAAGGTGAAGCTTTGCATGTCCCAGGTCCATTCACAGTGTAATAGGAAGATAAATAGACAAGATAACACCTGGGCTGGGGTGATGGCAAATGCACACCTTTACTAGGGAGACAAGCTGGTGTCAATTGGGTTTTTGTTTCCTCCTTAATCAGCGTTATCACTGCCGGACAATACCAGAGTGTGGGCAGTGACGTCAGAGGGACTCGATGATCACACAGTGTCTTACCATGTCAAGGCCTGTGACATTACCAGTGACATTTGATGTCACACAGCAGAGCACATGTACAAATACAATTACCCTGCAGTGCAAACATATTACAACAATGTCATATTGCATGCTAGGGTATTACAACCTTTGTTATTCTGTCTCATTTAACACCTTTGTCCTCTAATATCAAATATTCTTACAAAACTATGATAATAAAGTGGAAAAGTTTTAATAGTTAAATGACAGTAATAAATTAATGTCATCTACAAGGTCATGGTAACAACGTTTTACCACCACCCTGAATTTTTCATCCTCCAAACTCTAAAAGTCATTTCACAGCCAACCACCATGGTATGCACTGGGTTCGATTTCTGAAGGACAACAATCTTCATGTCAAGAAGATTTATGCAGAAATGTGCTGATAACATCAAGAAAAGAATACCGCAGCCCTACGAAATGAATAAAACCAACCACCTAAAGAGTTTCTGTTTCAAAAATATGCATGTGATGTCTTTGGAAGAGATATTATGTGTGGGGCATGTGGTATGAGAGGAAGACAAAATGTGAGTGGTACTCCTCTCTCCTTTTGCAATGGCAAATTTCAAAAGTATACAGCTAACCTTAACTACATGATGCAATTGCTTTGTATGGCAGATTTGGAAATCGACTCAGATGAAAATAAGAAATAAAATATTTTTGAGCAGAAACATCAACCTGTAATCTCCACCCTCTTGACTCAAAATATTTTCTTTAAAATCAATGCTATCTCATATGTTTTCTCTCTAAGGGAAACTAGATCAAAATGGAGAAAAACAATCCTTTTTGCCCAGCTGTACTCTAAGGCTATTAGTTTTTCAGGCCTGGGACGTTTTCTGTAGATATAAGTTTCAAAGTAATCTCTAGAGGGTCTAAATGGTGGCATGCATTAACAGTTTTAAAAGCTTTTCTTTGAAAGGCCATTAACGAAAGGTCAGACCATATGAAGCTATATCTATTTTCCATAATTTCTCAATTACATGTTAATCATAAATACTAGTACTGTAATTATTTTCTACAACATTTAAGAAATGTAATTATTTTCTACAACATTTAAGGAATGCTCTAGCAACTAATTATGTCAATTAATAATGATAGTAAATGTTACTAGATGCAATCACTACTCAATTAATAAATTATTTAATAAGATATTAAGAAAATGTTCCTACCTTTAATTTTTCTTCATATTGAGAGATGTCATCGTACTCTGTCCATGGTGAACATTCTGTCAGTTGTTTCTCAATGTTTGCTACTTCTTGCACAATCTTCTTCACATCCTCAACAAACTGTGAAGGAACTCTGGAGAAAGTTGTTATAGTTACAACGGTGGTAGTAGACATCATTGCAACAGTAGCAGATGACTGGGGTTCTATGGTCTCTTCTGCTGGGGGTTGGTTCAGTTGGTCAAATCTTGTGGTTATTTCCACCCAGCGTTTGTTCAGTTTCCCAACCTCGCTCTCTTCTGCTTCCGAGTCATCTTGGGTCTTTTGTTGTAGAGCTTCAACCTCCAGCCTGCGTCTGCTGATATCTTCCTCTACAGCCTGATAAATACAGAGAGTGCATTCTAAAACACAAAATGCTTCAATTCCTCAGAATAAAGAGGATACAATGCTGGTCAATTAACCCAAGATTCCCCATTAACCTGCTGCGTTAAGTACATTTATTATTGTGTCACCTACTGCTAGTGCGGAGTTTGATGGAGAGTTCCTGGAGTGCAAGAAAATAAAACCCTCCTTGTGTACTCTAGTTTGCCTAACATCCATCATCTCTCTCCATCTCCTTGCCAAATAATGTGAAAGAAAAAAAAACAGTACCCGAACCCAGTATATCCTTCAACTATTTTTAAAACATTGATTTTTCTGCTCCACCACCCTCTTGATCATTTTTCAGTAACGCAAGCCAGCAGCACATATTTTCATCTTCTCAGCTAACAACATGTCACTGTCCCCTTGCAACCTAATGACCTTCGTGGATCAGAACACAGCAGACAACAGTCAGCAGGCAGTTGTGCAAATTATGACACAAAGGGCAAGATTTTTAATCAAAGGAATCTACAAATATAAAAGGATCTAACCCAAATCTTCAAATAATTCTTCTCCCAACCTTAACTGCTCTACCAATAAATAGCTATTACCAAAGTTTCATGTTTTTCTCTATAAATATTCATGTATCTATTAGAAATTTGCACTTAACATGGATGAAGTGAACTCTTCAGAGCAATCTTTTCTAACCAAAAAAATCATTAGTACAATTTAATGCTTAATAAACAATAAATAACTTTTAAAAAGGTTGATTTCTCTTTGCTATTAAATAGTTGTTGAGTCTACCGCTTATCTTATAAATTGAAACTAATTAAAGATCCCATTTCTGTCTTTGAAAAGAGAAAATGACCAGCTTAAATGTCAAACATGGTTTTGAATACATTCCATTTAAGCTGGTTCATGAATACAGATTTTTTCTTATTGTTCAATTTCAGTTTAATTGAAAAAAAAAACACATTAAATGACAGGCAAAGTTACCAGCACTCTATAGTTCTTTCAGGTAACAAAAACGGTGTGTGTATTTACTTTTATTTATGAACTGAAATATGTCATTAACACCAAAATATGCCAAAATATTATTTGAAATGATGCTAGATCTTATGAATGAGCTGTGAGCTGTGAAATATCACTCACATCATGAAATATTTGTCAATCACGATAACTAATCGTTTTGACATTTTTATAGTTGTGCTTGATTATAATAAATATGTGATAGCAAAAGAACATTATCTCTGTTTGTTGGGATAATTACCACATAAAAAGATTTACAGTCGATCGAGTATTTATTCCACCTCTAATTTCACAAAACGTTAGTGTTATCCTCCCTTTATCTTCTACCACACAAAGTTTAATAATCACATGCTTACATGTCACCCCACCTTCTGCTGTTAATGACTGCACATTACCTGTAATCTTTCTTCATTGCCATCTGCTTCATTCATTTTTGTCTCTACTTCTTGCATCCACAGCAGAAGCTCTGTGACAGCTTTCTCTATCTCTGGCTTGGTCTGCTCATTGGCCTGATGGTGAGACTGCTGCTTTAACTGCAGAGAAAATGAAACATTAAATTAAGTTTGTCACTGTGTTAGGTGTGACTGTGTGTGAACAAGCACTGTGTTTGGTGGTCAGTGTCACAATTTGGTTATTACAAAACAAACTGCAAATTTAGAGTCACCTTTTGAAACAAATAAGATAAATAAATAAATCTAGGGGCAGCCTACATGCTGATCACACTCAGATTATCCTACATCATTGGAAATTATTTTATAAAAGCTGTTCTTCAAGTCTTAAAGAATCTTGGAAGACTTACCTTGATTTTCTCAGCTGTCTCCTCCCATCTTTGGTTAAGCTGTGTAAGCTCTGGCTCCACCAGTTTGTGGTATTTCTCACTGCGGCTCATCAAATCAATGGCCGAATCTCTCACTTGGTCAACTTGGTTATGAAGCTCATTCAGTTCTACTTGTAAGGACTGCAATAAAGAATTTCAAATAATGCCATAACTTATAGAAAATTATCTCTTTTGTATGTTATTCACTCTATTTCTCACCATCCAACTATATATGACAACCCTTTACTAAATATAGACAACTTAATTCTGTTAAACAAAAACACCATATTTCACATTCAAGCCTTCTGTTTACAGTGTTGGTTTCAAAATTAATACAATATCTGCTTACCTTGAGTTTTTCATATTCCCCATCAAGTGCCTGTTTCTCTGGTGAGCTCCTGTCCATGCTTTTTAATTTGTCTGCTATCTTGGTCAGCCAGACTGTTACTTCCTTCAGGGAATCCTGGAACTCCCTGTACATCTCATCAAGGTGGGCAATTTGTTCCTAAATTTAGAAAGGTGGCATCCTTTACATTTCAAATAACATATTGCCTCTTTGAATTCAATTGCAGTTTCAAGGCACAATATTATATCCTTTATTTCACTATTAAAGTAGTGTGCATGAACATTAATTAATATTTTTTCAGTAGTTTATTTTTCTCAAAATACCACTTTTTCATTAAATAAGAACCAAATACATACTGGGTTAAATCCATTAGTTAAGCAATTTCCTCAGAGCTGGAAAAAGTTGTGGTCGAGAAGAAAACAATGTCATATTTTACCTGCAGCAATGTCTTCCTGGCAGCCAGTCTATTGGACAATTCATTCCAGTTATTCTTGACTAGTTCCAGTGTTTGTGTGGCCTCCTCCAGCTGACCATCCTCGGCCATCTCCTGGATTTGGCTGACCAGTTCAGTGATGGTGGTCAGTGAAGGCTCTCTCTTAGCCAGCTCATGCATGGTGGTCTGAAATAGGTATGAGGATGAGGATGTGGTAGGAAAAACTCTGAATACTTGATCCTAATTATTTTGCCCTTCCACAATACCTCCCCCCCCCCCCGCCCCACACACACACACTTAATATTTTAATAATTATTTAAAAATTATTCTAATGTGCTAGTAGAACAAAAGAGTTCAGGGATACCATTCTCTCTAGGTTTTTAAAGAACAGGATGCTTTCTATCATCATCTTTTTCTATTTATAAACTCTGTAGACCATAATACTACTGTCCTCACTGATTTCCTCCAACAAAATGGGTACCATACTGAAACTCACCTCCATCCACATTTTCTCCTCTTCTGGGTTCTTAGGAGCCTTTACCATTTCCTTCTTGTTGAGCTCTCTCTGCACAGCATCCATCCATTCTGTGATCCCAGTCACCTCCTTTTTCAACTTTTTAGACACTTTTAAGGCCTTTTCTAATGTTTTCTTTCCCTGTGTTACCTGAAAATATTCCCGCATATATGGTTATTTGTTGCAATGTATAATACAGTGCACTCTTTAATGTTAAGTACATGTATAGCGTCATTATGTAATGAATCAGGAACTAAACTACAAACCATGTATTAAAATGGGTAAAATTTGGGGGAGGGGGGGGTGTGCTTGCGTAAAGCGTGCTGCTTGCAGTAGGGGTGACAGTATTGTGTTGGATGTGAAAAGTTGTGCTGAGTATTAATTGTGCTGTAAGTTCCACTTTATTATTATAATGACTCACCTGTGCACCAAGCTCATTGTATTGTGTTTTTATTGCATCCAACTGTTTTCCAAGCTTGTCAGGAAAGTCCACCTGCTTCTTGTCAACCACTTGACGTCCAGTTTTGATCACAAATTCCACCTCCGATTTGATCTCACTTAGGCACTTGTAGAATTTCTGCCAAATAAAACCAGCACACTGCTTTGTCCAAGATTCACAGAAGACATTTTATAGTAAAAAAAGTTCATCACACTGCAGACTTGTCCAGTATTAGTTTTATAAAAATATGAATAAACAATTAATCTTTTTTTTTTTACAGATCTTGAGATATAAAAAATATCAAGGAGGGGGAAAAAAGAAAGAGCTGAGTGAAGTGATGGGATTTTATACAGAAAAGAGTTAGGATTTTTTTAAAATGTGTCATGACATAAACTCAAATAAATGGACAATGTGAAAATAAATAAACAAAAAGAATAAATACAAGTCATGCACATCTGTTTTGTTACTGCTACACAGAGAGTTAAAACACAGAAAAAAGCATTTTTGGAATAATATCAGTAAGGGAGATATCCATGTAAGACTATATTTAAAGCAAACTTCCAAATAAGAGTTTTAGCATGAATGGGTTATATTATGGTTAATATCTTCTTTATATGAGCAGGTAAGTAATAATGAATCAAGGTTGATGTGGACCAAGATGTCCCCCATCACAAAGAAACTGGTGCACAGGGTATTTGGGTGTCGAACCCCTCTCAGCTGGTTTACCGAGATATCTCATTCCAGAATACCAAGTAGATATGTGGTCAATGCATCATGCTATTATTACATACTTGAATAAAAATAAATAAATTTCAAAACTTGGATTAGATTTTAAAATTTTCCCCATTTTTCTTTTTTGAATTGCAAGTCAAATAAGAAATGAACTAAGATCAGACACAGAAAATTTTGCATTACCTAAGGCAAAAAATTTATCCTAATAGAAACATATTTTGAAAATAAAGAAATCAAAGTTAATATGCACAAAATTTCTCGTCTATAATTTACTTGTACCTAAATAAAATATTTGCTGTCAGGCATGTGCAGAGACCACCACTACATGTGCTTTTCTAGAAATCTCATAACATCTCAGCAAATCACGAGGTCATTCCATACATCACAGAGCATGCAGGGAGTGACAGGGAGGAGGGAGGCAGGACACACAAACCCACCATGCACTGGTCTAATTGTGTCTGGACGACTTCTGGGTCCTCGCTACGCAGTTCAATGAGGTGAATCCTCTCCTGAACTTCCTCCAGAGCTCTCTTGACATGAGTAAGTTTGGGTTCAAAATCAACTGGACGTTGAAACTTCATGAACTTCAGCTGCACCTCTCCATAGTGTTTCTGAGTAAAGACAAAAGTTAAAGATGCTTTAAATCTTTGTATCGTCATATCATAGGAATATGATTGAAAAAGAAAATTATAAAATTTAATTACTTTCTGTGCTTATTGAAAATTATAAATTAAATATATTAAATAGCCTTTGTATGTTGTTGAGTTTGAATCACTGCTGATTATATCCAAAATCCATTATATCAGCCAGGACTCTTTTTGTTGTAAACATTTAAATACCTTGAGTATGAGTATTTGCTGTTCAAGACGTGCACTGGCCTCTTGTTTTCCCTGAGCTTTGTAATCTAACATCTGCTTCTCCATTTCATTGAGCATCTGATCCTGCTGCTCAAATTCTTGTTTAAGACTCTATTTGACAAGAGAAAAAAATCAAAAACAAGAAATGTAGAATCTTCAGCAATGGCTTACAAGCATGTCTGTTTTTCCATCAAAGTTAAAAACAAAAGGTCAATAATGCACTGTTGGTTATATACTTATCAAATAACTAGATATATGATTGAACAGTGTAATTTTAATATGATAGAGTGCCACCACATCACAATAAACTAAATTTTGAAAAATCTTTTCTATAACCTTACCTCAAACTCCTCTGGCATATCGCCTGCCAACATGTCTGCATCCAGGCGAGACTGCAGCAGACTACTGACCTCCATCATCCAATGGGTCATCTCAATCATCTGACGCTCAATGTTCTGAGCCTGAGTGATGGCCTCCTCCAACTTCTCAATGGCACTCAGGCCCTGCAACAGACACACAAGTCAGCACATCAATCATTCGTCAAATCCTAAGTTACAAGAATGCATAATAAAGACTACTGAATAGAAATATTTTAAATATTATATCTTGATTTTCTTCATAAATTTTTTCTTTGAATGCTCAGATTTCCCTCTCACCTCTTCCATGAGTTTATCCCATCTTGTGTTGAAGTTATCCACCTCCGTTTTCACTGTGGATGTCATAATTTTACTTGCAATCAGCAGTTCACCCAGTTCATTGATCTTATTCTTGTTATCCTCAGATGGGTCACGTACATAGCCTTCTAGTTCCTATTAGTAAACCAGCATTTAATGAATGAGGAAAAACTATACAACACTTAAACACAAATAAGAAAATGCTCATCATATTCACTACAATGACACACTCATCACATAAAAGTTTCTACTAAATAAGACAAAAAAGTACACAAGTTGACAAATAATTAATTGGTGGACATTATAAACAAAATACCAGGTATCAATGTACTAACATCTAACTCTTCTGAAATTTCCTCGGCGTCAGCACTAGATTTGGATGAAGAATTCAGCTTTTTCTGCAAGCCATCTAACCACTTATTTTCCTCTCGTAGCAAAGCTGAAAGATGTGACCGTTTTTTTTTTAATATTAAATTGACTAATGGCGTGTTACAACACAAATTATACTCATACATAGATGCACAATTACCTTTAAAATGCTTATTATTAATTTCATTATCTACCTAATTGATGAAGAGAGGACATAATTCAAAACCTACTTTTCAGATCATCAATAAACATCAATATATGCACTGTAGTTGTTCTTTAAGTTCACTATTCACAATTCTTAATCATAATACTGATCCTAGCATCATGTGAATGCCATAATTTCCAGACGATAAAAGCGTGATTGATGTACCTTTTAATTGGTTCCAATTGGAATTTGCCTCTTCATACATCTTGAGGCTATTATCAACACGGTTGCGGATATCCAGGCAGCAATTACTGAGAATGTTAATTTTCTGGGCAAGTTCTTCTGAGGATTCCATGGAAGAATCCTCTGCACAGCTTTTATGGATGTCTTCTATTTCTTTTTCTTTGCTTCTTACTTCATCTTTCAGTTTCTGGAAAAATTAATTGATTTTATTCAACCAAGACTTCTAATCAATCAACATTTAATCGGTCTTTCCAGGTAAACAGACGTTTTTTTCAGATAACACTGACATACCAGCAGATGACATTTCTAACCTTCATGGTCAGTGCTCCAGTCTGACAATGATTGATACAAAATCTTTTGATCCATAATAAAGAAATCATGTTGTCTTTTATGATGAACAGTCTGACTGATTCACACTCACATAGTTCACCAAACTGAGAAAACACCTAGCTACTATTACCTAATATCTGATATCATAACTACCTTGAATTTCTTTGTAGCTGTAAACAAATCTGTGTGAGTTTCACAAACAAAGTCAGAAGAGAGCTCCTTCTCAGTCACACTGTCACACCATTCATTCAGACTTTCTATGTTTTTCAAGACTTCTTGGCTCTTTTCTAAGGCTGACTGTAGCTGCTCATTCTGTTCCTTAGACTGTTGTACAACATTCTCCCAGCGTTGGTCAAGGGTGCCGATTTCTTCCTGCAGGACAGCAGCATATTCCTCAGAGGCAGCATTAATCAGCTCCTCACTTAGTTCATGAATACTGTCAACTGTGGACTGCAAAGTTTTGATGTCTTCTTGGACTCCCTAAAATTCAAGAGTTGACAGGCCTTTATATGTGGTTATGATTATGATTAAATCTCAAATTTATCGAACAGTGAATAAAATCTTAACAGTACAAAGTTTACACAAAATTTATTACCTGTTGAAACAGGTTAATCAGTTTAGTAATGTTATATATTGGTACAGGAAATTTGACTTTTTGTCATAAAGTAATATTGTTATTATACAGATATGTAGCAGCAGGCAGCTGCTGAAGATGTCAGACTGACAATGAAAAGTGTCTGCAGTCTGTCCATCTGATTTTTATAAACTGATCTAAATCCCTTGTGAGCAAAATTTAGCAGAGATGAAATAAATCTTTACTCATTAATATCAATATCTTTTACCATTTTGTATCAATAATACAGCAATAATTCCCTTAAGCTCTTCTACTGAACAGTTTACTACAAAAAAACTTACTTCATGCTTGCTTTTTCAAGCATTCCACATGTTTACAAAGATCTGTTAGTTGCCCTCAAATTACAAACATGTTGAGCCTCATCCAAATATTTTCCTCTCAACTAACATCACATAAACACACTTTCTATTGAGACATAACAACTTGTACAGAACCAATGGCAATGTGATAATTATATGTCAGTTTGTAGTCAGAATTCCTGGCTAATATTCCCGTGCCAGAAAAATGGAATGTTAGTATTATCTTACTTACATTACTCTCATTAAGCTGGGCCTCCAGTGTGTCAACATCTCCCAGTGCTGGCATCTCGGCTTTTAAGAAGGTGTCCATTTCATCCATCCACCTATTTAACCCAGATACCTGGTTCTGAAAAAAAAAAATTATTCGTAGTATCATCACTTGAATTTAAACAACTTCACTGTATACACAGTATGTATCTTGAACAGATCTAACATAAACAATTCTGGAGAGGAAACCATCCCACCTCTCTTGCTCGCCCCAAGACCAAGTTCTTGCCATTATTGTAGCTAATGTATCACAACTTGTAGTTTATTACTGAATTTTCTTTTTTCACATAATTGTCCACTTCAAGACAATTGGTTTAAGATTGTCTGTTTCATCAAAGATGGTCATGGGAACAACTCTGAGACCAGTTCTCTACAAGAGCAAAATTTAAAACATACATTTTCTTCATGTTGTGAGCCCACAATGTGTTAGCAGCATACATGCCCTTCCCAATGGACCAGCAAGGGTGTCAATCAGGCCTGACGGGTCACTTACAGCAGGGACTTTGACATTGACTTTAACATTTACGCATGCTGACATGCAACCAATGAATCTCAAGGCAAATTACTGCGCATTCCTTACGGTCATAAACTTGTTGTTGTGATATACTAAATCATATTTAAACTGTCAGTCCCAGTGTGTAAATCTACAAAATAATCCAGTTAAATCCTGCCGTTGCTAATTTTTGTTATTTTAATCTGGCCTTTTTCTTGTAATGCACGCGCATATATCACAAGTTATACCACAACTAAAAAAAAGTAAGTAAATTTAACAAGATTTCCAACAGTCAAAAAAAGAGTTGCAGGTCAATTTGTTATTGAAAGTAATCTTATCCAGATCCACAACAATTCAAATCACCAGGAGCAAACCTCAGCAAATACTGATAAAGCTAAGTGGATTTTAGGAGTGTTTTTCTAAATTTAGGATAGCAAATTCCAACACCTATGATCTCGCCTGCACTGAGGCACATCACACTTTGGTGAGAGTATTTCTGCTTTTAAAAAATTATTTGCAAAAGCCACACTGTCTGATACTAAATGCTCACTGCGCCATTCAATATGCTAAAATTAATTTGGGGATTAATAATTTAAATATATCTGAAATATACCTGTTTAGCAAGACTAAGTGAGTACATAAAAACATGACCATATCTATATTATACTGTGTCATACAAAAGAAATGAAACATCAACATATTGTTTTCTAAGCTTTAGAGAAACTTAAAATTCAATGATGTTTTGCACTTAACATTTTATCAATTACAAGCACATCTTAATAACAATTAAAGTTTAATTTCAGATTAAAAAACTGTTCAGCACATAGAGACACAAGTATATAAACCATGTAGTACATGAGACCGTGCATTTGCATTTACCAAAGTACATTAAATTTCATCATGTTTTACCTGACACTTTACAACACTGAATAATGCTAACATTTTACACAGACAAAGAGACAAAATCATAATATTGATTTTTAACACTTACAACACAAAAGACAGCATCTCTATTAGCTATCCACCCACCTCATACTGCTTGAGTCTCTCAATCCCCTGTTCCCCTTTGACCACCGTGTCTGCTATAGTGGAAGCCATGGCATTCCAACGAGCTGTCAGTTCCTCCAGCTCTCCTTGCAGCTTCTTGGCTTTCTCCTCTGAGGCGGCCCTCTCCACCAACACCTCACCTGTGCTGCTGATGTATTCTTTATTGGACAAGTTCTCAGTTACCTCACCTTGAAGTTCCTAGAACACAGATTGGAACTAAGATAAAATTCAATGGCCTGAACAGTATTCTATTACTGTTACTTTTTACTCTGCTACGGAGCTGAGCTGCACACATCGGGCAGCCACAGCTTTGTTCATTTCTGATTAAACTTTCTTTGTAAGTGACATAATCAAGATGTATACCTCCACATTTCCTCTCTTCCAGTATGCTGGTACCTTTACAGGAAGGTTCGCCTACCACAACACCCAGCATCAAACGTAATGGAGAATTTGTTTGCTGCCTTATCTAAACATATCATGTACCTTGGAAACTCTGCAGGAAGTCATGCTAGTCTGTGTGGGTCTGTGAACTGTCTTAAACAGGTGACAACCCAGTTTACCTGAATCTTCTGCCCAGTTTCACCATCGTATACAAACCACTTTTTATTTACATAAACATTTTTATTTGATAACTGAGATTGTCCCCATGGGCACTGGTTTTGTGTTCCAATCCTAAAAAAACCAGTTTCGGAGTTAAGAATAACCAGTGAACAAAAAACACTCCACTTATTGCATTCTGAGTCAGCATGTAATGCGAAAAATCACGTAGGTAATTTTTTTTTATTGAGAATATATGTTATCCTATCTTTCTGCCAATTTAGCAGGCAGACACCACTCAAAGTTTATCTTCTGTATGAAAATATCTTCCATGTGTATGTTCCAGAATCCTGAAAGCATTCAGCTCAGAGGTAAATAGATCTTTCAACAGCGTTGGTAACAGTTCGCTCTACTCAATTAGATTCCCAAATATGAACCTTCACAGGGCCACATCTCACTGATCCTGAGCTCACTCGCCATCAGGAGACTTGTAAATTCTTTCCAATTTTCCACCCAGAGAGAAGGGCAGACCACCTATATACTGCAGATTACTGCCATTATAAATACCTGGTGTTAATAATATGAACCTAAGAAGAAAGGGGGTTCTTATCCCTCATCAGATAACCCATGTTCTAAATACTCTGATACAATCTTCTACCATTTTGATTTGGCCATTGCATGCTTTAATGAATGTATAACAGATTGACCAGTTAGTTTCAATAGGGGCATAAGATAGCACAGTTCTTGCCATCTACAAATTCCACCACTCCCCAAACAATATGGAAACCCAAGGGTAAACTGCTAGTCTTGAAAATGAACCTTTTTATACAAATATTAAAGAAATCCTCCTTGAAAAGCTGCTTACATATTAAAGTGTTCAATTGTCAAATGGCTTACTATTTAGTTTACTTACAAGAATCTTACAGTATCTGTAACCAAACAGTGATGAAAGTGAAAGAAATGTACAATGTTTTGGCCCTTTTTTCAGTTATGAGGTATTTTAAACATCAGAAAAAACCCAACTATCATGTTTTCATTTAAAGTAAGGTATTAATTTTTCAATGCCAAAGAGCCTAGGAGGTGCCAGGATAGGAAAAAGAAAACGGGACAAGAGAATTATTACTGAAAAATATTTCTGAAACTACTTATCTGTTTAAAAACAAACTTGGTCATAAACAGGAAGAGCCCTTCAAAATATTCACTTAACACTACAATCAACAACAAACATAAAATATTGATATATATAAATCAAGGACAGCTCTTGTAATGTTCTGACATTTGTAAATATGAAAATGTCTCTGTTCTAAACAGCCCATCCTTCATGAATAGTTGCCAAGTATAAATCTTCAACTTACTTTTATTCTTCCATGTTGTATCGAAGATGCAAAACTGTTATTTGAAATTGCATCGACTGTGGGTTCCCATTCCTTCAGTAACTTTCAGCATTGAAGATAGTGAGAATCAGTTTTATCAGATTTAGCGCTGTTTATCATTTAACCTTTAATGTTCTGTAGTTGATCAGATAAAGTACACTGTCCCTCTACACCTATAGCCCTGCCAATCCTCCTGCAGAACACTAGCTTGCCAACTTTAAGTGAGACTAATGTCTGTTAAAGACTATTTGAGCAAATTCTTTTACTTTTTCAGATAATTCATACCATACTAAATGCCAGGCATAAAATTGCATGCATATGAGGCAGCTCAGGTAAAGTGTTCTTTTTAATGGTGTAAAATATACCACTTGAGCCAACACATGTACAGAAGTCTTTTAACCCAGTTTAACGTGATATCCCTACTCCTCCCAGGCCAATTCAAGTTAATTATCCTAGGTGAAATGACAGCATCAATCGAATTCACTTCTTCAATAGAAAATTAATCACAATAAATCCACTGAGAAGATGGTCCCTGGAGAGATTTAAAAGACATTCACCCACAAACGTTTATGTCTGCAGTGAACAAAAATGCTATGGTGGAGAGGATATACCCCAGACAAAAACCTCATTTGTCAGCTTGCATTTGATCTCATCTGTAAAAGCATACAAGATGAGTTCTGAACCATTTTTTTTCTGTTCAGTCACCTTTTCTGTTGCTGGAAAATTTCACTTCTGTGTCAATACATAAAAAGTGCATGAAATTACTGCTACTAGTTTAAACTTAATCTGCAATTAGGCTTAAACAGTCCAGTCTAACTCTTCAATACCTCTCTCCATATTTTACCTTCATAAAATCTCTCTCAATTCTAGTACTTACAACTACTTGGAAATTAATGTTTATCGATCTACATAATTACAACTAAATACATAATAAAATGGGTGCATGCATTTTATCCTGTATACTTGTCCCCATTAGGACTGTAGTCAAGCATGTATTTTTAAAATACTTACTGAAAACAGATCCATCTTTAATATTTACCTGTTATTCAAGAAGCGATTACAAGAAACTGTCCTTCAGTTACCCCCTCGTCCTTTATCTACATGTATACAGGCATGCACACACACACTCACCAGCATATTCATGCTATCACAGTATACAAAGAAATCTTCATTCACAGGCGGTTTCAAATACTTTTGCTGCTACAAATAACTAGAACAAATATCTTAAAAGCATGAAAGAGCTATATACCCTTTTTTTACAAGTACATGCATGCCCGCTTGTATGCACACATGCACAAACAAACATTAAGCATAAAAATCAAGATATGCATATCTTGTCAGATGAGCTCCTTACCTGCTGCACACGTCAGTTCAACACAACATCTGCAGAGTAACCCCATGCATCAGCAGCACATTCTGGCAGGCTACAGTGAGCAGGTAGATCATGTGTGACTGTATGGAAGCATCCTGAACTAAACACTATCCGTCTACTGAAGGTATATATACATATAGCACAGCTATCAGGATCTGTACACACACATACAGATAATGCAGTGGTAATATTCACATAACCCTGACCTAGTACAAGTCCATGTTTCTCCTCCTGAACACAATCTTCAGGACACACTTCCAAGGATTAATTGTTAATTCCATTTTCAAAATGTTGGATGTTAAGTGTGTTTAATGGAAGTCACCCATTATGCCAATCTTATTGTATACATCTTTATCTGAAATCTCAGATGGCCCATTAACTCTGTCACTTGTGTTATGCTAATGATAATTACATCACCAGCATGCCACACTAGCATCACACAGAGTTGGAGATTTCAGAGAAAACACGTCACCTTCCTACACTGAAAGGCAACACTGATAATTTGTAATACAATGGAAATTGTAAAAAATACATTTTGCCCTAATGTTTCCTTGCATTCAGATCAACAGTGTGTCTTATCCCGAAAGCTGGTGATACTCTGTCTTTTTGGCAATGGACCCTTTTGATGCTTTTTTCTGGACTTACACTCGATCACGGCTTTAACCTGAACCGTTCACCCTTATTTCCATGCTTGCTATCTTAAATCTACAGCGCTGTTGTAAATACACCAACAATCTTTATTATTCCAAAGCTGAGCTAATTTTAGATTGCTTTCTTGTGTTCTTCTTTTTGAATTTTCACTTTCTGCCAATCCACAAGGGTTGTGTTGCACCCTTTTACATCTGCTCCTCCATGCCAATTTGATAACCCTGTAGTAGATGGGTTTTTTTTCTCTTTGCAAAATTGTTTTCTTTACCACCATCAGGATAGTGTAAGATGTATGTGGAACGGATTACTTAATGCTAGAGGGTTATTTTTGTTAGTTTTTGTACTTAATCATCACATTCTCATTTTTTCCTTTCATATATTTTTATTTCCCTTCTCAGTAATTTTTGGAATTACTTAAGACGGCAAACCATCTGTGACATTGCATTGTGCTGGGTCTGGTATTCATGAGGGCATGGCAGCAGACAAGTTCCCATATTGTTGTACTGAACAAGAAATTAAAACTACCAGCACTGTGTTGTTTTACCGTGTGTAAGATCTGACTGTGATTGTAAATAAAAAGGACTGTTCTTTAAGAATTCTAATTGGCATAAGATTAAACTCCTCCATATGTCACAAGTGGGTTTCTCTTCTTCTTTCTCTCCCTTTCATTCATCATCACCAGTGATGGACAAACTGCACTGCTGTGTACATAATATACAAAGCTTTGCTGGCAAATGTCAGGAATTCATGTTCACAGGTAAAATTTATGTGAGGAGTCAACATGCCAAATAAATATGAATAGTTTGGTTATCTTTCAAGAAACTTAGACCTCATTCTTCATCACTCTTCTTTTCAGCAGTTTTTAAGTGTCAGACTTTTGACCTTGCTTCCTTTTAAAAAAAACACGTTGTTCAAAGTCATCTTGGAAAGAGAGTTTTTATGCCACTTCAAACATCTTTTGTGACAGAAAACCACATTCACTTTTTTTTATGATCTGTTCTCTGTGTATCTATCACTGCAAGACACCACATTTTGATATTTTCATATCCGATTGATCATATTTCACTGACAACAAGTCTTGGTGTTACTTTTTTTTCAAAATCGTTATGAAACATTAATAAATGACAATGAACCATGTACCCTCTATGCTAGTCTTTGTTCTTACATTTCTTCAACAATACTTGATCAAATGCTTCTTGAAATAATGCTTTGTACCTTTACAGCTGGTACTTGATTTTAGTCCCCTTGGAGTCAAGGAGTATAATACAGAAAACTCAGATAGCTCTTACCATATACTGTTTATGTTGCTCCTCCATTTTGGGCAGTTCCATGATCTGGTACTGTTCTGTCCTCAGCACCTCCTCCACATCTGCCAGCCACTTGAACAGGCTCTCCTTGGCCTCTAGGAAAGCCTTGGGGGGCACACGGTGCTGGGCCTGGGTCAACTTCAACTGACGATCCTCTGAAATGGGAAAGAAAATGGAGCATCAAAGAATGCACCACTCAATGAGGAATTTTCTCGAAGCTGTTGTTGTTATGATTGACAATAAAATCTTTCAACAGTTGACAACCATTTCCAACCTCTGGGTTGTAACAGCATTGGTTACACTGGACAGCTGACATTGATGCTTGCTGATAACAAGTATGTAAAGTAAACTTTGTTTGGTTGACTTTGTTATTGGCAAAAAATCAGATCTGTAAAGAGCGCTGACTGGGCAAATTGCCATGTTTTATTTTTTTTTAAGCATACTTCAAGTGTTTATGTATTTTGTAGAACATTTAAAATATATCATTGTATTTTGAATATAAATTCAGAATATCCACACACCAATAAATAGTGTGTATCATGCAAAAAAATAAAAAAAAACTTTCACCAAAACAATTTGGAAAATATTCAAAACTACAACATTCTGAGGGTCAAAGCCCCCCTTAAATAAATAGCATGTAATCAAAGAATAGATATGTTCCTTTTAAAATTATATCAAGTCTAACAGTGGTGACTCACTTGTTTATATATATAGTAATAATACTATATTATAAATAAATAAAAACATTATTTAGCCAGTAGAGAGGCCACCCATTATACCAAACCATACCTAAGCATATCATAGTAACACATACTTTAAAATACATTTAAATTTCACTCGGAATTATGTTAGCAAGAAGAATGTACTCAATCAAAAATAAAACAAAAACTATGACCAATCAAATATTTAAACATCACGGGGATGACTTTTCCACATAATGCACTCAAATACATACATCACCTTGCAGCTTTCTGAACTAAATGAACTAAAGCACAGTAAATATGATATGAAAGTAAAATGACACATCTACCAGCATGATAAGACAATCATAAAGCAAACATAAGGCAGGATAATTGTCAACACTACCTAACAAAAAATGGCTATATTATGTACAGTAAAATACATCAGCAACATAATACTTCAAAAAGGCGTATAAATATGGCTATACTTAACAAAAAAACGTATAAATGAAGCATAAATAATTGACCTAATACATCCTTGATTTACCAAGTGCCTTGGCAAATCAATCACATCAATTTTACTCACCGTTCTCCCCACCCTCACTGAGAGCATGACCAGGTAAAGCTGTTAACAAAGGGACACACACTTCACAATATGGGTACAGCAATAAAACAAACAACTTTACTACTGAACCTAGCTAACAGATCCATATACTAGTAAAAACCCAGTTTACAGTATGTGATGTGCAATTTATCTAACATGAATAACGAAGATCTAAAATGCAGCTAAATATTATGACAATTATTTCTGTAGCCCATTAATTTCATCTGACATCAGGTTTAAGCAGTTTCTAAAGACTACAAGACCGTTATCAAATGTTCCAAGAAAAAAATATGGCATGCTTTTGAAAGCAGGATGAAGCCTATTGAGGCGTGCAGCTTAGCTGAAGGTACATCTCAAGTACATGCATGGAGTCTCTCTTACACTCTCTAATGAATGCTTTACATCAAACTACACCGTGACAATTAATAAGTCAAGCCCTTGACACTGGCTCAGCTTTCACAAGTCTTTGTGAAAATCAGGGCTTTGCCATCACTTGACACACAGCTTGCTTTGTGAGACGGATTCCAGCGATGGATTTTACAATGGCAGTAGTCACACTTTTACTACTTACACAAGTGAGTTTTCAGAATGAAAAATGTTAATGCACATTGGTGTTTTATTTTTTTTTCAGTCAATGTCACAATATTGAAATCAATTTGTGAGAACTGACATGCTAAATCCCCCATATTGAATTTCTGCCCCAGCTGTCAAATTGTTTTTATAGGAAGTCTTTTGCAACTTACTTATCTTGTCATAGGCATTTTCCCATCTCTTAAGGAAGGCATCCAGATCTTGCTGTATCTGACTTGTAACATCAGGTTGCTTCAACAATACTTTGGCATGCTCATTGATCCGCTCCAGTCTATCATCGTGGGACTTCATGGCTTTCAGTTTGACCTACAAAGATTTTAGAAAGCCTTCAAAAGTGTTTTTATTATTCCACTCAGCTGAATTCCACTCAGCTGAAACTTTACACAGCAGACAAATGATGCACATCAAATTTGCCAAGTCAATTCGTATCATTGCTAATGCTTCCTAAGTATCTGTGTTAGCTGTCTTCCCTACTTACTTAAGCAGACTTCACCCACCCACCCCTCCCCGCCATCAAACACCTACCCTGCACTGCTCCAGCTGCCTGCCTATCTCTGTTGCTTCCTCAGCTATCCTCTCAGCTGCCCCTACCCACTTCTCATAGCTCAGCATGATCTCCTGGAGAGCATTGAGTTCATCGTAAAAGTTTTTCGTCTCCAGAGACAGGATAATCTTACGCTGAGTGTCTTCTAGAAGCAGAGTCATGTCACTACGTCTCTTCTCCAGCTGCTTTAGGATCGTCTCGATGCTTTCGTAAGATTCATCAGCTGGAATTGATAATACATTTTAATTACATGTTCTAATATTTGGCAAGTTTTTGAATTTCACTACATCATTTTATGTATTCAAATGCAAAACTATATATATTTTTTAAAGTTTTAGTAAACATGATCATTATTTCCATTTTATTATATAGCTTTAGCACTTTTTTGTAACTTCTTCATTATATTTTAAACATTACTGCTAAGAGTACACATTAGAACATGATTAGATAAATAAGTAGCATGTACAAATTTTTTCTTGGTTAATAAACAAAACCAACTTACCTTGCTTAATCTCCTGAATTAGACTCTTCCCTAAAGCATGGACATGATTTATTTCATTTTCCCGGTCTTTAACATCATTCTCTGTATCCTGAAATATATGATGGAATGTTTAGACCTTAGTTTTACAACACTGGCATACAATAAGTGCTCTTTAGCTATAGCCTATAAAAATGTTTGCATAGGGACTACATGGAAACTGGAAACTTCCTCTGGGCCCAATTAATTTGCACAGAGATACCTGTAGAAAGTGGGAGTGCATAAGTTTTTGACTGTAAATCATTTCTTTGCAAACATTACCTACAAAAATCACACATTCTTTGAAAGCCAATACTTCCAAGCTAAAAAAAGATGGCTTTAGAAATGAAAAAATCATTGTAATTATTAGAATTATTATATCTGATATTGAGAAATCATGTGGTGAAAGTCCCCAAGGGGTTTGGATATTTATTTTTGCATCGTGACATAAATACACCAATTTCTGGACAGAAACAACCAGGCCCCAATAAATCAATGAACTAAAAATTTACTCTTAAGTCCAAAAAGTTTAGTCTCCTCTGAACCATGATAACCCACCTTCATGAGGATACTGTTTGGTAAACGTAAGATATGACAAATGATTAATATTGTCAGTTGCTTAATTTAAGTGAACTACCCTTGACTTATTCCAGGTCAAATACTTTAACTTCAACTAGCCTTTAAAGTTAGGATCCAGTTTCAGCTTTAAGCTATTTTGAAAAACAGATCCCAGTTTCACACACAAAAAAAATTCAGTCAGTTCCAGTGGCTAACAACTATGCTATCAAGGTTACATAGTCACATGCACACATCTAACCCTATCAGGAACAGTGTTACATCACTCTCGTGGACACATGCACAAATCCTTAGCTAGGGAACTGACTTAAGTACTTTTTTTTGTGAAACCGGGGCCAGGGAAAAGTAGACTGAAACTTCATCTAACCTTTAAAGCTAGGTCCCAGTTTTAACTTTAAAATCCTTTGGTAAATAGTGCCCTCATCTCTAAAACAAGACCCTGGTTTCTAACCACACCTACCTGTATGAGTACAAGTTGTTCCTCCAGAGTCAGCTGCTGGTCTGGATGTGGTGCCTCAGTGGTGAGGAGCTCCAGGTTACTCTCCGTCTTCTCAAACCAAGAATTCAGTTCTTTAACTGCCATATCAAACTCATGACGGCGGGAGCTGTCTATCCGTGGTTTCTTTGGCTGGGAGGCTCCCAGGGACATGGCTAGGTTGCTGGTTATGTTGCCAGACTCAGCTATCTGTAAAAATCAACCCACACCAGTGCAATCTTTAACTTCTGAAGTGGATCAGAAGTAATTAAATAACAAGTAAAGGGACAAAACTAGCACCGCTATAAACTGGAGCATCTCTGAGGAAGAACATTTGCTTTTAATCATCAAAAGGTCAATTCTGTGTAAAAATCTACCTTTGACTCCAAGCACACACAGGAATCTTGGCTGGCAAACCTCAAGCAATATCTGATAGTCAATCTATTCCTGTCTGTTTGTTCTATCTGATGTACCAACTGATACAAGTTGAAACAGGCTCTACATCAATGTGGTATCTTAAACTTTTGGGGTCTTCTACTCCCTGCTTTGTGGTGCATGACTGAGTGAATGTTACAAATGCTTTTGGTGTGACTGCTATTTTTTTGAAACAATGTCCTTGTTACAAAGTTGCTCATTTGTGTCTTTAGGTAATTTATATGCATTTGTACTTAAAATATTCAAAAATTTTAATAACTATCACATCCCCATACCTAACATATCCCAACAACCAAATCATTTATCACATCAATATTTAATATATACAAACACTTAACATATCAAACCTAACACATTACCATATCTAACACATTTCTACATTTATAAAATCTCTTCACCTAACCAGCCCTTTCACCGGAATGCATCACACTTCCCACAGTGACATAAATACCACAATTCTGAAAAAATAAAGTTCAAGTATACATCTGGTCCTGATGAGTTATTGCTATACACACTGCGACATTGCATTGTCTCGTACCTCTTTGCTTTGCCACTCCATCTGTTGCACCAAGTTCTCCCAGCGCTCCTGAAACTCCTCCAACTGATTGGTCAGTCTCTGTACAGCAGCAGGATCATTTCCCACATGTTGCACTAATACCTGGCCTGCTTCGTTCAGCTTATCAAATCTCTGAACCTGAACATCCATGTCTTGTTCAATGGCCTGGAACAAAACGAGAAGAAGGAATCACTGACAGCTATCTCATAAGTCTTCAGATGGTTACTTCAAAAGGGGAAATATATCAATCAAATGGCATTTTATTTCTAAAAGATGGAGATTAAGCACCGGCTAGTGGTGAGTGGAGAAGTGTAATGAGTTGTCCTGTGGTGTTGTTTATGTCCTTGATGGATGAAACAATTTTGAAAGGTCATTTTCTGATAAAAAAAAAGTTTTGAACAATGATTTGCAAAGCTGTATTTTTTTCTTTTTGATAATAAGAAAAAATAAAACTGAGTAAGAAAGTCAACTTTTCATTTGCTGTTCATTTAATTACAAAATGGATATTAATCACCACTTAACACATCATGTCACCAAATTACACAAACATAAACGAAGAATGATGGCCTGTCTGCCAGTACTTATTTCTATCGATTCACATTTTTGATTAATGTAATTAATTATAGGTAAGCTTTTAATTTGATAATCATGCTAACTCTTCCTCCTTAATAAAAAAAACTGCTGGTTTTGTTGTTTAGTAGCATAGCAGTTGAATCTCCAGTCTTACTCTAAATATACATGACATGGACCAGATGTGCATGACTCATCAAACAAACCAGGTATATATGACAGTACTGATTATTCTCTCAATGTTAAACAGATATATTAAATTTGAAACCCTTCTGCTGGACCTTTAAGAAAGTGACCCTTACAATTTTTTTAACTGGGCATAAAATGTCATGGCATTTGTGAGCAATTAAATCTATTAAAATTTGCACTTTCACTTTTCATCAAGGAACTTTTTTTTGGAAATTCACCACAACAACTGTTTTAGTACTGATATTCATATAAGTACAAGATTCCTTGGAAAACCCCAGAAAAAAGTAATTACTGGAATCCTGCAGTTTGAAATATTGCCAATATAAATGCACTCTATCACTTTAAATTACCTACATCTGTGTCAGAAATAATTACACATAGAACATATCTTACACAGGGGAAATTCAAATCCAGTTTTAGCTGCAGCATGGATTCATCATACCACACAAATGTATATTCTATATAAATGAATGAAATGAAAGAAAGGGGGGATTTATTCAAATTTGTCAAGCTATCTATAGTTAATCTTTCAAAGAAACTTCATTTAAGATAAGAATCAATGTGCCTCATATTTTACTGAGGTAGTCAATCAAAGATTGTGTTCATGAAGTATTTTGAAAAACTATATATTGACTCTTATAATTTTGACTGAGATAAAAAGGCATTTTGCCATCTTCTGGACATCATTAACAAAGACGATAATGAACTAGGATACTGTCTCACTAAATTCAAATAAAACTGATTTATTTTGCTTCCCAACTAAATGTTTTTTCTATTGCATCCTAAAAAGGAAGCTCAAATGCTCAAAATAGCTGTGCTGAGAATGTACATTTCAGCAAATAAGTGAAAATGCTATGATAAATTCTATATAAGTATAAGATTTAAGAATAAGTGCCATGTTTGAAATTTGTGTGTAATAGCCTTAGTTATTCAACTTGCTTATATCATCATTACAGAGAATCAAGTTTACCTTGAGTTTTTTCACTTCTCCCAGTACTTCATCTGGGGTCAGATCAGACATGTTGACCAGCCGCATTCTGCCTAAAACTTCCTCCTTTTCCAGTAGCCAAGTTCCAAACTTATTTTTCTCATTTGAGTAGACCTCCCATTTCTTGAGTACATCCTGCAGATTTGACCACTGGTCCTCTACCCACTTACAAACATTAGTCCAGCGCTGGCCCAGGGAGTCCAGCTGCTCCTCCAGGGCCTGGTAGGCTGGAACACATAAACACAAATATATATAGAATTATAAACTGCCATCACTATTTGTTTGATTGTGAGTGATGACTTTTTGGGGTGCAATGACTGTTTGTAACGAGAAGTAATGGATTTTTTAAAGCCATCCTTCTAAGGTCCTGTCCAGGGTGGGAGATGAAGAGGTAGGCAAAGAAGGAAATGGGCAGAAAACATTGCTGAGCAGCTTGCCTGAACCCAAGTCTTTGCACCAGACTAAGAGGTAGAGACAACTGGGGCAGCATTCAATAATGCACCAACGCTAGGGCCCTGAAGCTGCTGCTGGTGGTGGTGATGGTAATTGTTTATGTTTTCTGTGTTATATGATGTATGTATGATTGTGGTGGGTGACATCAATGCATCAGGTGTGCCTGGTGACAATGTGATAACTTACATGAGTCTGATCCTTCATCCACAACCACCACCATATTCTGAAGGCTGTTGACTTGCTCTTGCTCTGATTCAACCTCTTCTTGTAATTGCTAGTAAAAAGTAAAAAATATATATATATCAAAGAAGTTATCACAAATAACTGTTTAATGATAGCAATGGCATGATACAAGAAATCCAGCCAAACATCAACAAAAGAATGCGTAACCTGTTACAAAAGCTTAATAAATACATTCAGTTTAACTGATATTTTAAAATAAAAATTATACGTTTCAGTGAAGACCAATTCCTTTATATTCCATTTGAAAGAGAGCTAGTATTTACCTTATGTTCATCCACCTGTCTGTGCAGCACCTCCAGGTCACTGGCCACTGGTTCATGCCTCTCCATCTTCTTCTCCATCTTCTCCAGCCAAGTGGCAAGTTGGTCCAGCTGCTTCTGCTGAAGCTCCATCAGTGTTTGTTGAAGTCTGGAACACACACACACACAAAATATATAGAATTGAAAGACAAGACAGAGATCTAGGCACTGTAACAGCCAAAAAATAAATCTGCTGAAATGGATGTAAATTAGCTCCATCAGTGTTTGTTGAAATTTGGAACACACACACACACAAAAATATATATAGAACTGACAGACAAGACAGAGATCTAGGCACTAACAGCCAACGAGTAAATCTCATGAAATGGATGTAAATTAGAAAAAGGGGAAGTGATGAAGCACAAAACCTTTGGAAGCACCTGTCATTCCCTTATTATTTTATGTTAATGAGGATGTCAAATGTGCAAGAAACACATCAGTTGGGAGCAGACAGGGCACAAACAGAACAGAAAAGGGAGAAAAGCTGCAAATTTCTTTCTTCCACTCAAAATTGCCACAAAACAGCTTCTAGCTTCATCAAAAAGTGGTGTGTCTGATCTTGCAAAGATTGAAAGGTGAGAGAGAGTTCAAAGCACTCTTCATGCCTTTTTTTTTTACTTCCTGAACTTGGAAGTCAAAGCAGATAATGTCCAGAATTTTGCTTTAAAAAGCAGGTGTCATTAGCAATCTACTGCAAAGACCATAAAACCAAGCTAAACATAGGTCAGAAATGGAAATGAACACAGTTTAGTAGGCACTAAACATTTTACACATAATCAAATCAAACTAACCAACCAAGCAATCTACCAACAATCAGTAAAAGTAAAATCATGGTCCTATTATTTCAGCATTAAATTTTCTCATCACTGATTACATCAGGCCTTTATATCCTGTTTCTTACTTTGTTTGTCTGTCCATGGCACTAACACGAAGTTTCTCCCAGCGTTCATTAAGGAGGCTCATCTGCATGCGTATCTGGTTCTCTTCCTCCTCTGTTATCTTGCCGTCACTAATGAGGTGGTTCCCCTCCTGCAGGACATTACCCACATTACCCTGGTGCTTGGTCAGCTCCATCATGAAGTCCTGGGAGAAATAAAGCAGGTTTCTTTCTTTCTTTACATGATTATATTACTTAAAAACTTAAGCAACGCCATCTGTACTGATTACAGAGAGATAATAGGTCATTTACCCTAAGCTAGTGTCCAAATATCACTTACATTCTTGGGTAAGATCAGCCCCTAATGCTGGAGAGACAAAATGCCTTATTTCAATGATTTCAAATATTCTTAAGTAAATGAATGTCATATTTTCTAATGAATCCCATGATCTCTTATGATAATTGCTATGGTTTATTCTAGAGAAAGGATAAAAAAACAAATATTTCAAAATAAACAGATAAAACCAGTTTTGACACAAATTTACTCTACAGTTTTAAAAAATCATTAGTTTAATACCAATAGATGCAAAGGCTTGGATTATTGCCAATTCTTGTTTAGTCTTATGTATTCCCTGGTAAAGGAAAGTAATGTTTTAGCCTCTAAAAAAAACAGTGGCAAGTCTTGCACAGGCACACTTAGTAAACCAAGAAACAGCTTTAAAAACAGGAGCAGAAGTCATTTAGTCTGTGCAGCTTGCAGTTTGTGGTTTAACATTTAACATACTGCCTTAGCTAATGGGGTCAATGGGAATTCCATGATAACAATAGTGGAGAGCCAAGAAAAAATTAATCCCTTAACAATTCTTTGAAAAATGGTAGTCTGTTTACCAGACATCTTTCTTTTCTGTGCTCTTTAAATGTCATCCAGATACTGACATTTCAAGGCAGTTAAAAACCCTTTTGTTTCTGGTCAAAACATCCGACTGCCCTCTGTGGATTTCATTACGTACTAAGAGACCTACACCTGAATGTTATAAATGATTATAACACGAGTGACCATAAAACACACTAACAAAACACAGTCCCTGACCAACACTGCGCTTTACAAACAGTCAACAGAAAAATGCACAATGAGAATCAGCTGAGGTGACAAACCCCCTTCACATAAATCATAAAAAGCTCTTTGTACAATTATCCCTCCAGTTCTTTTGGTAAATGCCTCTAAGCCAAACAAGCCATACCTCATGTACATGGAACTGGTCCTTGACCTGAAGAACATCATTGCCAATGTCTCCCATGCCTTCATATGTTGTCTCGGCCTTCAGCAGCCATTCTATTACATTCTCCAGTGATTCTTGGTATGAATTAAGATCTATAGAGCTCACACTGACTGTGCCACTCATTGCACTGGACTCAGAACTCAGAGACATAGTCTGGAATATGAAAACAAGGCATAGGCAATTAATTATGCAATGGTGAACAAAGATCCAGCTAAGTTATATGTACCTTGCATTTTATACCATGTACAGGTGCTGATTTAGATAAAGTACCATATCAGGATGTAGATTTGCTGGACCTTTTCTTAATAGTTTTAAGGAAGGGTGAAGCTACTTGCTGCATGGGCATTTTTTGGTTAGGCAGTGTGTTATGTGTGATAATGCATTGGCTGTGACAGTTTCTCAGACATGATAATGGCCCCATTCAGAATAGGGGACTAACTAGTCCAAGGGCCAAATATGGCCCTGCTAATAGACACTGAATAGCTATCCCATGGGGAGTATTCAAGTGGGTCGGCCATGTTTGGCCATCGGACTAGTTAGTCCACTGTTCTGAACGAGGCCAATGTGACAATGACACTCTTACCTCATGTGCAGAAGCATGGTGAAGCTGCTTACTGGTGTGTGTACTGACTGAGACTAGATCTGAGGTAGTAGACATGTTGTCCGAGTCCTCTATCACAATACTAGAGTGAGGCAGGACTTGGAACAAACACATCAAGTACATCATAACAGACTTCTTATCTGGGCAATCTACATTCACATCTGTAAGAAATATCAGTTTGTTTTACAATGGGGGATTTAACTGCCTGGGAAGTCCATGTATAAACAGCTCAAATTCACTGAAGGAAATTACTGAAATTCAAGTACACAGTGCTGTGGAGTATTAAGAATCCATTCAACCAGAGAAACACAGTCCCCATTTGGCCTGGTGGTTGTCCATTTCATAGAATACCGCCTCCAGGTCCCATTTCACCATGTAAGAGCCCCAGCACTGAATGATGTTATAGACATTGAACACTTCATCAACTAGAAGGGCTTGGCTTTTATGTTCTCTCAAATCATAAAAATGGAAAGACTACCTACTGTTTAAACACATCATCATCTGTTAAAAATATAATAAATGACCCAGGTCAACACTGGGTCAAATTCTTATGAGGTAAAAATCAAATATGGCCTTCCAAAAATAGATGGTTCATAAAAAGCGGTGTTTCCAGAAATAAACAGTTACACTTCTCTCAATTTAAACAATATGAGTTTACCCTACAAAGGTGACTTAATATAAACAATAGCCCTAATTTTTTGTTCTTACCTTCTGGGTCGAGCAGTTTCTCGATTCCCAAGTGTTCATAGGCAACTTGAAAGGCATGCTCCAGATTGCTTTCATTGTTGTTGCTTAGCAACTCATCAAAGTTAAACAACTGAGGGCTAAATAGAGATTAAACAAAGATGTGTTATCAAATTTGAGGTAACCGTTTTTGCTACAAAGTCATGGTTGCCTTTGAAATAGCATATATTTAACACACTTTTGGCCGTCAGTTTCCTTTGTTTCAAGGTGCTATCATAGAGGCAGTAAAATATAAATTTTCAGAAGTAATAAGCACACAACCGTAAAAATTTAGATCACACCCATCCTTAAAAAGAGATACAAAATATTATAATTTTCTTTCTAGCTGGGGATCTATAAATGAACAGATGCTACATAATATTCTATTCAAACATATGGTATTAATAAAATTTCAAAGGCAGCTTCATATCATCATAAAATGAAAATTTTCCCCAAAAGTGCAACTCGGTTTGTTCTCCACACATCCACTTACTTGAATCTATGAAGTAAAGCATTAAATGCCAGTCCATCCCTCCAGCTAGTGGTAAAGTTCCTGACATCTACTCCACGATAGCTAAAAAAACACAACACAATGGTCACAAAAATGTGAACTTCATCACAAGACTGGTTGAGACAATATACTTAACAGCATCAAGTTAGTTTGTTGTATTCCACACAATAACAATGGAACTAAGAACAGACCCCTGTGTTTAAGGGTGGAACTGTGCCAGTTAAGTTGGTCTACGGCAGAATGTGTTTAAGTAGACCAATTTGAATTAATGTATTAGAAGATGTAACACCACATCGGGTGTGACATCAAAATGCATGTCCTTATTTTGACCTAATCTTGTTAGGGATATTTTCTGCAGAGTGTGACAGTGTTTTAGCTGTGTGATTGCAGTGACAGTGTGCTGGCTGTGACAATGTGTTAAGCTATGGCAGTGTGCTTGCTGTGACAGTGATCTACCTACCCTTGGGTTGACTGGCGACACCAAGCCAGCAAGGTTTTCTCCAAGTTTGTCTGCTGCAGATCTGCCATGATCCCTTTCAAAACATCTTTGACCTGGTAAAGTAAAAACACAGGAGCTTGGTTTATAAACCATGTCAATATGTTAGGCATGTGTGTAAATAACCCCATAGAATGCCTAGGATAACACAAAACATCTCTCCAACCATTGTGCAGACTGCTGGGAAACTCAGACTGCAGTTATTATAACAGGGCTATAACCCATTGGCCAGCATTAAGTACAGGTAACCAGCCCTTGCAAGTTAAATACAACCCAATCAATATGCAGCTTAATACTCTACCCTACATTGTAGTACTTCTTATCCTGTTCAAAACTAGAATTTTAATATCCAACTGTGCAGAAAGGAAAGTCCAATTAAAATTAATTGTCTTCTTGAAGCGAGAAACAACGAGATATCTATTTCAGATTGGCTAAAATAAATACCATTTCATTTTACCCCAAGTAAAATTGCCCTCTGCATAAACAGTCCCTGCAGAGAGCATGTCAGCTCTGATCATTACCACGGAAATATACACATTACAGTGAAAATGTCTAGGTGCAAAAGTTTTTTGTCTGTTATACAAGGCCACGCCTCCTTGCTAATATTAGGGAAAATCAGTTAAAAAGAAGAATGACAAAATGATGCTGGTTATTTCATAGGCACTCTTATCATCCAAACACAACATTACTGCATAAACTTTCTGACTAAATGGCAGCTTAGAACATTAAATATACTGTGGCATAAGATATACATACTTAATATACTACTTACAATTCCAGTCTTTGGCATGTGTGTGTATGTGTTATATTAAAGAGTACCTAAAAATCACAAGATTTCTGACTTGATTCTCTGCCAATTTGCTTGATTTACAGAATCTAGCAAACTACCCTTTGCAAGAACTTAAACAGTTTAACTGTCATCTGGGGTTCATTTTCAAAGCACATCTTCATTTCCACTGCAATAAAGCATTTGCACAACAATCCATCTTCTTTTGTTGGAATGTTTTATTCATTTGCACAGCAGTCCATTTATTGTGCAGACCTTTAATGTTCATTAACGACTTGAACATGATCAGTGTCAACTAAAGCTGCCAACAATTAACAGGCAAAGAATATGCCAAATGACAGCAATAAGTAGTCATAAAAAAATCCCACTCTGTGTATGAAGATTGCCATGGGTTATTATCAACATCCGCATTCAAGGTTCATCTAAGGCAGACATTGTAAATCACACACTATGCAAGAAATAATAAATTATAAGGGATGTTTGGTTAAAAAAGGATTAAATAGGATTTTCTATGTGAAAATAAAGCAGATTGTTTCAAGTATTCTAGTAGCATTAGTTGTGCCATTAATAAAGCATATCATTTCTGGCATTCCACCTTTGCTCACTCCATCGCCTGTGGTGATGTATCTCTAGCTCGGTATGGAAGGGGCAGCATGGACCACATTCCAATCAATTCCTCTGCTATCAATTCCATGTCTAAATTACACGGTCGCATTTACCTGGAATCTACTACTCCTGTTACACGTGTCCAGTGATGGGAGAATCAGAACTCACCAGAAAGCCCCTCGGCATGAATCTTGGCATTAAGATTACTCAGAGATGTTTAATTCTCAATGTAATTCTCCACTGAAAACACATGTCTACTATACCTATAGATTATAGCATTATCCTCCTTGGACAGATTGTATTCCCAAACTTTAGGTTGAAAACAAATACCTCTGAGGATTATCAAACACTACAGTTTTATCTTTCCCCATATCTGAAATATGCATGTTGATGCATTTCCATATAATTCCTGCCAACACATTCAATCAAAAGCTAGAATGACTGATGGTCATTCAAAACCCCCTCCCCTGTGAATTATTTACCTATCTACTTTCTTGTATTCCAATCTCTGTAGTGGTTGCTCAGATACTCAGGCTGTCATGTAAAATGGTAGACCCTCACAGTGGTTATGCCCCCCAGCCAACCACACAGTTAAGCAAAGCTCCTAGGAAACTTCGTTTATTTACCAAGCATTTCCAAGTACAGAGTGATGGAGCTCGCTTGCTCTCCACAACTCATGGAGCACAGCCAAAGTGTATTATCAAACCTGGCAGTTTTTTTTCCACAAAAATCTAGATTAAATTATTCCAGCTCTCTGCAGAACCTTACATTTGATAAGGAGGTATGTTGGTGTTAGCAGCTCTAGTGGTCCTCTTGAGCATCATGTTACAACAGCCTGGGTAATACCCACCACAGTAAACCTCAAAACACTTCTGAAGCAACCCTTACTGAATGTAAACACTTGCTTTATTATGCCAGGTCCAAGATGGGTAAAACACACTCCTTCATAAGGATGAAACTTCAGGAGCTGCCTTGCTCCAACTCAATGACCCACAGAACTTCTCCTGTTAACAACAGTTTATATACTCTACCAGGTAGATTAAATGGCAGACGCTGCAACAATTTACAGCTGTACTCTAATGCCCTGCAGGAGGCTTCATCTTGTCTACTTGTAATGTCCAGCGCTGGCATGTCTACCATAAACATCTCAACAAGCAATACCAGATTCAAAGGTCATTCTTTGATGCATTGACAATTATGCACAAAAAAAAATATAGAAGGGATTTTATAATGTCCAACACTTATAAAATTCACAGAATTGTTTTTAAAAGAAAAAAAAACATTTATTGATGCCTAGAATTAGCATTTGCACTTTTAAAATCTCAACAAGAATGTCAAAGAATACCAAAATTAGAGTTTTTTTGATGTCCTCCACTAACTTGCTACTAACTTGTATAAACCACGAAGATCTATAAGCATAAATTTTAGACTCATTCTGGATAAATCTCTTTTTCTTCACTTTAAATGTAATATCATAACCAACATTTAGCAGCCACCCCTTGGACCTCATTTTGTTCTGCTGTATAATATATTGCAAGCAATTATTGCAGGATATTACTGCTCTATCATCAAAACTTCTTGTGCCAACCTGAGAGCCCAAACCCACTGCAAATTGTTATTTGGACGCCTACTTTGTTTTGTTAAACTCTACTGAGTGCTGTTATCACCACACACACACACACACACACACACACACACACACACACACACACACACACACACACACACACACACACACACTGTATATATATATTTGTGAAATTATATATATATATATATACATACTATATATATATAATTTCACGAATACACTCTTTTTAATAAGTTTTCTGAGGGCATTTATGTACCAATGTAGGATCTGTATGAAATAAAAACAGTGCAATATGGTACTCTGCATCAAAGATCTTCCTGTCAAAATAATTTGTGGTGTCTAAGGAAAGTGTTAATCATGCTTATACCACATGGTTGCTTTAACTACTTGCCAGCCCACATAATATAACACAAGACCTTCTGGAGTCGTAAAAACTTTGGATTATGACAGGCCTGTCAACCAAACATGATGACATTTATGCATCAATTTATGACTTTATGAGGCTATGATTACATGCAATTGCCTGCCAATATCTGGACAGTCATCAAATGTTTTACTTCATAGTACTTTTTTTACTTGCCTGCCACTGTAATCATGTGGGCCTGGATGTAGATATAGCCCTTTCACATATATACAATGCATTGTTTGCCAATTCATAGTGATAGGACAAAAGCCTACTGATTTTTTAATAGGATTAACATAGTACCATCATGATTACTTGTTTTATTGTGTAATTTGCTAAGATCAGGTCAAGTATAGCCACGTACATGTATATATAGCACTTGCTTCCCTAATATTTCTATATTAAATTCATTAATACCTACCTGCCAATGTAATATGATACTCCAGACAAGGCCCAGGACAAGTTTGGGGTTACCATCTACTATATCATTACTGCTGATATTCACCAATCGAATCTGAAAAGCCAACAGAAAAAGGGTTGTTTTAACTTCCTCATTGAAATTCACAGCACACAGCAAATGTTGCTCTCAATCTCACAGCCATTCTAGGTGTAACATTACCCACAGGACTGGCTTGTCAGCATCTACAAACACACAATTGTGTATACTGATTGCAAATAACACACTCATTTCCTGTAAATTAATTAGCATAAAAAAGGGAAAGGAAATCATTCTCCGATAACGTTCTTCCACTTTCACCTTTCCCTAAGAACTTGAAGTGGTTTGATATTTTACTATACTTTTCCACCTCAAGTGGCGAGGAGTGCTCGCCACATATTGAATGCATAAAAAAGCAGGCGTGTGCTCTCCATGCATTGTAAGACCCACCGACCTACTGACATTAATAAAACTCAGAAATTGCCAAATTAGCCTGAAATGTTCCCTTCTATTTACCCAGATAACTGCTGATAAGACACCACAGGAGGCCCTAAAAACAAGAGATGGGACGACCCAAGGAGAGAGAAATGGAAACTCAACACTTGGTATACTGAAGGCCTTTTCTCCCAACAATGACTATGGGTTCAAATATCTTTGGAAACTTTATCACACTTCCGCTCCATGTTAGCAGACATACTGGTATCTTCTTCTCAGTGGCCTCAAGACATCCCCACGTTTAGGGCATGTTCTTTGTCTTCAGATGATTCAAGCAGCCTTCAATACATAACAGAGGATCCACAATATTATAATATTACCTTGGCGGCCTACCCCAATGAAGAGATGGTTATAAATCTTAGATCAGATGTTAATTGTATTTGTAAAAGCCTTATTCATCTCCTGGTATCAGTGCTTAATGTTCCTCCAATGCCCTGTACACCTGGCACATTTAAAACAATTTATGCGTAGCATGAATCTCTTAAACAGCTTCTCCTCCCTCTTGTCTGCTGACTGGCTCTTTATCCCCAACATGCTAACTCACCAACTCTTCCAAACCGTTACCTGCACCAAACACGCCAGCAATTCAAACCATCTTACAACTGCATAAATGAGCACTACTCATTCTACACACTGACAACACTTACCCTTTCACCAGTTAACAGCCAGATGACGGAGAAAAAAAGAGCCCCTGGATAGCTAAGTGAGGCAGATCAGCAAGAGGACAGGAGGTGTGACTTGTGAGGCTGCTGCAGTCTATATCCCAGTACTGGATGCTTTCAATTAGCGCAAGCCTTCTTGAGTCAGTACTGATTTACCTTACGTGCATGCCAGCCATTCCGAGGCATAGGCGGCTCACATCTGGATCCACACCACAAAGCCTTCACAAAAACCTTTTACAGAAACACAACAAAGTCAACTATGTCAGAACTTGGTTGAGAATGACAGCCACAGCACTTATTTTTTTGTACACAACGGGATCAGCATTCCTGGTGAACCACTTATGGAAATGTTTCCAATTTCCTTAATTACAAGCACTGACAATGATATGAAACTGACAGCTTTTTGAAGTTCTGCTTTCTGAATATCAACACTTTTTGAAGTTCTCCCTGCATTATAAAAACTGGAGCTGTTCTACATTAATTTCTTTGTCTGGCTTGGGTTGGCAGATGCTGGAATTAGACACCAGCTTATTCAAAAGTCATCTTACATGTCTAGTACCTCCTGGCTGAATCATTTATTTACTTTCACCTTCTTTCATCAAATTGAACACAGTAGCTCAGAGCATCAATCTCCTTCTGATTCTCCCTTAGTGAGTGCTTAGCCAAAGATGCATATACACCCAAATCGAGGATTTATAAAACTTTGGGTATATAGAGTATACTTGCTTCCCTTGAATATCATCCAAGGATCTGAACTTTATATCCAACAGTTTACTGTCAAAATGATCATCTTTCAGTATGTGGCATTACGGCATTACGTTTTCTAAGAACTAAAACATAAATAATAAAACATAGGTTTTCAATACAAACTGCAGTGCCACCTATTGCAGTGTACTGTTAACTACTTACATTGTAACTGTGATTAAGGATTTGGATCACTCGGTCTACATTATTAAGATGGTGAACTCTCATTCGTCCTCTTTCAGGTTTCTAAAAAAAAAAGAGTATATAGTTAGAAAAAAAACATGTTTTTATTTCAGATATCTGATACTGAACTCAACTGTATTTACTACCTACTCCCCCCCCCCCCCCCACCAATATTTGCATTACATGACTGACCCAGTATTTCAGCGCATATTTAATTTGTTCAACTTCCCTTTATGTTTTTGTCAATTACCCATTTGTTGTTGTGACACATTTATCAAATTTTTCTCCCAAGAGCAATTTGCAGCAAACACGTTCCACCTGCTGAATGTTTGACTACAATGAATATGACCATGTGTATAAATTTTAAAGCTTAGTTCTATTTAGGGCAAAGTGATTGCCGCTTAACTGATAAGGCACTTCCATGTGCTAAAATTCTTATTCAAAGAGCAAATCAAAGAAACTTCTCCACGAATATTAACAGCTTTCCTCACAGCCGAAAATGCAATCATTCCCTGATCACAGTATTATCTCTTGTTATAGTAAACACAACACATCAAATGATCTAATTTTGTCTAATCAAACACATGTTAAACTAGAGAGTAACAAAACACTACCATTCTGCTTGCATTTATAGCCTACTCTTATACAAGTATATCCAGCTTTTTCAGTTTAACTTCCATGTTTTAGGACTGCACCAAGTCACAAGGTGCTTTGTTCCTGGACATCAACTTACCAAGAATCTCTCTGTTAACACTTCCAGCAGAGCCAGGAGGTGAGTCCCATCCTTCAAGTCCTCTATGAGGTCCTGGATAGGAGGGTGGTTGGTCTAGAAGGTAAATACAAATATGCAAGGTCCCGGTTTATGTGATAGCCGATTTGAACATAACGGCATGATAGGTACATGGTGCTACCTGTTTCATTACGTTGGATACAGTTAAAATCCCAGATGTGACAGCAAGCTTTGACTGTAGCGTGCTACTTCTATCATTGTGTTAGATGTGACAGCAAGCTATTAGGCTGATGGGGTCAGTGTGTTAGTTGTGGCAATGTGTTGGATATGACAGCATGCTATGAGCTGCAGTGTGCTCTTGCAACATTACACTTAATATGTGATATCTGTTTTTGCGTTAGATTTTTTTCTGTAATCTTATAAATATCATCTCCCAATTAAGCTAAAACCTTAGAACTGGAAACTCATATTTCAGCAGTTGTCAATATGTTTTGTGCACAGGTGTGCAGAGATATTCTAACATTATTAGAGGTACTATTACAAATGTAGGAGATTCAGTAATATTTTATACAAATGCAGAATTTTCAGTAATACATCAAAAATATCCTGAAAGGGAAACTGTTCTAACAAAATACAAAAAATGGCTTACAGTTTTGTATATTTATCATCTTCAAATGTAGATCTTTATCTTTTAGAAGTAAAACAGATTTTTCATGGTTAAAATAACACCAACACACATTTGTTGGTAGAATAATTGTAGTGCACTGACCATTACTCTGTGTGTGTGTGTGTGTGTGGGTATGTGTGTGAGTGGGGAGGGATATCACAGTAGTAATCCTACTGTACACACGAGTAGGATAAGCTTAATACCTAATTGAAATGGTTTGTTTGTTTTTAGAATTCCGAGTGCTAGTCATTAACCATGTATAAGCAAAAAAATTTAGTGGGTAGATCCCCCCTCAAACATGAATAAATAAAAACCTACAACCAAATAAAGCCATTATTAAAATATTTATTGCTATTTTGAAGACTGAGATGACAGTCAAAAGACCCGTAATTTATAATACACCTTCTATGAGTCACATATCATTCTTATCATTGCACTAATTACTCATGAAGCAATGACTTACCTTTGAAAACTGAGCATTAATCCATTTCAAAAATGTCTTTTTCTGAACATCCTCCCTCTCATCTGAAACAGAATACCTAGAATATAAATATTCCGCAAAACACAAAGCACTCAACATTTTGCTCTTTTGCTCAACACCATCTTAATGACAGAAAACAATCATTCTTTCATCGGGAAGGTCATTCATGACCCATTTAGGGCAACCTGTTGGTAGCTACATGGATCAAATGAGCTGATAAAACCAGTGGCAGACACGTTGACAAAACGTGTATCATGTCACATACACATAGGGCCACACTTATTACCTGATGGACAGACATGTATGTCATGTCGCCAATGAATACTTATGCTTAACTGCTGTTGATTACCATGGCTCACTGTCTGCCTGAACAACTACATCTCGTTATTTTCTTACAGGTGGTTTATCACTGCACATACATCATTTTAACTTGAGTGCTGTCAGTTTTCAGAGCTTTTGGAGGAAATAGATGACAAACTGCACAATGATCATGATTTATATTTTGTTTAAGCTTTATAATTCACAGGAATATCGATGATTATGGATCTGCAGAGCCCAGGTCAAATCTTGATGACTAGTTCAATCATGAATTTTCTTCCAGCTGACATGAAGGAAATGTAAGTGCCAATGATGTAGTTATTCTAAATTTCAATAAGAAATACAGAATACATGTAGGCCTGCAATATGGTACAAAATGACTTCATTTATTTCCCTTAGAGCTCTTTTTTTTATCTTTTATCAAGTTCATATTGATTTAAAGTACACATCTATTATTAGCAGTCTGTGTGTAGATATTTTTAACATGTACAGATAATCCACAAATAACATTTCACAAGATAATTAATTCTGCCAAATGTATCTTTGGTCATCAATCACAGGGTTTTAAGTTCATTCCAGTTTAATAGCCACAGGCTTGAATATTACCTCGGCTACTTCATCACATACTTAAACTGGTACATTTTTCTATACAGAATGGTGCTCTAGAAAAACAAACTGATGGGAAAGTGGTAACAGAACACAAGTTTCCATCCTGAATTTTCATTGCAATAAATACCATTGCATCAGTTGGGCACAGAGGCACACTGTAATCACACACTACAGTATCACAAAACATCTGGTAATATGAAAGTGCATAATCCTGGGTCACTAGTCTACTATAAATTATTAGGGCAGTTGAGGATAGTCATTTGCTCATATAACATTACTTTGCCTAGATTAATGAACCTATTTCCACATAAACATGAGGCTCCGGGAAATTGGTTTAATTTAATGAGCAGGTTCAGCATGACAATGTATATTAACTGGAACAGTTTCAACAATAAAACTCAGGAATAGATGCACCAATATTTTTTCCAGAGCAGCTTGTTAGTTGTTCTGCGACATGGAAAATAACTTCAAAAACATTTAATCTTTCAATCTACATTTTTTTCATGACATATTTCCTTGGCAGCAATTTACATTTTTTTTCTGGCAGCTATTTTCTATAGTAGTACAGAAATCTTTGGATGCTTCTTGACATTTAGTTACACCCTGGTATCTGCTATATCAAATAGATGTCTTCCAGCAAAAAAAGAGAAAAGATAAGAAATAATACAATTGTAATAATACATCACTAGTGTCAAGTTCAAACAAAAAAGGTACCAGAATGCATCCTAAAATAACTGCAGAAGCTACCTGTCAGAGTGATCAAAGGTAAAATGCAGTGGAATGTTGCTGCTATACAGGCCTCGTTAATCAAAGTAGTCACCTCCAGGACAGGAGTTAGGACATTGAGACAAATCGCCCAACACTTACCTAGCTCTGTAGGCAGCAAAGGATACGTCTCCATACAGGGTTCCTTTACACCACACCATGCACGGACAAAAAGTACAGGACTTGCTTTATCATATTATAACATTCTTTGCACATTCTTAAACTATGTATCTGAAGCCTTTTCAAATGCTAAGCAGGATCTAACCCAAATTTAGTCCAAGGGGGCTTAACATTGAGCAAATATTTAACCCACCACTACAGCAAGTTAAACCTCCATTGAGGTAAAGCTGTGAGCCCATAACATTTACTCTGGCCAAATTTGTCTGTTTGTACACTGGCCAGTTACATCAGCAGGTGTACTAATCTGCTGGTCAGCTTTTTCAGGGAGTTGGGACGAACTACTAAATGTGTGTCCACTCCACTCAGATCTCATGGTGCCACCTGATAGCATTTACGACCCATAAATCTTTACAAGGGATCCTAACGAATGAGAGAGAGAGAGAAAGAGAAAGAGAGAGAGAGAAGGGGGATCCACAAAAATTCATTACTTTATAAATAACTCGGATTATCATTTTTTTAAACAAATGTTGTGGAATGGTTACTATCTGAAATTTATAACACATAGCCTTAAATCTTCACAAAACTCAAAAAAAATTTCTGCTCCAAAATTTATTGTAAATGACTTTGTCTCACAGTTAAAGCCAATATAAGGAGGATGACAGGGGTAGAAACATACAAGGGAGTACTGCCAAAAGTTTCATTTAGGACAGCAGACTGTTAACAATTCAATGACTTAGTATAAAATAAAAAATCTCAAAAATTGTGAATTTGTGCATTCTATAATGAAACTGTCTGTGTGGTAGAGAATCTGTTCAGTTAGAATTTCGCACATGTTATAAGGCAAAATTATTTCTAAAATAAAAAGGCATTTTTAACCATATTTGGAACAACCCAGAACATTGAGAAACTTCACCAATATCTGGCATCTATCACTGGTACAAAAACACCAGAAATTAATTTCACTGCAGAATCCAAGCCGACAATCAATAGACTGCACAGACACAATTATCAATACGCCTTCCAAAACAACAGGCATGTCTCGTCAGTTTTCTAAAAAACAATGACCAAAAAATGAAATTGGAACTAAGCCCTCAATTTCACATAGTCTGTAAATAAACCCACTAACAGTCTCTTACAAAAACAAAAAAAAAATGTCTGGAGATTCTTTAATATTCCTTTTAGATCTAGGTGTTTAAGTATTTGCAGTTGCAAACCAGCTGTGAAGATTTGGTCTGTGTCAATATTACACCCGAGCTCTGCAATAGGTGAAACTTATGGCGAAGGTAAAATTAATGTCAAATGATATTTTCTTTCTGTGGGCTTTTATCTTAATCATTCATCTTAGGTGCGGTAGTTGTAGTACTATAAATGACCTTTCCTGTCTAATCAAGCGGTGGCCACATTCCGGCCTTTGATAGTCGCACTTATGACAGTCACCACTTTGCTGTGGAATATCACGTCCGTCATTTCTCCTTCCTGGCCCTCATTACTCAGGTATAAAATCGAAATCTATATACCAGAACACAGCTTGACCACCAAAGAATACAATATCGTGCCGCAGCTATGCCACAATTTTGATAATGAGATAACAATTACATAATCAGCCCTGCGGATGTCAATAAATGCATCATCAAGCACTGGTGAATTTGTACAAAAGCTGACAATACTGTTATCTTGCTAGCAGCTTCTTGCCTTCTACAGTCAGTGTTATCTGGTTGAAATATCAATTCAACAAATACAAGAAGCCACTGATACAAACACTGATGTGTAGGCTTCAGGTGTGTTTGTGTATCTGCATGTGTGTATGCATGTGCGTGTGTTTGTATGTGTGCGTGTGTATATGTAAGTGTGAAGGGGAGTACTCAACAACGTGCACATTCCTGCTATACCCCGTGGTCATACACAATAGAATGACCAAAGACATAGGGTACACAGGCATTACAGGCATACCCTGCTACAAAGAAACTCAGTGAGGGATGGTCTAAAAGCCACAACACCCTGCTACAGAGTCATCCAGGCATGGGAGATACTCTGATGATAAAAATAGGGATAAATTAATTATGCCAATCCCTTTTTTTCCAGTCTTTAATTGAGTATACAAATATTCCCTGAAAATGTACTAGTATGAAATAAGTACTCCACTGTCTCTTTTTAACACTTTTAAGACTTTTTACAGCCTGTCCCACCAGCTGTCTTATCTTGGTGGGCAATATACACTAGGGTGGCAATATATACTATGCACTCTACAGACAAGTGCAATCCACTGGCAGTAAAACAGGAGAGGTGACTTCTCCATGGCTATGCTTACCTGCCCTTTCTCTGATGATATCTCTGAATGTATCACCTTCTGGGTCCTCTACATCATGGTTCGGATGCAGTAAAAATGCCGAATCCGTCATCTTGTTAGCTGTTCTGTTCTCTCACAGAAATATGAAGCAGGCATCCCTTCTAAGGTCTAGCTCCTTTTCCTACGAAATATGAAAAAGGCCAGTAATGAGAAATTAAAAATATCTCGATACACGTGCTCTTAAATAAACCCATCCTCGTGATATGCTTCCTCTAATAAAGTCTATAATAATGTTGATGAAAGCAGTGTTGTACACCTGTGGGGTCTGGGGAGTACCGTACCTGGACCAGCTAACACCTGCTCTGTTCTATGCCCCTGTCCTTCTAATCCTGGAGCTCACAAGCACCAAACCTGTGATTCTTCACATTGCCTGACCACATTAGTTAGTATGTACCTAATATCACTGTTAAAATGAATCCCCTGAGATACCCTCAGTTCCCTAGACCTAAGATCTAATAAACAGTATATTAGATCTTAGCCTAGGCCAAGGAATTCCTTGCCTTGACCAAAGCTATATCCCTGAATGTAAAGACAATAGCACACTAGGGCACCTACACATGTTATAGGAATACTTTTATAATTCAGTTTGGGAGTATCAACTTGATAGGTCTGGACAGAGTTTCAAGGTTAATGGCAAATATATATAAGAGACTGACACTGTCTACAGCTTATCAATATTTTCATTGAATTGATTACTTCTAAAATTTCAATATCAGATGCACTGAATACAGTAAATTACATCTTATCATTTATCAAATAATTGTATTGCTTCATGTATTAAATCAAAATACTAGTACTGTAAAATGTTCAATTGACTCCAGAATGAGATATGTTCTTGGATTACATTAAGAAAACCACACTGCTGTTCAAAGTTTAAGATCAAAACAGAAGCATTAAACTTGCACTATATGATAAACGACTTTAAACACAATTGTAACACGAAAAATAAATACTGTCTGGCAGAATGTACAACAAGCATGTATTTCCAAGTTCATTATATTGCTAGTAGTGATTAGAAAAAATTCAATTACAAGTACCCAAAAACACTTACCAACCACAGAAAAACAAACTGAAATATAGTTCTAAAGCAACAAGCTTGCTGCGGTAGACAGTAATTGCATAGGACTATCACAGAAAGTTAACTCAGGCTTCACATGCTGTTTTGCAAGATTAGAATGCACAATTTTTTTGTACTTTTCTCTAAATTATTTACCAAACCACATCTGGAAATTTCACTTAAATCTTCCAGGGCATACTCACATTTCACAATGTCATCTCACTTGCACATTTTTGAGCACAACGTACTGCAGCAAGGGACTTTTAGGTGTCCATTTATATAGCTAGAACTATTCTGTTTAGTTGAAGGAATGGACACCAACCTACTTGTCAAATTGATAAAACAACCAAGGTCTGCATCCAAGTTGTTAGCAAAGAAGACAGATCACTAGGAGCCAGATTCTTCATGAGGCTTAAGTGCCCTTTAGTCCATTTCTATAATCATGGCATGTAATCTATGTGATCTCTATGATAATGATGATTTATCTTTATTGTACATCCACAGCCCACCATCTAGTCTACCATCATCCCCAGGCAACTAATCTACATCACACCATGTAATGTAATTATAACTGTCTTCATAGCGCTTTGCTATGCTTGCTGGGCTCCATGTACCACACATACAATCTCTAATGGCTCATATGGCCATGTTTTATCAAGCTTATCATAAATATGCATTCTTCTTTTTCATTTTTCTTCAAAGCTATTTAAGTACGTGATAAACATGTTGTTAACATTTTATGGTAATTTATACTGCCCTCTGTGGTTTGTATCTGTTATAGGACATGCAAGGTATCTCTTACACATCTAAAACACATATAATTCTCACAACTTCTGTCTTTGGACACATTGGTATGCACATTGCACTATCTGTCAGGTATGTCTACTGACTGGTGGACTTGGAACAGGGTTACTTTAGGTTTCCTGACTTAAAGCTTCCATAGAGCATACATATGACAAGGTAGTTATCCCTACCCAAAAAAGAGAAAAAAATGATTATCTGTTTTTTTTTATGTAATATTTCAAACAGGTATGTCAAGTTCTACAAACAATCACAGCTGTTTGCACTAACAGTACACATCTTTTCATTGTAACCTGAACATACCAGAATAATCAGCTATTGAAACACACTTAGAGACAAGCTGAGATACATTAAAGCCTTGAGGCACAACAATCAACAACAGCTTGAGACTGATTTACTATGACAGGGGTGACAATGGTCAGGGTTCCATGGAAGGGGTCAAAAGAAAAGAAACACCAAAGAATTTTAAAGATCAGAGACAGAATAATAACACTGTGCTTCTATCATTCAAGCGCATTTGACTTAAACATTCAGTATTTGTATAGAAATACAATCTCTTCCTTTTTTTGCACACACAAGGTTTATTCACAAACCACCACATGGGAATTAAACATTATTCTTATCTGAACCCTTGATTCTTTGAAAAATACACCCTTTACTTTTTTTCTAAACACCGCATACAGGTTTAAACTGTTAATGAAAACTTTTGGAAATGTTATTGGAACACATAATACATAGAGAAATTGCATTACAAAACTTGTCTTTTTTTTTTTTTTTTGTCAATAACTTTATATAAAATCACTTTTTCAAAAGCAGACACTTCGGGGTTGGCACCCATCTTACGTACTATTCCAAAAAAAGATTTAAGATTAAGTGGCCCTTCTTAGTTTTATCATTAAGGGCAAAATGCAAGTCGACTACTTGAAATTCTGTATATAATACTGCACCCCCTCTGCTTCCAATAATATCACCACTTATTTGTTTACTCTAGAGCATGCCTTCTCGTTCACCCCCCCCCCCCCCCTCACCATTCCACACACACACACACTCATACACACAAACACACCCACGCATCTTTGACTATTCGGATAATTACAACACATGCATCTGTCACTACTTATATACTGCCATGGATGTTCTGTGGGCGACTTCCCTAAATAACTAAAAGGTAAAAATGCTATGAATATACCATAACGCTGCTGTTCAGTTTCGTGTAGTAGTTTCGGCTGTAGTTTATCCCACCATCACTGGTCATCCTCGAAACTGCGACCCCTGCGATGACCACTCCTCTTTATTACACCGACAAGCCCCTGTGGTCAAAACAATATTGGGACCACTGCCATTTGATCACGGTGTTAGCAGTCGCAATGTGTACTTTGTTTAGAGCCAAATGCCTGTGACCGTGAACAAACACTGCAGCTTGTGCAACTAAACAAAGGACCATTTTCAGAACTACAGAAGCGGCAAACAATAATTTTGAATTATATTACTTACTTTGCGTGTGCGACTGCACTGTGGTGATTAATTCATTGAAAGTATCATTCCTGTTCATATCCTGCAGCAGTATGGAGATGCCTAGACCCTATGAGAACCTTGATAACTAGTGTGTAATCGGGTCACTCCCCGCGGTTTCAGGCCTGCGACACTTGCCACAGCTCGCATTCAAGTCTCCAAATAAGGAAGAGCACTTTTTCTTGTCAATTACTCGATCGAAGTCTGAATTCTTATTAATGCCACATGTAACTTGTCTTTGTGTTGGTGTCATTCACTTCATTCACTTAATACACATGCCTCGAGTTCCATTGTGCCATTTGTCATTCCGTCTGTCATTTGACTTTCATGATGGGTGCTTTCCATTTACCAGTTCAAATTCGATGAGTTTCACAGAGCTATATTTATCTTTACAAAAACTAATAATCTCACAGGGAGGTATGTTTATGATCAGTGTATGTATAATTGGAACTGGGCAACTAAGTAAGGCTCGATAATGTCTCAGAATCATGGAATATTCTCCACCAAAGAATATTTTATTTTGGCCGGTCTGTATTTATAGCTACAGTCATATTTATTTATTTGAAAAGTTTTATTTTATTTTACTTTATACTAGTGTTTTTACACGTACATCTGGGACATAATTGCCATCGAATTAAAAAATGAATGCCCCAATATAAATTAGAAACATTTTACACCGTGTAAAAACAACAGTAAAGAGACTAGTACAGTATATCTGTGGAACCATGGGGTTTTCAGCGATTTTTTATTTATTTATTTATTTGAAAAGTAGATGTTTTCTTTTTGGCATGAATCTACGAAATGAGTCGACCAATATTTTCTCAGAGACCAAGATTATTAAAAAATGTAACTGTGTAGAACTACACTATCAAGTATCCAAAACTGCCGCTGTTTTCGTTATCATAGGGATATTATATTCTCCCTGTGTCTGTTAATGATTGCGTAGGTTTACAGAAAGTCATTCTCAGCATGCAGATTTATACTTCCAATATATCAGTAGGCCCGATTTTTTTTCTTTTTATGTTCTTCTTTTCCTGTCTTTTTCTCAAGATATTGAAGATAGTCTTGCAACAGAAAACATGTTTCATTCCAAATTTCAACTTTTTTTAATCACATGATATCAAAAAAATTCTAATATGAAGGCCCACTAGAATCTTGCAGCAATGGAATATTTTAAGCCGCATACAATACATGCATAGCCGGAATAAATAAGCCACTGTACAGAAATCGAATTGCATTTAATCAGAATGATGAATTTAATTAAATCATAAGACGTCACTTATTCACGAGGGAAATCTTTGAAAATATTGACAAAGATGAAAAATTCCCCTTCAATGGAAGAGACTGTCTGATAAAAAAATAATTTAATAAATCGAAAAGCTGTTCATGTAAATACAAATTCTTTAAGCTAACAATGGGACAAAGGAGGTTTAAAGCCCTCGAGCATGTGAAAATTGCACTCGCACGTGCATTTTTTTTTTTTTTTTTTTTGGGGGGGGGCGCATTTTTGTTGGGTATCATCTAAAAGATATATAGTTGTTATTTGCTTAAAAATAAAAAGGATCACTGCGTGTCTCTTAAAGTACAACAACCTCCTCTTTCTAAATAATCACGCTAATAAGGGCCTATTGATTTATGTACTTTTTTAATCTATAGATTTATCAGTTTAAACATCAGCGTGGAATTAAAAAGAAGCAAACAGATTCTCCCATACACCCAAAAAAATAGGTATAGATCATACTCCCACTTGAGTGTTATACGCTATTCTTCTTCTTAGATTTCATTTGCCCGTGAACCCACCAAGATCGCAATTTCCTGAAACGGCAGTGTTATTGTTCTCGCCTTGATAGGATTGTGCATTGTAAGAGAAGTAAATGAGCTCCGCTACAAAAAGACGCTGTACCTTTGCTCTTGACGCCTTTCGTAGAATGTGATAAGGCTTATTGAATATACTGTTCTTGAATTTCTTTGCAGATTACCTGCTTTATCTTAATAAGCGAGTTAGAAGACAATTGCTCCCAAGTGATTTAAGGTGCGCATTATTTCCAGGTCCAGCATTATTGATAAAACCAGATTAGATATGTTTTCATTTCCTTGTGCAATGTCTCCATCTTAGTAACACAGGTGCCAGTTATGACTGTGTAGGTTTTCATACAGTGCACATGACAATCACGATACCATTGATTTTCCGGGGGAAAAAATGACGCATGCATGTCTTGTTAAAACGAAGGAAATGAAAAGTCGATAAACGTTTCACTTCTTTTGAAAATTCAGATTGTTGCAATCGCTCATCAAAATACCAATTAATTGGTTTTGTATTTTGACAAAACATTAACCTATGTACATGCTGGTTTATTGATCTTCACTTAAAGACCTTAAAAAGTGAAACAGAACGTGCAGCCGGTACTCCTGAGCGTGTAGAGAGTAAACCTTTTCAAACACTAGCCGTCTGTAAATACAGGCATCACTCATTGTCTTCATTGACTTGCGTTATAATGTATTTTTAGAAACCAGTTTTATCCCATTTTTAATTGGGAACCCAAGCTTCTGCTTCAACAAAGCAATTTCTTCAGATAAGAATTGGGATACCATGTGTGATACCACATGTGTCAGGGAAGCCATTGACTCGAAGTTGTCAGGTGAGCTGCCGATGCTACTGTTTGCCAGCAAGCCCAGTCCGCAGCACAATCACTTGGCACAACTGACACATTTTATTGGCAATTGCAAATTTTATTCATTGAAGAATATGAAGAATGGTTACAAATAATAACGATTGGTACAGTACATAGAGGAAGGATTTATCCAAAATGTTGCGAGAGGATACTCTTTGGTGCACTTCTGTAGAAGAATTTGAATGTAATGGCGTAAGCAATGTTGTCATGAACCTTGCTAACAAAAAGCCACAGTGAGACATAAAAGTTAATGAGTCCTCATCCGTTCACACACGGCTGGGACGTTAGTTTGATGGGTCCCAATACGTTATGTGGCTTTTAAGCTGCTGGTGCTTTAAAGTAAAAATTGTGTTTCGGGATGGGAGTGTGCGGGAATGGGCGGGAATGTGCGTAGTCCATGGGATTATGTAGTTTTACCTTTTATTTTGTTTCCGAAAATCTACATTTTAAATGGCAGTGCGCCCCGCAGTGATGTGTTTGTGTTTTTCTAATCTACCATGACCAGGAACATGACAAAAGTCACATCGAAAGATCAAGGTTATTCTTACACAAGGACTAGTGTCATATTTTAGACTTCCATCCTATATACAGAGGTTCTAAGCTGCGTTTTCCGTTATAAATATGGTGTTATGTTCCAAGTCCGACTCTCAATTTCCACGTAGCGTGCATTCCAAAAACTGCTTCACTGAGCGATGTCGTTTTCAAAGGTCTTAATAAAACTAAAGTTAACAATGAAACTGAGGCCCTTAAGTCAAATCTCTAAAAATCCCTTGACCCTCTCAGTGACCGATGTTTTGATATTAAACTCCCATTACATACCGATATTTAGGCTATGTACAATAAAGATCGATGGCCTCCCTTGCCAAACTCCCTACCGTATTGTATTCGTTCCCGAAAAGAAGCAAATAGGAGTGCAGTGTTGTTTATACCCCCTTTACACTGGACGGCGTCCTTTCTGCGTCCTTTCTGCGACCATGAAATTTGGCATCGCTGTGGTCTTAAAAAGGAGGCACGAGCATTAATTTTGTATCAGAATGAATGCTCAATGATCGGCCAGTTGTCGACACGTAAAATATTACAATTTTTTAACTCTCAAATGGGACCGGACTGCTGGACGCAGAAAGGACGCCGTCCAGTGTAAAGGGGGCTTTACCGATATGCTAGGTAAATAGGGTGAGATTTGGAAGCCCTATGACTGTGTCAAGAGAGTAGATAGCGCATACTACTGTACATGTATATAGTGCAGATAACTTAAAATGTTCGTAATCACCTCTTCATATATTACTGTATTTGCCCGTAATTATGCTTCCCACCGAATATGTGCAGGAGCCTTGTAACATATTTACAGGTTACAATTTTGAAGGACTGTCCTTATTCCATATGGAGTTCACAAAAAGTTAATTTTCCGATAGACCAGGACACTATATAATGTTTGGGGGACTACGACAGATATATACGGTCTTATTGCGTGCATGAAGTGATTTTTGATTGTAATATAAAATTTGTTACGAAATATATCAAAGAGTCTGTGTCTTGAACCACGTAAAAATCTGAGCCTTAGACGTGGCTTTACTCTATTTTAAAGTGGACGTCATGAAACGGCGACAGAATCCCAATAGCCGCCCATACCTATAAGGTTCAATTATGTTTAAAACCCACTACTAAAATATTCTTAATCTCAATATCATTTGATACAAATGTACCTAGATACGATGATCATATGGCCACGCACTGTAACAAAAACGTGAGTTGTGCCTTACCACAGATACTGAGTTAACTATTGATAACGTAGCTAATTTCCTCTTCAGTGTTAATTCTCCTCAGTATAATTTCACTTGTTAAGAAAAAAAGTGTTAGAATCTTGCGTGTGATTGCATGCCCCCCCCCCCCCAACACCCATAACATGCCGAATTTTGTCACCTCTTAATTTTTAGATGTTTGTCCGAATATATATATTTTTTATTTATTTATTTTCGTACAAGTTTTATTCTATTACTTCGGCACTAAAACAATAATGACAATCTACAAAAACATTTACAACAGCTATGACTATGTGTGCTCATGTGCTTTATCGGAGCTTATCTTATCACATTTGACAGTTGGTGATTTTTCATGAACCTATGCAGTTATGCGCTGTTTATCGTTGTAAACCTGTTATCCGATATTGGTGTCAGTGAAACGTTTTCTTTCAGTTTCTTTTAATTGGTCACGATTTTTGACGTCTGAATCGTGTTTTGGGAGCAGTCCACAAATTTCTCAAACTTCCGAGTTAACAAGCCAATATATTTTGGACACACATCAGCAGGTTCCTCCGTGACGTCACAATCCTGATCCGTGTGCAGTCTGTTTTTGAGTGAAGTGTAGTTCTACTATTATCCAGGTCACAGTTTACATCACGGCACTACACAAAGAACCTGCTGGAGAGTTAATGTGCTGAAGCTGGTGATAGGATCTTAAACTTACAGCAACATGGAAGCTCGAAAGTTCGTTGTGTGGGACTATGCGGTGTTTGTGGCAGTATTGGTAATCTCGGCGTCCGTCGGAGTATACTTTGCCTTTACCGGTGGCCGGCAGAAAACTAACTCGGAGTTTCTTATGGCCAACAGACAAATGAGCGTGGTTCCCGTTGCTATATCTATGGTGGTTACCATAATCTCAGCCATCACCCTGGTTGGGACCCCAGGAGAAATGTACACATACGGCAATGAACTGTGGCTGTACTCACTTGCAGCGTCACTGGGCTACTTTCTAACTGCTGTGCTATTTGTGCCGCTTTTGTTCCCCTTGAAGTTAACTAGCGCGTACGAGGTGTGTACTGGGACTTGTTCCACTTATATTAAGTGGTCAGGCTATGTGCGCTGTAGGTCTTTCCTTAAGAACGCTTTACTGCTTTATTCTGGTGTTTTATCTGTTTTATACCATGCAGTATTCAGTAGATGTTTTTCAAGACCAACGCACTGCACATGCTGCTATTTGTTTGGGTAGTTTTCCTGAAAAACCCTTTAAGATAGGCCTGCTCAGATGTAGTCACACACCTTTGCTATAAATTGTCAAGGGGCGCAACATACTTTTTGTTAGTTTAGCCTAAGCTCTAGATTTTCTTCTAATGCGTATATAATAGACCCGGTTTATTATATAACTTTTAGACGGTGTTACTAGCGGATTCCGGTGTTAAGGGGATTTTTTTTTTTTTTGGGGGGGGGGCACAAGCCTGATATTAAGAATAAATCTGAAATGGCAAACGAGGACAATTTTATTGTGTGGGGCACAGGGCTTGGTTTCGTCTCATTTCGCTTGCCATACCAATTTTTTTTTGGGAGGGGGGATGGAAGAGATGGCTATTGTGCCCCCTCCTCCTGTATCTGCAATCGGATGTGGATTATTTGTTGGTAAATGTTGGTCTTTTTGGTCTTGCTTTTAAATATTAAGCAGCGATTAACGATGTGTGACTGGGCGAAAATTGAAGGTCTCGCCATGTTTTTCCAATGAAAGCCATGCAACGTAGCCCTAGCTTGTTTTATTAAATTTATGTTAGGAAACGTTTGATAAATGTACGTACTTAATTTCCGTGTAGTTATGCAGCTGAAGCTGCTGATGCTTTTAAGGAAAAATTGTGTTTAGAAATGGGCGTGAATGTGCGTAGTCCATGGAATTATGTAGTTTAACCTCTTATTTTGACTTCCAAAAGTCGAGACTGTGCGTCCCGCAGTGATATGTTTTTATTTGTGTGTTTTTCTAATCTACCAGGAAGTCATATCGAAATATTTGGCAACCTTTTCATGACCTAACTAGTCAAACAAAAATAATTTTTACGTGAAAATTGTTCTTTTTATTTACAATTATTATTTATAAACTTCATGTGCAATATTTTGCTGACCAATGTTTTTGAAATGATTAAATCTTTTTCAGTACTTACAACTGCGGTTTAAGTCAAAGAGCGCCAAACTGGTGGGTTCCTTCATTACCTTAGTGAATGCTGTAAGTACAATATCATTGGAAAACCCTCCTTTAATGATGTTATCGTTTTCTCAACAGTTTGATTATCAGTCAGGGCGGTTGTACAGTGCTCACGTACTTTTTAAAGTGGATAACTAAATACTAAATGATAATCGAGAAAATAGTTTCATTGGATCTATAAATACATGTGTATATCATTATTTAATAAAAATCATTTTGACGATTTTGTCTAGACCTAATCTAGACTTATATAAAGTCTTATAAAAAAACAGTGACCAACTCGAATAGACTAATGAAAGAGGAAATGGTGAGTGAACAAGAAAGAACAATATATCCTATTCCTGAAATCAACCCAAGACCACTGAACAGCATATGTAGGCCTACGTAATGAAAACAACCCCCTGACTACTGTCAATTTATCAAAAAGTCTAGCTGATATATTGACCCCTTTCAAGGAAAAACACAAAGACACGTGCACTTGAAGAATTCCAGGGAATTGGTCAAAATCTTGAAACATTTTTTTTATTTCAAGAGTAAGCAATACAAATCAAGATCTTGAAACATATTAAGGAAGGACAAAATGTCCAAAACTTAAGTGTCTTTTGGTGACACATCCCTATCTTTATTTATTATCACACCAATCGATACAGTACATGGACTTCAGGGATATAAGAAACTGTATTTACTTACCAGTCAGTACACTAACCACTGACAGTTGATGACATCATGGAGTTAGCGGAATTTGTACAGGATTACACACACTCCACTGTCATTATTTATTTGTTTACCACGAAAAATCTTGTGCAGAGATTGGTAGCCATATGTTCCCCCTAATTTATATAACTTATGTAAAGCAAAACGCCATCAGGGCAGCTCCCTTCTCTTAAGCATGAAAAGAACCCATTTTATAGAACTCCAATTTCTACATATTATGATATGTACTATACATATAAATGTGTCAATGCATGAAAGATAGGTTGACATACGGTCAGCTAGCGCGTCCGCGCCGATGCAGGGACACGGAGGCTCTCAATTTTTTTTACTTACTTCTCATTTCCTCTTGTCGCTCACTGCTGGAAAGTCAACCATTTTTGCCGTCGGCAGCGCCGTGAATGCATCTGCTCGTCTACCAGTTATCCCACCGTGAAATAATAGTGTAAAATGAATAAAAAAAGGAAGCACAAAATTGACATGCAGGCCCCACACAAAGCTTAGAATCCTACACGTAAAGGACAAAACAGAAAAACAACGAATATGGGATAGTTTTTGAAATAGATTTGTAGCAGTTTTTATCAAGTTTATGTTGGATGGACGTACAGAAAATTACTAAAATGATAAGAAGAACAAGGAAAAGATGTGTGTGTGGGGAGCGGATACAAATGAGGAAGTCAACATGTGCTTTAAAAAGATTGGATTCCACTGAGATTTTACATAACTCGGCAGTTACAGACAATGCCATGTGCCAAAATTGAATGAGCCTAAAATCTTAGCAGGAGACAAACTTTCAAAAGGAATAGTCTTGGAGGCCATATGGATACGCAGAAAAACAACCATGAATGAAACCAAGGGATTTACAACCCTTCACACATGTATACGTTAATGTTATCAATCCCACCGCGACAGTAACAGCAAAAGGGGGAAAAGGTATATCCTGAAGAGGTACGAGTATTGCGAATAAAAAGATGATGTACTCAATTCTTTCTAACACTTTATAGTGAATGGAAATTACCGGCAGCTTCAGCCGTGAATGAGCCTAAATGAGGTCCAGACAAAACCATCAACGGGATTTGAATAAAGGTTGTCATGATGATGATGAGTACAACTGATAACTGCAAGGAATGATTTTTTGGCGGGTTGACACAAAGGCCTACGAGTATCAGATCGTTAATATCTGATACATTTTTAATATTGTGAAAACCTAAACCTTGAATAGATCGTTACGGATTCCAGATATCAAGAAGATTGAGGGGCGTCCCTTAACCCCACCCACTTACACACACATACACACACACACTCAAAGTGGGTCGCCTCGGTGGAATACCGTACGTGACGCTTTGGCACCGTTTCCTTTCGTGCACGCATCAACGTACACTGTATATGATATAGAAAATCATTGCTACACAGCAGCACCAGACTTGTAATAATTGTTGATTTGATAACCTCACTACTGTTCTTTGTCATTTTTTAGATCCTATACATGGGTGTAGCTATGTACGCACCGGCAACGGCCATGGAAATAGGTAACCAAGCATTTCAATTGTTAAAGACAATCTGTTGCATGTTCTGAATAAAAGTGCCAAATGCTTGAATAAATTTAACTTGAAGTTAACGTCTGAAATCGGTTGAGGGAATCTGTATCTACATTTCGATCCAGTATACGAATTAAGTTCGAGAAAACCTGTCAAGCTGTTATATGAAGATTCTTAGGCTGAAAATATTTGCTCTCTGTTATCTTGAAAAGCCAAACGAGGTATTAAACTGAAGTGTACTTGTGTTTAGAATTCTTATCATGTTGTGCAATATCGTATAAATGTTTTTTAACTTTTTCAGTGACTGGGTCGCCTTACTGGGTTACTTTGATCTTAACGTTTGTAGTCTCTTCATTTTATTCCGCACTGGTAAGGATTTAATATGTATTTAGCTCGTGATTTCCATTATTTCATTCTTTGCTGGCATTTTGTACACATACCTAAAATCTTAATTTTTATGTGCTACATCAAGCCTGTAATTCTTTCCCTGTCAACAAGAAAAATGGTTGCACAAGTTCAGGTCATACAAAACGCTGCATCCATTAATCGAATTTAACATTTAGTGGCATTTGAAGCAGTAACTTAACCTTTTGAGTACTACCTTCTTTGCTGCACTTATTTATATGGACCACGTCCGTAGCCCCAAAAATATTATTAAAATGCAGCTTTTATATGCTACAGTGTGCACCTGTAAGTTACAGTGCTGATGCACTAATACTTTGGCAATGCGGTAGATGTTCACTTTCCTCTACCAGGGCCACAGATTGACTTTTCACAGGATATTCACAGATATGTATTTAGATAAATAGACGGTCATTTTGCTAACTATGAGTTTTCCCATTTCCCTATATAATCTGCCACCCTTTTAGAGGGTAGATGTTCACAGTGTGTGATAATGTGTTAGATTTCATGCCAGGCTTATGATTTTGTCATTCTTTCCTTCAGGGTGGCATTAAAGCCGTGATATGGGTTGATGCTCTTCAATCCTTCATCATGTTAGCCGGCGTCATTGCCATTTTAATTAAGGTAAGTTGTTCAACATTCCATTTTTAGCGATAATTATGGCACGCTATGTCATAATTCAGATTTATTGCCCGCTAGCTTTATTTATTTCAATTTGTGTTAAATTGATGAAGGTTATATGTAATGATTGCGCTACTTAGAGGTCCCCTAAAAACTTTATCAGCATGACAACAACCGCAAAAAAAGTAATAATTTAAATTGGTTTTAGGGCAGCATAGAAGTCGGAGGTTTTGATAAAGTATGGGAGATTAACGACATGCATAATCGGGTGGAGCCTTTACAGTAAGTATGCGTTTGCTGCGAGACTTCGTGATACAGTTGGCTTCGTAGAAGTCGGTCCATAAAAACTAAATTGCTATTTGTGACTTGGAACCGTGAATTGGAAGTTCGATCGCTGAATTGCTTAATTATTGAATTTGAACCGCGACATTTTTCATGTTCCGTTTGTACAAAAACTGACTGCGAACATCGCTTCATATAGGCTACTTCGAACCACCAGCTCCCTCACCTGCCCATTTCACATTTTCCGTTTGTACGGGAGATTTTGGACAGGGCATAGATCGACCGCGGTAACGACTATTATTTCCCTCTCAAATTCTGCCAATATTGCCTGATTCACTTTACTGGGTCTTGGCGTAGAGTCAAGTGGGCTGTGTTACATGGTCTACAGTATGAAAAACAGGTTCATGCAGACGTGTTGTTACATGTGTTTTAGAGTAAGACGCTTTACAAAAGTAATATTATTCCAATACTACCAGTTATCAAGCCCCACTCTCAAAAAAGTTTTAAAAAATAGAATAAATAACCAGATAAATAACTGATAAATAAAGTAAATTGAATAATTAATAGAGAGAATAGAGGAAACAGGAATAAGATTGAACTAATGTGTTCAGCGAGTCATAGATATTTCTTACAATCTCTGTACTGACTCTTGAATTTTGTCATTTATCTTTAACTGGGAAGCGGATGAAATTGAAGACTGAAGGTCTTGGTATTGAGCTATATTTTTTAGTCGGTAAAATATTGTTACAAACGTGGCAATAGAATTTTCATAAATATATGTTTTTTTAGACCAGCATTAAATTGGGACTACAACTGAAAAGACAGAATGAATGAAATACTGTTTTTTTCCTATTCATGTGTCAACAGCTGAAAGGCATGCTTGTTACTACCTGTAATCTGGTGTCTTTATAGCGTCAACATTTTCCGTATGTCTACTGAAATAATGGGGGCAGTCACCTGTTGAGATTTTGAAGGCCAAAAGGAGCGTTTTGAAAACTGTAGATCAAATAAACAGCCTGTGTTAAGCGTAAAAAACTAGGACAATAAGCTAACGTCCTTGTTTTGCTTATCAATCAGTTGACGGTTGCGTTTTAAGAAGTCTGACCGTCGGTGTACGTGGATCGACCCAACTCTGCGTGGCCTCTCGATGAGTGCAACCAGCTTAACTGGATGACATGCCTCCTTTTGTTTCCAACGCACACGTATAATCAGCAGGTTTTCTGTATTCTGTATTCTACTTAACGCCAGGAGGAGGCGTGTTAATATGTTAAACTGATTACATTTAACGAGAGTCCCTGCGAAGTTGGGTCGATCCACGTGGACCAATGGTGTCGACGAGAATAGGGCTTTATTAGCCTGGAGCAGATAGTACGGGATTCCGTATAGTCGAGATGAAATGAAACAAAAACCTTACATACCTCGACCTGTATAGTATCAGTAATTTTGTTTGTTTTTTTCCATGAGTGGACGTATTTTATTCGTCTGTCCTAACATGCAATGTGCCAATAGCAATTTTCATCTGTTATTAACTTGGGCAATTACAGGTCACCCGTAAGTTTTTCGCTGTGATTGTCGTACCTTAAGGTTTTCAAATTCCAATCCACCATTTATGAAGAGAGGCTGAATTGTCAAAATTAAAAACCGAAGGGATCGAATGAAACCATTTTAGATGATCATTTGCAGGGTTAGCCCCTATTGCGGACCCAGGGGCCATTTATGTGTACACCGGCAGTAGGCTATTCCTCTTTCAGTTTTTTTTTCTTTTTTTGCTTCCAAACTGGTTACAGTATTTTAATTCACAAATAAGACCGTTTTGAAATAATGTGATATGCACCTAACCATATAGCAAAGGTAATAAAATAAAAGAGGTGGCATTGTTATAAATGTATATCTTTACATCAATTTCTTCCACTATTCTTCATTATATCGTTGCTAACTGCGTTTACGTGTTCATGTAATTTTAAAGATGCTCTATTTCCTCCGTAGCCTTGACCCCAACCCTCTCATCCGCCACACATTCTGGACCATCGTGGTGGGCGGCATGGTGGACATACTGGCCAGAACTGGGGTCTACCAGGCGGCGGTACAGAGATACTGCTCAGTGCCAACACTCACCAAGGCTAAAGTGTAAGTACGTGGATTATACCAAAAATGAGCATTACATTCTTGATTCTATCAAGGAAAAAGATCAAGACAGAGACCCACAAAACAGGACAGAGGAGGACACATCCCTGAATTGCGGTTTGTTGGGTTCAGCGGAGTTTAAATACACGCATGTGTATGTAAAATGGAAATTCGTGGTTACGACACTTTTATTCTCATTACGACTACGTGACTTTCTCAACGAATTAAGTGCAATTTGTAATGACGATTTTCCTTTCGTTATCACTTTTTTCTTCTAAGTAAGACTTTTTGAAACAAAAAACTCATCATAACGAGAAACCGTGTGTTTAATATTTTGAATGCGTGAAAATGTGAGGTTGACTTTAAAAAACTGGAAGAAAAATGGGAAGGCATTAATACTGAAGGCATTAATACTAATTTTTACGTTCACCTTGCTTTTGTTATTTAAATATTCTTCATCGGTTTCTTCCTTTTTTTAGCACTACCCTGATGAACGCACCTATTATAACCATCATTTGGTCGCTAACCTGTATGGTCGGGATGACCATGTTTGCTTATTACTCCCAGAAAGGATGCGATCCACTGGCAGCAGGATACGTGTCTAACCCAAATCAGGTAAAATATGCCATACATCATATTATCAGGAAATTTTCTATCTTTGAGAAACAGTTTCCTTTTTGTAGCAATTATGTCTTTTTTCTTGATTTATTCAAAATAGTCATTTTTTTGATGTTCAAATAAAGGCATGTTCTTTAGGTTCAAATCTGTCTGTCTATCTATCTATCATTTAACTTAGTGCTCACCACGGACTCTCCTAAAAAACTATATATATATATATATATATATATATATATATATATATATATATATATATAGTTTGTGTCTTCTACACTGGACCGAGTTCGAGGTTGGTTAAAAGTTTTGTTTAGAATCGGTGACAACAACTTGTACANGTTTATTTGTGTGTTTTTCTAATCTACCAAGAATTCATATCGAAATATTTGGCAACCTTTTCATGACCTAACTAGTCAAACAAAAATAATTTTTACGTGAAAATTGTTCTTTTTATTTACAATTATTATTTATAAACTTCATGTGCAATATTTTGCTGACCAATGTTTTTGAAATGATTAAATCTTTTTCAGTACTTACAACTGCGGTTTAAGTCAAAGAGCGCCAAACTGGTGGGTTCCTTCATTACCTTAGTGAATGCTGTAAGTACAATATCATTGGAAAACCCTCCTTCAATGATGTTATCGTTTTCTCAACAGTTTGATTATCAGTCAGGGCGGTTGTACAGTGCTCACGTACTTTTTAAAGTGGATAACTAAATACTAAATCATAATCGAGAAAATAGTTTCATTGGATCTATAAATACATGTGTATATCATTATTTAATAAAAATCATTTTGACGATTTTGTCTAGACCTAATCTAGACTTATATAAAGTCTTATAAAAAAACAGTGACCAACTCGAATAGACTAATGAAAGAGGAAATGGTGAGTGAACAAGAAAGAACAATATATCCTATTCCTGAAATCAACCCAAGACCACTGAGCAATGAAAACAACCCCCTGACTACTATCAATTTATCAAAAAGTCTAGCTGATATATTGACCCCTTTCAAGGAAAAACACAAAGACACGTGCACTTGAAGAATTCCAGGGAATTGGTCAAAATCTTGAAACATTTTTTTTTATTTCAAGAGTAAGCAATACAAATCAAGATCTTGAAACATATTAAGGAAGGACAAAATGAAACTTAAGTGTCTTTTGGTGACACATCCCTATCTTTATTTATTATCACACCAATCGATACAGTACATGGACTTCAGGGATATAAGAAACTGTATTTACTTACCAGTCAGTACACTAACCACTGACAGTTGATGACATCATGGAGTTAGCGGAATTTGTACAGGATTACACACACTCCACTGTCATTATTTATTTGTTTACCACGAAAAATCTTGTGCAGAGATTGGTAGCCATATGTTCCCCCTGATTTATATAACTTATGTAAAGCAAAACGCCATCAGGGCAGCTCCCTTCTCTTAAGCATGAAAAGAACCCATTTTATAGAACTCCAATTTCTACATATTATGATATGTACTATACATATAAATGTGTCAATGCATGAAAGATAGGTTGACATACGGTCAGCTAGCGCGTCCGCGCCGATGCAGGGACACGGAGGCTCTCAATTTTTTTTTTACTTACCTCTCATTTCCTCTTGTCGCTCACTGCAGGAAAGTCAACCATTTTTGCCGTCGGCAGCGCCGTGAATACATCTGCTCGTCTACCAGTATTCCCACCGTGAAATAATAGTGTAATATGAATAAAAAAAGGAAGCACAAAATTGACATTCAGGCCCCACACAAAGCTTAGAATCCTACACGTAAAGGACAAAATAGAAAAACAACAACGAATGCGGGATAGTTTTTGAAATAGATTTGTAGCAGTTTTTATCAAGTTTATGTTGGATGGACGTACAGAAAATTACTAAAATGATAAGAAGAACAAGGAAAAGATGTGTGTGTGGGGAGCGGATACAAATGAGGAAGTCAACATGTGCTTTAAAAAGATTGGATTCCACTGAGATTTTACATAACTCGGCAGTTACAGACAATGCCATGTGCCAAAATGAATGAGCCGAAAATCTTAGCAGGAGACAAACTTTCAAAAGGAATAGTATTGGAAGCCATATGGATACGCAGAAAAACAACCATGAATGAAACCAAGGGATTCACAACTACCTTCACACATGTATGTTAATATTATCAATCCCACCGCGACAGTAACAGCAAAAGGGTATATCCTGAAGAGGTACGAGTATTGCGAATAAAAAGATGATGTACTCACTCTCTTCTAACACTTTAGAGTGAATGGAAATTACCGGCAGCTTCAGTCGTGAATGAGCCTAGATGAGGTCCAGACAAAACCATCAACTGGATTTGAATAAAGGATGTCATGATGATGAGTACAACTGATAACTGCAAGGAATGATTTTTTGGGGGGTTGACACAAAGGCCTACGAGTATCAGATCGTTAATATCTGATACATTTTTAATATTGTGAAAACGTAAACGTTGCCTAGATCGTTACAGACAGATTCCAGATATCAAGTAGATTGAGGGGCGTCCCTTAACCCCACCCACTTACACACACATACACACACACTCAAAGTGGGTCGCCTCGGTGGAATACCGTACGCGACGCTTTGGCACCACGCACCGTTTCCTTTCGTGCACGCATCAACGTACACTGTATATGATATAGAAAATCATTGCTACACAGCGGCACCAGACTTGTTATAATTGTTGATTTGATAACCGCACTACTGTTCTTTGTCTTTTTTTAGATCCTATACATGGGTGTAGCTATGTACGCACCGGCAACGGCCATGGAAATAGGTAATCAAGCATTTCAATTGTTAAAGACAATCTGTTGCATGTTCTGAATAAAAGTGCCAAATGCTTGAATAAATTTAACTTGAAGTTAACGTCTGAAATCGGTTGAGGGAATTTTAAAATGTTGTACTTTCTGTATCTACGTTTCGATCCAGTATACGAATTAAGTTCGAGAAAACCTGTCAAGCTGTTATATGAAGATTCTTAGGCTGAAAATATTTGCTCTCTGTTATCTTGAAAAGCCAAACGAGGTATTAAAGTGAAGTGTACTTGTGTTTAGAATTCTTATCATGTTGTGCAATATCGTATAAATGTTTTTAAACTTTTTTCAGTGACTGGGTCGCCTTACTGGGTTACTTTGATCTTAACGTTTGTAGTCTCCTCATTTTATTCCGCACTGGTAAGGATTTAATATGTATTTAGCTCGTGATTTCCATTATTTCATTCTTTGCTCGCATTTTGTACACATACCTAAAATCTTAATTTTTATGTGCTACATCAAGCCTGTAATTCTTTCCCTGTCAACAAGAAAAATGGTAACACAAGTTCAGGTCATACAAAACGCTGCATCCATTAATCGAATTTAACATTTAGTGGCATTTGAAGCAGTAACTTAACCTTTTGAGTACTACCTTCTATGCTGCACTTATTTATATGGACTACGTCCGTAGCCCCAAAAATATTATTAAAATGCAGCTTTTATATGCTACAGTGTGCACCTGTAAGTTACAGTGTTGATGCACTAATACTTTGGGCATGCGGTAGATGTTCAATACCCTCTACCAGGGCCACAGTTTGACTTTTCACAGGATATTCACAGATGTGTATATGTAGATAAATAGACGGTCATTTTACTAACTATGAGTTTTCCCATTTCCCTATATAATCTGCCACCCTTGTAGATGTTCACAGTGTGTGATAATGTGTTAGATTTGATGCCAGGCTTATGATTTTGTCATTCTTTCCTTCAGGGTGGCATTAAAGCCGTGATATGGGTTGATGCTCTTCAATCCTTCATCATGTTAGCCGGCGTCATTGCCATTTTAATTAAGGTAAGTTGTTCAACATTCCATTTTTAGCGATAATTATGGCACTCGACATGTCGTAATTCAGATTTATTGCCCGCTAGCTTTATTTATTTCAATTTGTGTTAAATTGATGAAGGTAATATGTAATGATTGCGCTACTTAGAGGTCTCCTAAAAACTTTATCAGCATGACAACAACCGCAAAAAAAGTAATAATTTAAATTGGTTTTAGGGCAGCATAGAAGTAGGAGGTTTTGATAAAGTATGGGAGATTAACGACATGCATAATCGGGTGGAGCCTTTACAGTAAGTATGCGTTTGCTGTGAGATTTCGTGATACGCCTGGCCTCGTAGAAGTCGGTCCATAAAAACTAAATTGCTGTTTGTGACTTGGAACCGTGAATTGGAAGTTCGATCGCTGAATTGCTTAATTATTGACGCGACATTTTTCATGTTCCGTTTGTACAAAAACTGACTGCGAACATCGCTTCATATACTTCGAACCACAAGCTCCCTCATCTGCCCATTTCACATTTTCCGTTCGTGCGGGAGATTTTGGACAGGGCATAGATCGACCGCGGTAACGACTATTATATCCCTCTCAAATTCTGCCAATATTGCCTGATTCACTTTACTGGGTCTTGGCGTAGAGTCAAGTTGGCTGTGTTACATGGTCTACAGTATGAAAAACAGGTTCATGCAGACATGTTGTTACATGTGTTTTAGGCTTCGTTCACATGCAATGTCTATTTTCTAAATTCTATTTTCTATTTGCGGTATGTCTTATGATCATGGTCTGTGCCCTGAATATCCCGCGGCGTAATTACTGGCAGCGCGAGCCAGTTACTATAAGTTACTATAAGTAACTGGCTCGCGCTGCCAGTAATTACGCGGCGGGATATTCAGGGCGCTTTACAAAAGTAATATTATTCCAATACTACCAGTTATCAAGCCCCACTCTCAAATAAGTAAAAAAAAAGAATTAATAACCAGATAAATAACTGACAAATAAAGTAAATGGAATAATTAAAAGAGAGAATAGAGGAAACAGGAATAAGATTGAACTAATGTGTTCAGCGAGTCATAGATATTTCTTACAATCTCTGTACTGACTCCTGAATTTTGTCATTTATCTTTAACTGGGAAGCGGATGAAATTGAAGACTGAAGGTCTTGGTATTGAGCTATATTTTTTAGTCGGTAAAATATTGTTACAAACGTGGCAATAGAATTTTCATAAATATATGTTTTTTAGATCAAACGGAAATCGTTGATGATATATTTACTGAAAGAAAGTGTTGTTTTCAAGTTTCCTTAAAGGCATCGAGCATGTTGCTGGAAACGATTTTCAGCATTAAATTGGGACTACAACTGAAAAGACAGAATGAATGAAATACTGTTTTTTTTTCCTGTTCGTGTGTCAACAGCTGAAAGGCATGCTTGTTACTACCTGTAATCTGGTGTCTTTATAGCGTCAACATTTTCCGTATGTCTACTGAAATAATGGGGGCAGTCACCTGTTGAGATTTTGAAGGCCAAAAGGAGCGTTTTGAAAACTGTAGATCAAATAAACAGCCTGTGTTAAGCGTAAAAAACTAGGACAATAAGCTAACGTCCTCGTTTTGCTTATCAATCAGTTGACGGTTGCGTTTTAAGAAGTCTGACCGTCGGTGTAAGTGGATCGACCCAACTCTGCGTGGCCTCTCGTTGAGTGCAACCAGCTTAACTGGATGACATGCCTCCTGTTTCCAACGCACACGTATAATCAGCAGGTTTTCTGTATTCTGTTTTCTACTTAACGCCAGGAGGAGGCGTGTTAATATGTTAAACTGATTACATTTAACGAGAGTCCCTGCGAAGTTGGGTCGATCCACGTGGACCAATGGTGTCGACGAGAATAGGGCTTTATTAGCCTGGAGCAGATAGTACGAGATTCCGTGTAGTCGAGTTGAAATGTAACACCTTACCTTATATACCTCAACCTATATATTATCGGTAATTTTGTTTGGTTTTTGTCCTTGAGTGGAGGAATTGGTCTGTCCTAACATGCAATGTGGCAATTGCAATTTTCATCTGTTATTAACTTGGGCAATTGAAGGTCACCCGTACGTTTTTCGCTGTGATTGCCGTACCTTAACGTTTTCAAATTCCAATCCACCATTTATGAAGAGAGGCTGATTGTCAAAATTATAAACGAAGGGATCGAATAAAACCATTTTAGATGATCATTTGCAGGGTTAGCCTCTATGGCGGACCCAGGGGCCATTTATGTGTACACCGGCAGTATTTGTCTTTAAGTTTTTTTTTTTTTTTTTTTTTTTTCTTTTTTTTTTTTTGTTTCCAAACTGGTTACAGTATTTTAATTCACAAATAAGACCGTTTTGAAATAATGTGATATGCACCTAACCATATAGCGAAAGTAGTAAAATATAAGAGATGGCATTGTTATGAATGTATATCTTTACATCAATTTCTTCCACTATTCTTCAATTTATCTTCGCTATCTGCGTTGACGTGTTCATGTAATTTTAAAGATGCTCTATTTCCTCCGTAGCCTTGACCCCAACCCTCTCATCCGCCACACATTCTGGACCATCGTGGTGGGCGGCATGGTGGACATTCTGGCCAGAACTGGGGTCTACCAGGCCGCCGTACAGAGATACTGCTCAGTGCCAACACTCACCAAGGCAAAAGTGTAAGTACGTGGATTATACCAAAAGTGAGCATTACATTCTTGATTCTATCAAGGAAAAAGATCAAGACAGAGACCCACAAAACAGGACAGAGGAGGACACATCCCTGAATTGCGGTTTGTTGGGTTCAGCGGAGTTTAAATACACGCACGTGTATGTAAAATGGAAATTCGTGGTTACGACACTTTTATTCTCATTACGACTACGTGACTTTCTCAACGAATTAAGTGGAATTCGTAATGACGATTTTCCTTTCGTTATCACTTTTTTCTTCTAAGTAAGACTTTTTGAAACAAAAACTCATCATAAAAGGAGAAACCGTGTGTTTAATATTTTGAATGCGTGAAAATGTCAGGTTGACTTTAAAAAACTGGAAGAGAAATGGGAAGGCATTAATACTAATTTTTACGTTCACCTTGCTTTTGTTATTTAAATATTCTTCGTCGGTTTCTTCATTTTTTTAGCACTACCCTGATGAACGCACCTATTATAACCATCATTTGGTCGCTAACCTGTATGGTTGGGATGACCATGTTTGCTTATTACTCCCAGAAAGGATGCGACCCACTGGCAGCAGGATACGTGTCTAACCCAAATCAGGTAAAATATGCCATACATCATATTATCAGGAAATTTTCTATCTTTGAGAAACAGTTTCCTTTTTGTAGCAATTATGTCTTTTTTCTTGATTTATTCAAAATAGGCATTTTTTTTTAATGTTCAAATAAAGGCATGTTCTTTAGGTTCAAATCTGTCTGTCTGTCTATCTATCTATCATTTAACTTTGTGCTCACCACGGACTCTCCTAAAAAACTATATATATATATATATATATAATGTAACTATATATATAACTATATATATATATATATATATATATATATATATATATAGTTTGTGTCTTCTACACTGGACCGAGTTCGAGGTTGGTTAAAAGTTTTGTTTAGACTCGGTGACAACAATTTGTATTTGCCAACCAAACCATAAAATCTTTGTTTTGGCCGTTTTGTTGGTGGTAAAATAGAATTTATTATATTTACAATGCATTTATTGTGGCATATGGATCTCATATGAAGAGTTAACCCTGGAAGCGTGAGCAGGTTTTAAATATTGCATTTTTTTACCGCCTAATCGTGGGTTTAAATTTGTTTACAGTTGATCATGTATTTCCTGATGGATATCTTGTACTATCCCGGTGTTCCTGGTTTGTTTGTTGGTAGCGTAATGAGTGCAGTGTTAAGGTAAGCAGCCTTTTAGTTTTTTAAAAATTCAATTTAATTTAGTTACAGTTTTAATTACGATTTGCCCCTCAACATTCAGGAATATTCTATCATTTGGCGTGCATTTCTTAACTGGTGATATAGAAAAGGGATGTTCCTTCGTAATGGCAAGATTTTAAGAAACGAAAAGTGTCTTTTTTTTTTTTTTTTTTTTTGAGGACAGCAATTTATGAATCACTAATATATATATATATATATATATTTTACTTAAAAATGAATAATTCATCCTTTTTGGAGTCTTGTTCATGATTTCTTCTGAATCTCATCTTGACTTGAGAAAACTAAAACTAAAACTGATCTGATTGGCAATCCCTACCCACTGTAGAGTCTAACATAACCGAGAGAGAGCACCTCTTCTCATGTTTATCACGATACCCCTCCCACTTATTATTATTATTATTATTATTATTATTATTATTATTATTATTATTCCTGTTTGAATAAGACTATATGAAATTGAAAAGAAACCGTCAAGAAGATTCCCAAAAGTATGGATCGGACGCAATTATCTTCTCTTTTTTTTTCGTTTGTATTAAAACATTAAAACATGTTTATTTCTTCAGCACAATCTCGTCCATACAGAGTGCGGCAGCAGCCATATTTTGGGAAGATTGGCTGAAGGGATTTTTCAAGAAAATGCCTGCAGAAAAACAAACAATGATCACGAAAGGATTAGGTACATATTTTGTTTGATAATACTTCAATGACCTTATGATTCTGTTTTTATTATTATTTTTTTTTCGTAAGAAAATATACTGAAACATGGGACTTGACAGTTGGTAATCTACCATATTTTTGTTCACTTATCAATTTATTTTTAGTTGTGTTATTTGGAGCAGCTGGAACTGGATTGGCTTTTTTCATGGCGACCGTAGGAGGCACTGTTATTCAGGTACGCTAGGTGACAGTGTTTGCCATGAAATTGCGAAAGCCATCGTTTATTTCCGAAAGAGGTAGACGTTTTAGAACACGATCTCGAGTATCGCAAAACACAACATATTGCATACTTTTTCTCAAATAATTCTTCGCGGCGAGGAAGTTGGGGGGAAAGGGACGGGGGTGGTAAAATTGCCCTCCTTCCTTGGAATTTTGGATTCGACAGTAACAAAAAGAGCGACACTGGAAATTTAATGTTTTGAAAATCCTTCAATGATGCCATTTTAAGAAAGAGATTCTTATTATTAATATATCCAGCATGACCCACAAAATAAAAGAGGGGAGAACCAACATATTTTAACTTTTTTAATATTTACATATTGTGTTTATTAATGTATTTATATTATTATAATTATTTGTTACTGATAATTTGGTCTTTTAAGTTTTTTGATTTTGGCATTTTTAATCTCCCTGTCCTTTAGGTACGTGCATTTGATTCTTTTCAATAATTTAATAAGAAACATTGATTTTTTTTTACTTCTGAGGAATGAACCACCCGATCATTGATAAGCATTAATATTCTTTTTACATGGAAATTTTTTGTTGAATGGGGCCTTTTACAACTGGATAACCTCTGAACATATGTACATGGAGAAACCGGTCATGGCATTTTAGCAAAAAATCAAATAAAAAGGGGTAAGGAAGACTTCAAAAATGCCGAGAACGGCCTATTTAATCAAACAGAAAGCAATGTGTTTCAAGGGATATATTTTTCTATTTAAGGTTGGTTTAGCTTTCATCGGGGCATCCGTGGGACCGCTTCTAGGATTGTTTTTGCTTGGTTCAGTGTTTCCTTGGTCAAACTGGATAGTAAGTAAAGTGTACTACATGCTACCCTGTACCAGGGCGAGTGATAGATTTTTTTACAGATATTCACAGATATGTCTCTAGATAGATAGATAGATAGTCATTTACAGCTGAACTGGGTTTAGCTGAAAATGACCATCTATCTAGCTAGAGACATATCTGTGAATATCTGTAAAAAATCTATCACTCACCCTGGTAGAGGGTAACTACATGCTTTCGATTACATTTATGTAATTTGTGAAATAAATATTTTAAGGGAGAGAAGCCCTCATTTTAAGAACACGTAAAAACATGGTTGTTATAATCAGTTTATATTTTCACTTTCATTTCTTTTAGTATAAGACCGGTTATCAACACTTTTATTTTCAAAGTCAGTTTTATGTGACCATATTAAACGAATATTTCACTAGGGCGCCATAGTCGGGGGTTTGACGGGTCTAGCGTTCCCGTTATGGATCAGCTTTGGTTCATTGATTAATAAGCCACCAGTGAACTATCTACCCACTGACATCACGAACTGCACAAATTACCTGAATATCACTGCGAAGTGGGCCTCCACGACTCCCGTACCCACGATAGCCAGGTGAGAGACAAAAGATTTACACATTCTGTAATTATGTTTTCAAAGAAATAAATGAATAATATCGCCCAAAACAGTTGTTTTGTTAGCACAACTGTAGCTAGAAATGATAAATCTTGGAAAAAGTAAAATAATGGAATGTGTTAGGTGTTTAAATTGAGTTTTAATTTTTTTTAGAGTAAGTTACCCAGCCTACCCAACTACCAGACTCGGCACCGAATGATCCCGAATTTACCGGTAGATCGGACCACACTCCCCGTTTTCAAGCACGCAATTCGCAGTACCAGTATCATACCCGGAACAAATTTTGAGCTGAGATGCACTACTTTCCAACCCCGCTGAGAATCATCACTATCACACTTATCACACCGTGTACTAGGCAAGGTCGGTGTCGCGTCTGATACCTTGAAAACGGGTAGTGTGGTCCGATCTACTGGTGAATTCAGGATCATTTGGTGCCGAGTCTGGTAGTTGGGTAGCCTCCCCCCCCCCACCCCCCACACACACAACCATGGATTCTACAACCATGTTTGCCTGTCAAATGATTTAAGTTATTTGTGAGCTGCAATGCATTTTGTTTTTGCGTAGTACATGCACATTACGGATGAGATGTTTGTTGAAGCGCCGTATTTGTTTCTGTTTCAGTGAGGGTTTGAACGGTCTTTATAGTATCTCTTACCAATACAATGGCTGCATTGGCATGGCAACCGTCGTCGTGGTGGGACTTATTGTCAGTTTTATAACAGGTAACATATCAAGTAACACTAATTTGACAGACAAATTTAACGTCATTTCCTTGGAATAAAAATGAATTATAATAATAATAATAATGATAACTGACAGTCACTGATGCAAGAGAACTGTTACAGTTTAAAGGTACATACGAACCGAGCATCGGTGAAGCGTGGGTTCCCAGTAACACCTGTAAACCACTTCTACTGAATTTTTATATGACTCAAATAAATTTGACATGCCTAGGGATAAACTGAATAGATCACTCGATCAGCCATAAAAGACCTTTAGACTGCTCCTTTCTTTAAATTTATGGTTGTAAATTTAACCTACATTCGTGACCTACTTTCCTGCCCCATTGACATACAGCTTAGAATGCCAGCAGAAAAAATCCGTTCAAACATCATTTTTGGGTAAAATTAAACAATGTCTTTTGGTAATTCTCTTAGTTATACTACTTGAGACTATATGCTGACATTTGGTTGGTTTTTATGACAAAAAATTGACTTTGTATGCATCTTTAACCTGGCAATTTTTATTATCTTTTTTTGAGTACCTTTGTGTTTTCTTCTATTTCTTCCTTCATATTTTTTCTTTCATTATGTTTGCTCTTTATCTCCAACTTAAAAATCAGGCGCAGAAAAGATCGAAGACGCAGACCCTAAACTTATGATGCCGATATTTGATTGGTTGTTCTGTTGCTTGCCAAGGAAATGCTCTCGTGCCCTTAGCTGTGGTATTGACTACGATAAAACAAAGGTAGGAATTCGATCATTACCTCTTGGCGTATTGTGCTCAGGGTGGATTTATGTAGCCATGCTTTGCTTATATTAAGGGATCATCCATTCTCATCATCATTTTCACAAGTCAACAAACCGTACGCTGGAAGGGGAGGAGGAGAGGGGGTTAAAGCCAACTGTACGCTTTTGAAAAAATAAAGAAAAATGATGTTCCAAATGCTGTCAAAGGTAATCATTTTTAGCTTTTCACAATGTAATCTGTGAAAGAATGGGGGAGGTGTGGAAAAATCCTACGCTCTGTAGACTTGTGAAAATGAGGATAAATATGCATGACCCGTTATATTTGATATGTGCATCTTAGCCCATAAACGTAATAACGAAATTTTGTCCATGGGGATGTTAACTGAAAGGAGGGCCGTTAGAGCTGCCTTGCCTAGCTACATGGGGGTACAGTATGTCGATAAGAATAAGGACAGTCGAGTTACTGTTATACAGCCAAACACATGTCTTGGCATTTCGTCATTTTCTTTGCTATTAATATCGCCATTGACGTGTAGGCTACACACCTCGTTTAAAACATGGATGGAAAAATGTATCATTTTATGTTCTCTAACTTTTGAGAATGATTCTTGGATTAAAATGAGTCATGGATTAAAAAAAATTGTTGTTTTTTGTTTTTCACGCATTGACATTTTAAGGTGTGATTTGCATTGAACCCCCTAACCCAATGCTAGTTACATTTTCTGAATGCCTTCAGTTAAAGTGCTTACATAATAAAAAAATTGGTTATTATTACGCTGTTTAAATTATGTAATATTACATCAAATATGACAAAGAAATGACATTAATATTTCGTGCACTTAATATTTAGATTGGTTGTTCATCGCTTGTAGATTGTTTAAATGTAACTGCTTCTATCAGTTCTGACATTTACCATTGTGTATGTATTTCGATTTGGCAGCTTTGTTGCATTGTTGAAATACCCGTGTGCCTTGAACTCTTGCAGGAAATGAGGAAGAAAGGCGAGGATTTCTTTCCCCCTGAGAGTGACGAGTTTGTTGAGAAAGAGAACGGCATTGTCAACGAGAGCGCTACGATCGAATCCTCGAGACTTTAATCCAACAAGCTCATTAATGTAGGGTGGAAATAGTGTGGTGAACCCAGGATCCAACCCAAGATCCTAGGGTGAAGATAGCTGAAAAGTTCATAATATTCGTGTCTACAACTTTGATTTATTGGAGATTTATTTTTTTATAAAGTAACTTGTTTCATTCTTTCGTTCTGCAATTTTTTTGTTCTATGTGGTTTATTTTATAAAATGGGCCTACATTTCCATTTTTTGTCCTATGTGGTTTATTTCATAAAATAGGCCTACACTTCCGAGAACATACAGATGATCGCTCCTTTTAAATATTGTTGTTCAAAAGATATTTATATATATCGTAAAGACATTCATCTTTTTGTGGGGGCTTTACATCCTGTCTACTTCTTATCATATAGGAATAATTTACTTCTTTAAAAAAGGATATTTAATATTGTGGGGATATGACGAAGATGTTTGAACGAATGGACCGAAGCACGTAGAAAATGAACTGATGCCAGCGCATAATACACATTTTACAGATTTTTTTAAAATAGAAGTTAGAAATTAAAAAAGGTGTACAATATTTTAAAGATATTCTCCATAGCAACAATAAACTTACAAATAAACTTTTGTGTCGTAAATAAAAGTTCCTAGCTCAAATTCTCTATTGCGATTAAACGCTTGTTGAATTCCGTATCTCAATTATAAGAAGAGTCGATATCAAAGGAAAAAAAAGAATGAGTCGTTATGATCGCTTAACTGCCACACGCCACTTATCCCTATTGTAACTTTCTGCCTCCTACTTAAAACTCGTAAAGTCAAAAGGATCTTTAGGCCAGGCTTTCACGGTCTGTATTTGTATTGAAAACTAAAATAAAGCGAACCTTTTGACTTTTTCATCTACGCGGTTTCTGGATGAGCTCCCCTTAGACTTTTTCCTGAACGTGATTTTGCTAATAGATACAAGATAGCTAAATAATGATATTAGAAAATAGATTAATCGTTCATCCACCCATGCGCGTCACTTATAAGGCCTTTGATGACGAGGCGTTTGTCGAGTCGGGGGGAGGGGGGGGGGGATACCAAGGAAGAGAGACTCGGGAAGACGGAAAATAAACACCCTACATACATACCTATAATACTGCTCCTTGCTGCAAACCTCACCAAGAAGTAGAAGGAATAGGCACACTGCTATGCTCACCGATATTTGAGAACATGCTAGAAAAAGAAACATCAAAAGCAAAACGTATGAAAAACGTAAGTCTCGGGAAAAGTCAAAAAGAAGTCTAAATGAAAATGAAAATGGAAATGAAATGAAATGAAATGAAATGAAATGAAAATGCTGAAAATTTTAATTTGCTGTTGTGTTTTCGCATATTCCATTTTATCATTTGAATCAGCGCTATTAGATTCGTAATCCCCATTTGAAAAATAATCATAATGTTTCTATATAACTACATTATCGGTGATTCTCTCCCACGTGTTGGCCCTACTCACTATTTACCTGAGATACCGGCTAGGTCACATGGAAAGTAGGACACTTACGTTGACTCTGATTGGTTGACGTATGTCAAAGGTCATATCAGATGGGAATCGGCTGATTGATGCTCCCTGATTAACGCTGAGCTTATTTGGCGAGATCAACTTGAGTAAGGTGAGACACTTTTCTCCATTTCCAAATATGTGCAATACTTTTTCGCCATAGCATGTTGTAATTTGTGTCATTTGTTTTATTTCTCACGAAAGTTGATTTCAAGACGCCTCTCTGCCCCGACACCTCAAAGAGTCGGTCTGATGAGGAATTTACATGTTTGCACGTGGGGCGGTCGTTGCTATCCAAGCATACAAAGTCAAAGTTGCTATTAATATATGCCGGCAAGGAAAACTGAATGAAGCTGGTCTTGTAATAGGTAAACTTTGACTTGTTTGCGCTGTTTTGTGTGTTATACTTTCATATGGTCAAGTTCCTAGCTGGAGTCTCGCACCACAGACGTTGATATACCTTTATAGACACTAGCAGTCTGAATTGTTTGGGGGCTAAAATGCAATATGTGATGTTACGGGGTAATGAATTGCCGTTAGACGCTGCGATATTTTCAAGTAGTTCTTCAGCATCACTTCACTGGGGTTTATACAATCTTGACTGGTCTGTATGCCTCAATGTTCATTAGCGAGCTTCATCTGACCACCTCAGGTGTGTCTGTTAACGCTCTCGATGTTTGTATTATTATTATTGGCCCCGAGGTCCTTAACTCAGACTGTCTATTCAAGTTATTGCTGGTCTCTAACTACAATCAATCGCAGCGCACTGCATATAAGGTAGGTATAATCTATAAGGCGGGTAGTCAGAGATGAGGGGGGTTCTTTCAGCACCCTTTTCAAAGAAAAGTAAAATGAAACATTTTTTAATATTTAAATTCTAGCAGTGGCTGGAGTAGGGTATGCCTAAACAAATATAGAACGGTAAATTATGCTTTTACCTGACAGCTTGCAGAGTTCTTTCACAAATTGTACATGTATTGCAGTGTATGTGAGTCAGAGGTGGACTTGACAATATCACACTGATCAGTACACTGGCTGGTATACTTTGTACTATTGGCGATGAAGGTTGTGCCCCGTATGGCGTGAGAGAAAAAATTAGGTCACAGTTCAAAAATAGACCTAAAGCACGTTGATGGCAGGCGGTCTAGTTGACTCAGTTAGATGTACTGTACTGTGTTGACTCAATGCAAGAAGGTAACCGAGTGCCTTCAACAAGTTAGAAAAAAAAAGATACTGCATGAAGTCTGATATGGATAAAAGTTATTTATCTTTTGTTTGTTTTTCACAAGCTGATGTTGTTTTGGGAGTGGATGCACTTTTGCCCAAGCAATAAAGCATTCAGATCAAAGTAATAAAAAAAAAAATCATAAATATGTTAGGAGTTTATTAATTCCCTACCCTATTGCCCTATCCAATATAATAGGAAATGAAATGTTTTAACACCATAGCTCCAATCATAACTGAGAGTGTGCTGGGGGATCAATGATTATAAAGGCCTAAATTTGGCAAAATAGTTTTTGGTACTGGCAAAGAATGTTTTAAAAGTAAAAGTTTATTTTTTAGTGTCAAAACGGTGCTTTTTCAAGCATTTACAGGAGCTGTGCAAAAGATTGCTTGAGATGTCCAAACACAAAAATTGAAATGAATACGTAGTAAATGTGCACAAACTGAATGTACGGTTTTGATTGGGCAGGAAATGTATATCTGATAACAAAAAAAAAAAAAAGTACTAAAATATTCTTTTTAAAATTTGTTTTGATGGATTACTATAACTGTAAACAGTTTACTCACTTTAACTTAAAGTTTGAATGATATAATATATGAGAAAATGTCTTTAATCTCTGTCAGGTCTTATATTGATTAGGGATAGCTCAGAACAATTTCCAAGATGGATTTACTCATGTCCCCAGTGCAGAAAATGTTAAAAGACTATGAAACGGCCAAACGAGGTAAGTGGAGTTATGGATGTAGAGGCACATTTGGTAATCAAAGACTGCATTCCCACAGATTTAGATCAATCCATCTGGGGGCTTATGCTAAATTGCTGTCAGTTCAAGAGGATTAAATGTCTGTCACGCCTACCGAATCAGCAGGGGTAAAGATGATTACCCCCTAACAGCTTTACTAAGCGTGACAGACATTTAAGCCGGCCAAGTTGACAGCAATTTAGTGAGACTCCCCAGGGGGATAGATTGATCTAAATATCTGTGGGAATGGTCTCAAAGACTATGTTGTAATATTGCACTATGTTGTAATTCTGCTGACATGTGGTATAAGGCATATTGCATTTTGCACAGCCAGTTTATTTTATTCTCGTTACTTAAATTGGAAATTTTATTCATTAGGTTTTGTGACATTATACTAGGGTAGCGCTAGCAATATTTTTCCCTTAGCCAAATCACCACATTTTTGACAATTTGTTATCCAAATGGCTTTAATTTGACTTAAATTAGTCAAATCAACCCCTTTTTGTTTAGCCAATTTAAGTCAGTTTTAGCATTTGGCTAAATTGGCGAGTGTTAGCGCTACCCCAGTTATACCTTTAAGGTTAATGAAGAAAGTTGTTCATTTTTAGACTTTTTTTTTTTTTTTTTTGACTGCAAAAGTTTCTGTGCTGCCAGGTCAGTATAATGAACAGTTGATAGTTTCCTTGCTATTTTCCAGACCCAAGAACAAAAGACTGGCTTCTTATAGGAAATTCACCTTACAATGTCTGGCTTATCACAGTATTATATGTAGCATTTGTATACCTTGGACCAGTATTCATGAAAAACAGAAAGCCATTGCAAGTGCAAGGGTTGCTGGTGGCATACAACATGGGTCTGGTTGTTTTGTCTGCTTACATGGTGATTGAGGTAAGTGATATCATAAATATGTCATTGATGATGGGTGATATAATGGTTATTCGTAGCACACCCAGGTGGAATAAAAAAATCCACAAATTTGAACAACCTCAAAGTTTAAAAGAGGTTTGAGGTTTATTTGTGTATACGAATACATGACACATATCCGACCTCATTTACACTATACATGTAGGACCATATTTGTGAAAGCTTTGCCAGATTGGCTATTAGCTAACAGCAAACAACTATAGATCTACATGTATATGTAGTATTTCATTTCTCACTGAAATAAACTTTTAGGCTGGAGGTATTTTATCCAGTGATAATACTTTGGATAAATAGGTAAATGTTCTTAATTGAGTCTCGATCTAGGGTTCTCTCAAATTCAAGTTAAACATACCTTTTTTGCCAAATTTGATATATTTGTTTTTTATCATTTGTCTTACCTTGCTGTATAGAAAGTACAAAAAGGCCTTTAAAAACATGATAGTATGTAAGAATGTCTTTTAATAATTGGTTATTAAATGAAATAAAATTAGTTTTTGCTGGAAAATTGTTGGTAATGAATTCTATGTGGTCAATACATCTCTGGCAAATCTGTTACACAAATGTTTGGCAATGGGATTATTATTACTTTTCCTCTTCTATTTCCTTTATTACAACACACTTAATGGGACAGTAAACAGGGTTTTCATTTTCTTGAATCCTTCAATTTTTTTCCCCAGGTTGCTTTTTAGATCATTTATATTTCTTGTATTGATAAAATTACTATCCCTGCTCAAAAATTGCACTTCCAAGGAATTTGCATGTAGCTGTTTTATGTTTGAGTTTAAAACTCATTAGAGTGCTGGTTGATAAGTGCTAAGACATTGTAAGGACCCCTGGAAGATTAGCACCCTCTACAAAGTGGCAGATAATTATGTGCACTTTTCTCTGATGCACAGTGCAGAAAAGTACCATCATTTATCTTGAGACATATCTGTGAATATCTAGTGAAAAATCAATCTGTGGGCCTGGTAGAAATTGGAGGGTTAGTGAGTTGAGTGATAGTACCAAAATCCAATATAGATTTTATTGAATTTGAAGTAACTTTGCAAATTCCTTACAATATTTCTTAAGGCAGTTCCCTGAAAAAATGGCACTCTTTGAAACAGACAACATTTAGCTCATTTTTGGTCACTTGTTTCTTCTTTGCAGATATTTTTGAGTTCCTATGCTGCCAATTATGGCCTGCTTTGTGCAGAATACGATGTAGAAACTGTAGATGTGAACGATCCCAAAGAGCTGAGGGTAAGAAAAAGTATTATTGCATGGACCTTAATATGCCAAAACTATTGTTTGAAACATGTT